CTGACGAGTCTGGCTGACTTTGCTATTAACGTCAGCTGAGATCCCGAACAGTTCCAACCAATAAAAGCACAGCCGACGTCAACTACGAGCCGTGATGAAAGAACTAAATTTAATTTTGGAAAAGAGGACAGTTCGATTCGATACAAGTCGTCTGAATATGAAATAGCTCTAAAAAATTGAAAAATACGAAATAATCGTGATATATATGAGTCGCTAATGCAGTTAACCTAATTAAAAGTATTTAGTTTACGTTTTTTGGTGTCAGCACACTGTGTTCTAACAGGCCCAGCTTGGAAATGTGGAGTTACCTGTTTGTTTTTAATACATTTACTTTCAGTTTTACTGTTATCTTTCAATTTTACATAATCATTCAAAATTATGTTTGAAAAAATAGACAAAAGCTTAGATAAAATATCTGCATAATTGCCGCCACAGATGCAAGTTAAAGAAAATTCACTGTATATAAAGTCAGACTGAATGCAAGGTTAACTGACACAAAATAAATTTTTGATTATTGCTTTTCAAGAAGAAAATTTCCAATCTATCTACATTAATAATAGATTCAAAAATGGCATACATATGGTAGAATATGATTGGTACGTAACTGGTTGGAATTGACAGTCCTCCTCTTTGCAAATGATCAAAATAAACATTTGTTGTTAATGAACCTTTTTCTTTAACTATTAGCGATTTGCATATTTCGCAGTTTAGGTTTTTAGAGATAGCGTGTGAAGCATATCCAGATATATAAGTCTTAGTACTATCCTCTATGTCACAATTGGCTAAGTAATTTGTCTCAAATACTTCATTGAATATATCCAAAACTTCAGGATTTTGTTTGGTATCCAAGAAATCAAAATTTTCTTGAGTTTCTAAGCAGTTTTGGAACCTTGTTTTAATTTCTGCTAACGAAAATGACGATTTCTTTTCATTGAAAATATGCTTCAGCCGTATTTTCTTTTCAGCATTTAAAATTTCATCATATGACACATTGTAATTGCAGCCACATAAAAGTCTATAATTGCCAAATCGTTTTTATAAATTATCAGTGGTGAATTTTCCAGGCAATACATACTCAATGTCAAATTGATTAAATGAATATTCAATTATATTAAGTAGGGTCCGCGTGCTTTGATATAGAGCTGTATACGTTTCTGGTGTCAGGTGTCCATTATTATTCTCTAGATTATGCCATTTTTCTAACCATATCAGGAATTTTTTTAAAAATTGTACTCTATAATCATATTTATTGGTAATAGGCTTACAAAATTCGTTTCGCTTCAATTCTCCTTTTACTACACTTGTATTACTGACAATATCCCACCAATTCCTGATTATTTCCACAAAGTGTCCAGCATCATTAAACTTTAATTCTTTCATAGTAGCTATTGTTGAGTGACGGAATAAATTATCTACAAAATTTACATTTTGCCTTTCAAATGAATTTGGATGCATTGTTTTATAATTTAGTTTATATGCTTTCTTAACTACAGCTTCTTTTTCCAATTGATATACAGCACGAATGTTTTCAAATTTAGCATACTGAATAATATCATTATTGTCAAAATTAGGATATACAAAAGTTTTGTCTAGGTTTTTTAAATTAATCCAATTATTTCTGATACTCTTGAAAATATGCACAACATCATAAGTTAAATATATGTTCTTATCAGGATTATGTGGATTTGGAATAGAATAATTTTCTGATGAATCCTTTGCTAATTTCCTGAACATTGCTCTATTAATTCGGTGATTATCAGATGAAGAATGTAATTCTTGAAAGTCTTTGATCTTATCTATATCATCGAAATTCTGGATAGCTTTTTCATGTTTCTCAATTAATTTTTGTTTTCTTTGCATTGGGTCAGTTCTTTTGGGTGCTTCAGTTTTTGAAAGATATGATGGCAAGTTTGGGAAAATGGAGGGAACAGCATTTTCTTTCAATTTTGGATATTTCAAAGGTATATTATTTTGGACTGTTCCATTTGCCAAAACTATATTTTCTGTCCTGATGATATCCGATTCTCTAAAATGACGACTGCACACAGCTGAATGTTTTGAAGGTGTCCAATTTTTTCTGGGAATTGCCATAAGCCATTTGTTTTTCAGACTTTCGGTACTTGGGAAGCGAAAAGTTGAAACACAGCTTTCTGTTTTCAAAGCAGAATTATAGTTTGCATTGCATAAAGGAACACAGCAACAACGAGGCATATTGTCTGCGTCAAATACTTGATAAATGAAAAAAGAAAAATACAACCTGAATTTGCACGTTTTCAATAGTTGAAATCCTTAGCGTCCTGAGGCGCGAACAGCCACAGTCACACTTCTTAGTTTATTTTTAAAGCACAGAAGCACTACAACTGGAGTCTATTTCTCATATATTATAGTCACCGATCACTTTGAACACATACACACACTTTGAAGCTTAGAAAACAAGCTTATCTCTTAATTACAGCCTCTGGGATTCCAAAATCACAAATTGAAAAGGTTATGTTTTCTCAGCGTTTTGAGCACGAGTTGCGTCGATGCAGCAAGCAGCGGCGGGAGTAACACTACCACCTACGTTGCCAGATTTCTTTGTTCACGGCTCGTAGTTGACATCGGCTGTGATAAAAGCTATGTGCCTTCCTTAGTGGTCGATTCTGGTGTGATAGATGGCGTTTTGGGCTGTTTTATTTATAAATAAAGTACATGGAATGTTCGAAAATGGGAAGTAAGACGAATTTTTGCTATAGCATATGTTATTTGAAATTTGATGACAATGTGGATGATTGAGATGTTGTTTCTCGGGCTTCCATTGTCTATAAGTTAAACCAGATGAAGCTTAGAGAAGACCAGGAATCAAAACACACCCACCCGGTGACTCAACTTTTTTAGAGTTGAACTCCAGACAAAATCGAAGTCTTTTCAAGACCTAGCTTCAATGTTTGAGATCGTACAAACAAATACTTTGCTTTTGGCGAATACTGAAGAACTGAATTTAGTTGCATCCAAATTTACTGATTTTTCTGATGAGGTCTCTAAACAGAATTACTTTTGGATATACCGAGGCTGCGAAGACACTTAAAAGCCGCTAATGGTGCAGTTTCTGATTGGGTATCTCAAGACTTTTTAAAGTTTATTGTAGAATGGGGTTTTGTCTCATCAATGGCGTAGATATTTACAACACCGTATATCTTGGTGATGGGATATTTTTGGACCTACATTTATAGGATTTTTTTGTTAATTTTGGATGCAATTACTTTCCACTCAAGAAATATTACCAAGTTTGTATACCGTGTACTATGGTAAAAACATCAGAAAACTAATTACAATGATGAAAAAACTCAATTTTTTGTAACTGAACTTCATAAAAATCATTTCAAAAACTATTTAAGTCATATTTGATGAGAATGATGGAAAAAATTATTGAAACGTGACATTTGAATAAGTTAATTATCAATAATAAGAAATAAAAAATACGCTTATGATTGTTTTTGGAGTTTTTATTGATTCCTGAAAAAATCAGATGGCGTTGTGTTTCAACTTATGTCCACCAGGCTACTTCAAGCTGTGGCAAGCTAAAAGTTGTCAATGAATCAGTACGTTAGAAAAACTTAAATGATGTGGATAGTTTTTATATAACTCAAAACTGGATGGCTATAAAGCGTCTAGTCGAAGATGTGCCCCTTCTGAAGTGGAATATCTATCTTTGAAAAAATAATGATGTGAATTGTAAAATGATATAAACGTGTATCACTTCATTGTTGAATCATCAACATTGGCCACTTCTTGAATTTCACTGTTACCTTCACAACCATTTTCGATTGATTTGGTGTAAACAGTTTGCCTCTAATTTCTCAAAATCTTTAAGGGACATGTACTGCAGAATGATCTAGCTTTTGAAACACATATTTGTCTCTGGTCAGTTCAATGACAGGAATATATTTTGTGTGTCCTCATTATCATGATGCAAATTACAAATCACTAAATTGTCAGTTAAAAGAACACGTGAAATAGTTTTCTTCTTATTATCTCAATAACTGATACCCCATTTTTGAATTATTTGAGTGAAACTTACAGAGCATAAATTAGCACTCTATGTAATTTCTAATTATTTAATCACTTAACATTTGTGCTTGATTTCCAAATGGCAGAGCAGAAAGGCATTAATCGTATGGCTTTCCGGTACATGATGTGGTGTACACGAGCTTTGAACAATATGGCACAAGATTTTGAATGCAAGTCAGAGGTAAACTGAATCTTTTCTGTGATATCGTACTGTACACGATTCATTTTTTTCAATGTGAATAAAAGAAGTACATAACATTCGTCTCTTAATTTGTCATAATACTAAATCACAAAATAAGGTTTCTGACGAAGATAATCAACGAAATAAAGAGTCACCATCTCCAAAGTTTAAAACTATTATCAATAGGCAGCGCGACCTTACTTAGTAGTTACTACCAATACTACTTTGTGGTATTGTACTACTACTTTTACTATTGGCTTGCCCAGTTGTGCCATGAGATCTGGGTATCTGTCATCTGTTATGTTCTTAGAGACGGTGTGTCATATGAAGAGATACCACCAATCATTTATTAACATCACAAAATAATACAGCAACCAGAATAATAATAATTTGTAAGATCACTTGGCAGCGATAAAATTATGCATGGTTCCTTTTTTTTAATGTAAATCATTGTTTGCAATGTTATATCCTGCTCTTCTGTTTTTCTGTAACAGCAATTGGTTTTCTAAAGCTTGTTCATGTAATTTTGCATGTCTATATCAGTATTTGTATGCTGACAGTTGTTCAAGCCGTATGTAATATTTACGCAAAATCAAGTTGTTTGAAATAATTAGTGGTTTCATGAGACACCTTTTTATAAACAGAGAGTCCCTGATTGACCGAAATACAGCCATTTTAAAAAATTCGTTTCACATATTTAGTATGCGCCTAACAGAACCAAGTACCTTGAACCCCATTCTCTACGCACATGGCCTTCACGGCGCGACACCGGATAACCGCTGTAGTATTCCCTTTCTAATTCTGGGCCGACAGTAACTGGATAAAGCATCAGTTGATTGCAAGCTTATGTCAGTAAACATATATTCAGACATGAGTGGCCCTGAGACTGATCCGACGACGTTTTATTCGCCGAGTGCGTACTCAAAAAGATACCCCAGGGACCAGATATTCGAAAAGCATTTGGAGATAGTCGGAAAATGTAAGTATAGACATCACGCTTTGACGTCTACTGCAGTGAGCAGCTGATCAGCTGGTGACATTTTTGTGTTAAATCAAATCCAAGCGAATAAGCAAAATTTATGTGTTATGTGCTGCGGTTATAATATGGTTCAAGATGACACACGGGTTGATGACGTCAGTTACACGAATCGCTTGAACGCGTTGGTTTTAACCGCGGTTTTGTTGCAAGTTGTTTATTTTAGAAAAGCGCGTATATAATCTCTGTTTATTTTTATTATCACTTAATAATCGGTGCTTTTTCGTCTACAACTGTATATGGAAAGTTTAAATAAGAAACCTTTCATAATATTCATGGGAGAAATGTTTTTTGCACATTTTTTTTTTAATGATGGAACCATGGCTTTGTAGCTATGATAACTTTCAATTCTCTAAACTTTTCCGCATGTCAAAGAAAACATTTATTGATTCAGCAGAAATGATGAAAAAAGAAATTAGCAAAACCGTATACACGTGGATATCATCTAGTGAGTTTATATGGCCATATTTTAATATTCTTGTGGTATATGGCTACACAGGATACTTTGTTAAGCATAGGAACTACATTTAAAGTGTCCCCAACAACCGTAATGAGTATATCTAATAAGTTGCTCCACTTTATGGTAAAACCAATACCCGGCAAAATTCTAACTTGTCACATTTCAAATAATAACCAGAAATATAAAACTACTCTTGAGTTGGGTAAATACCACAATTTTGCGGTGATAACTATGACATATAACAGCTGATTCGTGACGTCACGGATCTTATAACCAACCTGATAACTACACTCGCTTGAACGGATTGGTAAATACCAACCCAAAATGGTAAATACCATTTCCATTTGGTTATCCGCTTGAATTTGATTTATGTCTGCGACATTGGCAATAACGAATCGGGTGTAAATCTAGTAAAACTTGTTTGTAATGTTTTGTTTTTTGTATGCAAATGGACTTTTCTAAATAAGAGAGCTGTTAGCAAGTACAAAATGAATCTGTAGAGTACAAAAAACCGAAACAAAATACAGCTCTGGCTACATGATGTTGACGGATCCGTCAGAATTGTGTTTCCTGTGCCGATATGGGGAATTTTGAAATATTATTAGATAAATAGCTGTCATTGTTCCTTGATGGATATTCGTGGAATAAGGTGTATACCTTATTCCTTTTCTGACTGAATAGGTTATGTTTCTAAAATAAAATACCGCCATCACATGGGCGGGCTAATAATTACTCGTTGGGGGAATACTCTTCATAAGATATCTTGCTTTGCGACATTGGAAAATTGTACCCAAATTCAAATCTCGATATTTTCGGAATAGAAAGAGATATCGAGTTGCAGTGTTGGACCGGTATGTTTTTTCTATTTATCCACTCATACAAGGTGAGCAGAACAAGTCAGGTTTTTTAACAAAAGTTTGGGGCTATGTCAGATCCTCAATTTTTGACATTGGAAATTTTTCCGTGTATCTTTTTGATCTTTGGATTATCCTAAAAAAAGTGATTTCTCAAATTTTTCGAAAGTTGGCTATAACTCAAATTATCGAATTTCGAATGTGTTACATTTAACCCTAAAAAAGGGACTTTTGTCATGCGAGGTTTTTGTTGAGCATGGTTAAAATATGTTTCATTGCTAGGAAATTAACAAGAAAATTCCGATATAGTGCTGCATTGGAAGTGTAACATACTTCCGTTATCTATTCTATTTAATTCATTTATGAATGAGATTTGCCTTACACAAACCAAACGCAAGTTACGTCCGGAAATATAGAAACAGGGCCTGCCAAAGATTCCAGACCAAAATATTTTTTTGCCATGTAATAGTACTTGAAGACATCTACAATGATGTTGACATTCCATATGTGAATATTCTTCAAAGACAACTGAATACAAAAGTTGATTTTTCGTGGAATATGTATAGAAAAGCGAAAGGATACTCCCTCACCTACTTATAATCATGAGATACCGAAAATAATTACATGTCAGATAAGAAGGGATTTTGAGGCAGGGTTGGATTAAGGGCGGCTAAGAGCAGATATATGTATATGTAGAAAAGCAAAAAGGCGCTCATTAAATCTCAAAAACTATTTGACATACTGAGCATAAAATTTGGCAGCGAAATATTTTATGGACAGTGCATGTCAGCTAAGAACGGAATTTGTAACAGGTCTGGATTAAGGAGGGCTAAGGGAATTCTAATTTTTTTAAGCAAGTCCTTTGTTTTTCCTACCAGTAATCTAAAATTCGTCAAGGGCGTATTTTATAGGTAGTACAGGACAGATTAGAGACTTTGCGACTGAGCCGGATTCAGGGGGCTAAGAGCGATCACAAGTTTGTATGAAAGTACTTCTTTTTATTACTAGAGACGAAAAATTTGGCAGGGAGATATTTTTTAGGCAGCAGATGCCAGTTTTGGGGGCGTTAAGCGCATTCACGAGTTTGTATGAAGCCCTATGTTTTTCCTAATACAAGTACACACCTGAAATTGTGCGGGGGGATATTTCATCGGCCGAATAAAGAGAGGCAAAGGGCACTTGCAAGTATGAAATTTTTTAAAGGGGGCTGAAGTTTGTATACTAGCTTTCCACCCCGCAGTTTTACCTACCGAACGTATCAAACTCATAAATACATGAACACGATATAGTTTAAATAAAGGTAAATATAATCTTGTATGTTTACTAGACGAACTTCAGAAGCTGCTTTTTGTCATAAGTCTTTACATTATAAAGATTAAATCAAAAAAATAGCCCAATATTGCAAACAATTGATTGTCAATTTACGATGGCCATCACAGTTACAAAACGCAATCGGAAGTTATGCAATCATTTAATAGTAACAATTCTAAGCGCAGAAGCTCGTTGGTAACACATCTAGTATACAATGAAATATTGACGAGTAGTTTGGAAATTACAATTAATGGAAATGTACTATTTTACAGTAAACAAAGAAGTACAGGGAATCAAGTCAGATTTATACAAACCATATGGCAAAGGAAAGAGAGAAGTATACCACATTTATGGTACTGACTTAGTTGACAGTAAGTATTGTTATATCCGAAATTATAATCGAATTCTGTTAAATTGCTTCTTCTGATCAGCTCTCATTGCGTTTGTTTGTCAGATGTCAATTCAATCAAAAAATAAGCAAAATACGTCAAAGCAACTTCGATAATTCGTCCGTTTTTTAAACGTACTACCGTCGATCTAGCAACGTCGCCTCTCCCTATAAACATGATCGCACGACGCGTCAGACGCGGCTCAGCGCCAGTCATGAGAGGGCACTTATGAAGACTGGCACGCCCGCCGGTAAAGCCAGAGAGCAGGCGCAGGGACTAGCATCAAAAAATAGCGATACACCCCACCCTCAATTTTTACCCCGAAGGAATTTTTCCAAAATTGTCAGGGTCCTCTGAAAAGTCAAAGACCCAAGTTTGAACGACTTTTATTCTTTCATTTTTGGCATTTCTCTCTGCCGCCTCTGGTCCGTTTTCAAAATCGGAAAGCTTTTTTGTCCTTGGCATAGCAGTAACCTTGTGTAAAAATTTCAGACAGATAGATCGACGGAAATGAGTGACATGTACATGTACAGCCAAAAAACAATATCTCATTTGCGAAATTTTCCGCTAACACAATAGAAGTAAAGAGCCCCAATATAAATAGACTTATTCGATTCTTAAAACCCTTGACTGACAGGAAAGAGTATAAGTAGCGAATATCATCAGTTAGATTTAGCCAGATCAATCGTTTTAGGGGCGCTAAGGTCACGTGTGCTGACATAAGTCCTCTCAGTTTAAATGCGGGGCATTATTAGGCACATATAGGGGTATATTAAAAATCAGGTCACGCGATCCAAATCGTGGTCATTTGGGAAGTAAAAAGGGCGTTGACCATTATCACAAAATGTAAAAACCTAAAGAGCCTTTCAACTCAAAAGATATACAGATGAAATGGTGATGATTACACACAACTAAAATTTTAATTTTGTTTAGTACTAGTGATGACTATCGAACCTGAGATTTATAAAACAACGATGATACCGCAATGTTTCAGCAATAACGGTTTTTAACAAAAAAAAGCTGAAACAAATGAACCTATGATCTGTAAGCTGAGTGTTTCCATTTTGATAAAGATCGAATGTTTCCTCTAATAACTGTACGTAGAGTTAGGACCGGTTTTGGAATCGCAAGTTAACTGCGGTTTCACTGCTAACCGGAAGTTAAACCTCAAAAAGCTTTTTAATGTCAGGTTTGGCGTAAGCGGTAGTTAATTTTAACCAGAGGACCACGTATTATTGAAATAGAAAGATATATTAAAGCCTCAATTTTACTTGACAGTGACACTAGTTGACATGAGACACGAATCGCAGAGAGCGTTGATGGCAGCATTGCCGCATCATCGATTACATGTTTGTTATCCAGAATTTGGAAAACGAATTTTCGAGCAACTTGTAGTTATCTTCTATGTAACAGTTAGCTAACGCAAAACTTAACTTGCAATTGCAAAGGAAAATTGATATTTATTCCCCTATTCTTAGGTGCTCCTATTTTTATATTTATTCACGGAGGATACTGGCAAGAAGCTCAAGTGACACATGACACGTATGTCTTCATAGCAAAGAACTTGCACAAACAAAATGTAAAAACAATATTAATCGGTTACGAACTTTGTCCCGCCGTCACTGTGGAGCAGATACAAAAAAACGTAGAGGGCGCGTTGAAAATATGCTTGGAATATGCGAAGAACTTGGAATCTAGGTAAGTAAACACAAATCTATTTCAAAATTCACAATGATTCACAAAAAGTGTTTTTATTCCGGGATGTTTTCCATTTTTATATGAGGTTGTCCAAAACAGACGCAGGAAAGTAAACGCATATTAAAACAAGAAAGATTGATATTCAAATCAAGTTGGGTACTTTATTTTGAAAGTTCATTTATACCATTTATGTATGAAAAATAATATCGCTCAAATGTTCACCACGACTGGATTTACAGACGTCCACGCGATGGTCGAAATTTTCAATGACATTTTGCAACATGGTCGGTTCTATGGCATATATCTCGGCAATGATGTTGTTTTTGAGTTCTTGGAGGGTGGCTGGTTTGTTGACGTAGACTTTGCTTTTCAAATATCCCCATAAAAAGAAGTCCAAGGGAGTCAAATCGCACGATCTTGGTGGCCATGGCACATTTCCTCTGTACGAAATCACGCGATCACCGAAGAAGGACTGCAATCGATGGATATTGACGTTGGTTGTGTGGCATGTTGCACCATCTTGTTGGAAATAAACATCGTCCATATCCATTCCTTCAAGTTGCGGCAAAAAATAGTCCTCTATCATCACGTGATATCGCTCAGAATTGACGGTAACGGCGTCCCCGGCCGCATTTTCGAAAAAGTAAGGTCCGATGATGCCTTTTGACCACAATGCACACCACAGTCACTTTTTGAGGATGCATCGGCTGCTCTTGATACTCACGGGGATTTTCGTTCGCCCAGATGCGGCAGTTTTGCTTGTTTACCGTCCCATTCAAAGTGAAATGCGCTTCGTCGCTGAACATGATTTTTGATGAAAAATTGGCATCAATTTGGCGGTGTTCAAGGAGCCAATCTGAGAACGTTCGGCGCGAAAAATGGTCGGCCGGACGCAGCTGTTGCGTCAATTGGATCTTGTAGGCGTGTACATTCAAATCCTTGTGGAGAATGCGGAGCAAACTGGTTCTCGAAATGCCCAATTCTTGGGATCGACGCGTTGTTGATTGTTTCCGATCGTCTCTCACACTCTCCTTCACAACTGCAATATTTTCCGGTGTGCGAACGCTCCTTGGCCGGCCAGAGCCTGGCAGATTTGCCACAGAACCTGTTGCCTCGAATTTACGCACCAGACGACCGATGGTTGTTTCGTTTGGGCAGTTGTTGCGACCGAAATGTTCACGAAGCGCGCGAAACGTGTTTTTTATTTTTGCACCATTTTTGTAGTGCTCTTGAATAACTTTAATGCGGTCGTCAATCGAATACGACTCCACAGCGATCAATGGTAAACATTCAACTAACAAAATGACATGTCGGTGACAGAAAACAAAGATGGCGTCTATGTCAAATTGACGTTTACTTTCCTGCGTCCCTATTGGACAACCCTATAATATATGTATCGGTATGATACTGTGAAGTCAGAACAGCACATAATAAAGAATAGGAAGAACGCTTCGGAAAGACAAAACTGCCCAAAAATTCCTTTTCTACAGCCGGCACAAAGTATATATCGCAGTCTGGAAAAATGACAGCTTTACCGCTCTAAAGCGAAAATGTAGTAAATAACACGATTAGTATTCACTTACTCCGTCAGGCTTTACCATGGTAATTAATGACCGTGTACCTGGATATTAGCAACTGTTGATGGATAAGATTACGTAAAAATCCACTGCCACTGACGGAATGATCAGTAAATACCAAATGTGTGACATTCGCAAGGACTTCAATTGTATCAATTAACTAGTTTCCATATATTATCTGGGTAGCCAGTGTCTAATGTCAACCTGGTAATACTTTCCACATAAAAGCAAAACATGTTACGACTCATCCTTTAGTTCACTGTGAAACTTGTACAGGAAATTGTACTGTTCATTAGTCACATAAGTCCCAAATGCAACTTTCGAAATTTTGACCTGAAATTCTGAATGTTAAAGAATCTTCTTTAAAACGCGATACAACGTCTGCGCATTGTAAACAGGACAAGTAGCGCCATCTATTATCGGAGACTAGATTGGTTAGGTACATATTTCATTGATACCCTGTCAAAACTCCATGACAATCGAACCACTTCACGCAGAGTTATCGAGCTCAAAGTTACAGGACCTTTTTAGCATCTATCGAAAAATAAGCATCGAGCCAATGTTAAGTAAAACATTTACTATTGATGCAAGTGTGTGGTGATGATTGGTTATCTCGTAGCCAAGTCCACAAGTGGTTTACACGGTTCAAAGAGGGTCGCGAGTCGATGGAAGACGACGAACAGGTTGATCAGCCAAAATTTGTGATTCCGCCGAAAAAGAGGTCAAACAAGACGAAAACTTCCTGTACAACATTGTGACTGGTGGAAAATTCCAAAGTGAAGACAGTGTTGATTTGTATTTACGATTCGAAGGGGATTATTGCACGATAATGCACCGTCTCGTCGATCGACGCTTATGACCGATTTTTTGACAAAAAATAGCTTTTTAACCATCAACCACTCCCTATATTCTCCTGATATGGCACCGTGTGACTATTTTCTCTTCGATAAACCATTTTAAGGACATCCTGGTCAATGGGCTAAAATCTTTTGGTCCGTGCAACTCGCTGTATTATTTCTGAGGGAGACTATTTTGAATGAAATGACCTTGTTTTGTCCGAGCCGTTGCATTTGAGGGAAAAGAATAAGCGATAGATGACCCAACATTTTTAAAACATACTTTTTGTGGATTTCAGATCAGTGCACTTAGCTGGTCATTCTGCAGGGGGGCAACTGGTAGCCAATCTATTAGAATCGTTCGTCCCATCATTGCCAGAGGAAGAAAGAAAGCTCATTCGCACAGCTTTTCTTCTAGCAGGTATCTACGACATCATACCACTCACCAAGACTGAGTATAATGAACCTCTAAAGCTAGACGAGCAATCAGCCAAGAAAGTCAGCCCGATGTTCAAAAAATTCCCAAAATGTGATGTGAGTATACAGTTGTATTAATTTTTGGCGGTATAATTTTCTCAAATTGTCTTTTTAGTGTCATCACAATTTTTTTAAATTGTGGTTGTTGTACACTCAGTTTAAATGGTTTTATTTTAATAAAAGTTGGTGAATGTATTTATCTTACTGTAAATAACAAGTGAAAAAACTTTCAGCCTTATCAGTTGGACATTCCGGTTTTTATACTGCTTTTTTTTTAATTCAGTAACGCTCTAAAAATGAATATTTCAGCCGCAGTAAAGAATCAACGTTGGCGGATTTTGGTTCTTGACATCCTTTACGATCGGTTACGATGCCTAGAGTACGGAGACCTGTACGATTTCGTCAACTTAGTGAGTTTGATAGGGGCCGTATAGTGGGACTTCGGCAAGCTGGACTTTCTTTTCGGGCAATTGCAGTTAGAGTGCAAAGAAGTGTAGACACTTTGGTTAGGTGTTGTCAGGCATGGCTTCGAGAAGGCCGTACGCAAAGAGCAAGGGGCACTGGACGCCGCCGTAGAACAACAGACCGTGAAGATCGCCGCCTAAGATTATTGGCCTTAAAGGACCGTTTCTCCACTACCAGGTCCATTGCAAATGAATGGTTTGCAGAACACGGAAGACCTATTGGCATGCGAAGTGTTTACCGACGAATGAGAAGTGTTGGCTTGTTTTCATACCGGCCACACTGGGTCCTCCCTTTAACTCGAGAACACCGACGTAATCGCCTTGAGTGGTACAGACAACGGTCACTCTGGGATCAGGAATGGAACAGTATTGTCTTTAGTGACGAGTCTCGATTTTGTTTAGGCATGCACGGTGGTCGTGCCAGGGTTAGAAGGCGACGTGGTGATAGGAGGAATCCACAGTTTTTTGTTGAAAGACCTGTTCATCACACTGTTGGAGTTATGGTTTGGGGTACTATAGCTTATGGTTCTAGGTCAGCTTTAATATTCATCAGAGGTAACATGAACGCGCAGCGTTATATCCACGAAGTTCTAGAACCCCATCTTTTACCCTATCTTGACACCCTGGCAGATCCAATTTTCCAACAAGATAATGCCCGACCACATGTTGCAAGAGTCACAATAGACTTCTTTCAACATAGTGATGTTACATTGTTAACATGGCCACCAAGATCTCCCGACTTATTCCCAATTGAGCACGTGTGGGATATGATGGGTAGGAGATTGCTCAATTTGCAACGTCCTCAGACTCTAGAAGCACTTCGAGAGGAGTTGGTGGTTGCCTGGAATGAGATACCACAGGACATTGACCACCTGATCAGAAGCATGCCTAGGCGCGTTGGAGAATGCGTAGCACATCAGGGTGCATCCACACATTATTAAAGGTCAAAGGGCTTTAAAGCAGTGCAATCATTTTATCATTTACTTATTATGCTTCATTAAGTACTTATACAAAATTTAATTAAAATAAAACCATTTAAACTGGGTGTTCGGATTTATATGTCACTTAGTATATGTTTACATGCTGTGATTTTCAGAAGGGTCTCCCTACCATTTATTTGTTGAACGCATCGAGTTAGAAAGCTAAAAGTCGAGAAGATGAAATTGATGCGTGAATGCTGTATTTTATGTGACAGTGGATTTTTTTGTTCATGGATTGGAGAGACTGGCAGGCGGTCAAAGTTGAGCGTTTTTGTAAATTGAATCATAACTCAACAGCAAAATATCAAAACATGTTTTTAATGGTCACTTTTACACCAAAATCGCTTAGTAACTTGCCTCGTTCAGAAAATAAGTGGGCGGAACTGAATATATCGTTTGAAACTAAGAAAAATACAAATAAAATACCGTATGACCGACATGTAACTGACTGATTTATATCTTGAATATTTGTGAAACGAAATAAAATACGTTCATTTGTTTCATCTCAATATTTTATTAAAACTTGGAAATTGTGTATGAAAAATAATATCAGACATACTTCCAATCGCTTCCGTAATATTGTTCATCAACTGCACTACAGTATTTGGTTTGTTAGCATAAGCCGTATTTTTCAAAAATCCCCATAAAAAAGTCAGGAGCCGTTAAATCCGATGACCTTGGTGGCTGGTTGACATCACCAAATCGAGAAATTAAACGTCCCGGAAATATTGTTCGCAAAAGACTCATTGTTTCCATAGCTGTGTGCCAAGTTGTTCCGCCCTGCTGGAACCACATGTTTGCAGGTTAAATTGTTGGATCCGAGGAGCCAAAAAGTTTTGTACCATATAACGGATGGATGACACGAGGGTTCTCTAATGCCCAGATATGACAATTCTGCTTATTAACAAATCGGTTCATATCGAAGTTGGCTTCATCGCTCATCATCAGTTGTCAGTAAAAACCAGTATTTTAGGAATTAATTAACTAGGCTGTAGTTCAGGGTTAATTAAACTTTGTATGGCCGCAAATGCAGATCTTTTTTTAAATAGTGCGTAATGACGTGCGACGAATACCCAGTTCTTGAGAACGATGTCTGATAGACGTCTCAGGGCGCTCCACTACAGTTTCACGCACTCTCGATATTTTCCGGAGCACGAACAGTTCGAACACGGCCCGACCTTGGCAAGTGTTTAACTTTACATGTTTGTTCAAATTTCCGCACCAACTTTAAACAACTACTATGGCGCCACCTACTGAAATGCGTGTATCAAAAATGGCGCGCAATTCAAATCAGTCAGTTATATATTGGAGATCCGATATAAACTGTTTCTGGCCAATGATTTTATCCGTATTTTTCTATTAAAGGTAAAAGTGTATGTCATCGTGGCCGAGAATGACAGTCCACCATTTTTGACGCAAGGAAAGCAGTTCCACGAGCATTTAATCCAGCAGGGGTTAAATTCCGAGCACATCCTACTGAAGAACATAGATCACTTTGATCTGATGGAGAATCTCGATAACGAAGAATTCGAAATAAGCAAATTAATCACAAAATGTGTAACAGAATCCTAAAAAAAACTTATTAAATAATTAATTTTAATAAAAAATGTGTCCGCATAAATTTTTATTTAGTCTACAAATTCTCGAATTATCTGATATAAATATTTATAGATACACGAATTACTTGTTTCTGTACGAGGCCAGTCACAATTTAGATTGTAACCTCTTTCTCTCAGGATTGAAATGATAATCTACGCTAGTACAAAAATAATTTATTAAAAATACACACGTTTACTATTAGGTTGTTCGGAAAGTTCTTGCAGTTTTTGTTATTTATATTTTAAATGATGTATTTTACACTAAAATTTGTTTATAATGCCTTGACTTTATATATAACTTTAAGGCGCGTTTTTTGCTCTATCTATACTAAAACCAAGTCCAACATAGAGTTTAACATAACAAATGCCAATCGTGATATTCACGTGATCGGCCAGCAACAGGTGGACACGGCAGCGCTCATTGGTGAATTCATTGGTGCGCCGCGGTGCCGCCGTACCGCTGCCGCGTCAGTACGGGAGCAGCCGTAATACAGAGTCGCAATCAGGCGTGCATCCTGCTTTTTTAGTATTTATTCATTTCGCGGGTTTCATTTGCTTTTGTTAAGTTTTTATTGTATTTGCTGGATTTTTTATAGTTATTACTTATTACTGTGATCTGTAATCCAAGATGTCCAGTACAGATACTGCTGACGAGACTGTGAGTTGTTGCTTGAGTCCAGTTAAAAAACGATCCAAAAGAAGACATTTGAGTATCGAGATGAAAGAGGTTATTTTGAATGTGTTCAAAAAGGAGATATAGGAACATGGAACATCCTCGGTCGAAGACGTCGCTTCGAAAGTTGCTGATAGAGTTGGAGTATGTGTCGCTTCGATTTTTAATGTTTTGAGGGAATATAAAGCTAATCATACATTTTCCAAACCTAAGACAAATCAAAATCGCCCAAGCATTATAAAATCGATAGATGAGGCTGATAAACATGCAATAAGGAGGAAAGTGCATGAATAATTTTTTAGAAATGAAATACCCACGGTGGAAAAAGTACTCACACAAGTAAATGAAGATGCTATGTTGCCTAGTTTCAAGCGGTCCACATTTAGTAAATTGTTAAAACATTTAAATTTCAAATGGAAGAAACGAGGACGCAATAGTTTACTGTTGGATAGGGAAGAACTCATAATCTGGAGAAGAGAATATTTGACCGAAATCAAAAAATATGGGGATGAAACCTGGGTTAATGCTGGTCATACTACTCCTAAGGTATAGGTCGATGAAACCGTGACCTCATCTAGGAGGGCATTTCTAGATGGACTGTCCACCGGTTTGAAAAATCCATCAGGTAAACTTTTAATCGTAACTTAACAAAAGATACTTGAACATCCTTTAAATTATTTTGTCTTTCAAAGTAATTTGATATTTCAGGATATAATCAAAAAAACGTTAGCTTTTCTTAGCTTGTATATTTTATTTAATTGAAATCATTTTGTTTCTACAATATTTTACTTCCGACGCATAGACCAGGAATTCCGAGTTTAAAATAACATTCATGACACTATTTTACGTCTTCTCTTTCCGAACTTAACTACGCGTGCTATGTTTGTATCTGAATTACATCATATTGTTGGCGAACCAGATTCTTAGAACCTTGTGTCTTACATTGAAGTTCTGCCACTTGGGCTGTCAGGCATCTGTAACTCAGTGGTAGAGCATCTGCGCGTAAAGCAGAAGGTCTCGAGTTCAAATCTCGACGGAGGCCAGTTTATTCTTTCCGAATTTCAAAAAATCCGATTTCATACTCAAATAAATATTGCGTATCAGCACTTCCAGGTAAAGGAAAAAGACTAATTGTTTGTCATATTGGCAATGAGAATGGGTTTGTTACTGAAGGGCTGTGGTGTTTCGACTCAAAGAAGGTGATTACCACTAAGAAAAGTGGTTTTCCAATGTCCTACCATACCTGGAAGACAACTCAGTAATTGTACTGGACAATGCGCCATACCATTCTCGACGAATAGAGGAAATCCCGACGACGTCATCGAAAAAAGTTGAAATACAAAATTGGTTGCGAGCAAAGAATATCAGCTTTGAGGACTCAATGCTAAGAGTCCAGCTATTGAAAATTGTCATAGAGCATAAGGCTGCAAACGAAAAATATGCAGTCGATGAGATGGCAGCAAGCCATAACAAAACAGTCCTTCGTCTGCCCCCATATCACTGTGAGCTAAATCCCACCGAGCTCGTATGGGCGGATCTTAAAAACTTTGTGGCACAGCATAACACTACGTATAAATTTGCCAACCTCAAGGTACTTTTTGATGAAGACTAAGCAGAATCGGAGCCGAGAAATGGGACAAGTGTGTTCGGCATGTGATAACAAAAGTCGAGACAAAGATGTGGGAGCTCGATAATATTTTATAAAGACAAGTCCAACCACTGATAATTGAATTTGGCCAGAATGATACAAGTGATGAGGATGACAGTTCAAGTTCAACATTCTGATAAACAATGTTAATAGTTGTACGTAGAATTAAAATGATTACATTCCTTTTCAAATGGCGTTTATGATTTATAGAAAATCCAAGTCTTTTATAGTGGCCGCATTTTGTTATATTTTTTTTTTGCTTTAGAACCAAGCCATGCAGCCAGAAACTAGGTTGGTATATAGTATATATCTAATTATGGACAAACACACGACGTCACAACATCCATGGCGAAGGCGAGATTCGAACTCGCGGCCGGGCCGGCCGGCTGATCCACGCGGCCAACCGAGGTCCCCATTTTGTTATAGATCTGCCATATTTTGCTTCAGTCGCAATCATGAAGAATGTTTTCTAAGATATAGCATCCGCAATCGATAAATCGTTTGGCATCATTGAATCATCGCAAAAAGGTGCTGAATACGACTCTGTACAAACCGTCAACCTTCGAGATACCTGTGCGCAGTGCATGACTATGTTTACATCAACTCTATCTTGGACTTGGTTTTAGTGTAGTTTTTTTTCACGATTTCAAATATAGGATGGACATGAGGCAAATTCGCACGATTTTCTTATTCCAGTTCAAATTAGGTCGAACAGCTACTGAGACAGCTCGCGATATCAATTATGCATTTGGCCAAGGAACCACTGACGAACGTACGACACAATGGTGATTCAAGAAATTTCGCAGTGGTGACGAGAGCCTTGAAGATAAAGAGCACAGTGTTCGGCCACATGATGATAACGGAAGCAAACCCCGGCACAACTATTCGTGAGTTTGTGGAGGAGCTTGATGTGGGTATTGCGACCATTTCTGACTACTTGAAACTGATCGGAAAAAAACTCGATAAACGGATACCGCACGAATTGAGCGAAATTCGGAAAAATTGTCGTTTTGAGATGGCGTCTGCCCTTCTACGTAACGAAAACGACCCGTTTCTCGATCGGATTGTGATATAGGATGAAAAGATTTTCTACAACAGCGGAGTTCTGCGCAATGGTTGGGCAGCGACGAAACTCCACAACACTTCCCGAAGCCGAAACTTCATCCATTGAAGTTTATGGTGACCGTTTGGTGGTCTGCAGTCGGTCTCATCCACCACAGCTTTCTAAATCCGAGCGAAACGATTACGGCACAGAAGTACTGCCAGCAATTCAACGAAATGCACCACAAGCTCCGGCGTATGTGCCCTATATTGGCCAATATGAAGGCCAATTCTCCTCCATGACAACGCCCGGCCACACGTCGCCCAACCGACCCTGCAAAAGCTGAATATTTGCCGGACCTCTCGCCCTCGGACTACAACTTTCTTAACTCTTTCAGGACCACTGGTATACCATAATTTAAATGTCGCGTATTGAATTGCCTAGCGGTTTTCTCAGCGTACCAGCATGTAAAGTTGGTTGCTGAAAATATTATGTGTCAATTATTGGACCGCCAAATATTTTCTGCCTGGATCCATAGGTAGTAATTAACAGTTGTTTACAACGGACGTTCTACTCTCGCGTAAAATAGTGAAAATCTTTGCTTTTGGGAGATATAAAAAATGGCAGGTATGTTTCTTTTCGCTATGTTTGTTTTATAATTGCTTACTCAAGTTATGCATACAAATTTTGTTTTTTTTAATGTCCTATTCGTAGTTTTTATGAGTGGTAATCTGAAATAACCACTAGCCACTTTTCAATGTAGTGATAACAAAATTGTTTTAGGAAATAAAAAAGCAGCTTGGAAGCTTGTAGACCTGGAAAAACTGAACCTAGATGAACTGTATGTTATCCTCGATGAACAGTTCTCGTTTGGATTTCGTAGCAAACGGACGTGCTGATAAGCGAATCGACGAGTACGAGTACAAATAATATAATCATAATAATAAAAAAGTGTTCCATAACAAAAGCCGTAAAAACGTGAAACAAAATAAGTGTCGTTAGTTAGCAGTGCAAGAGCTGGTGGCACCGGTTATGCAGCTGGTCTAAAACATTTCCTCAACAATGACTCATAGCCAGGATGTGTCAGTAATAGAGCATAATCAAATACTAAGAATGTCATCAACAAGTGAAGAAGAATTAGAGGACTCACAACAAAATAGAAATAACCCGTGGCAAGTGATGAGAAGCGTTAAAAGGAGGAAAGTTGCCAAAGAGCAGAACAAAGAAACAACGGAAACTGTAACTGTAAACAACAGATTTGATATCCTAGCAGACAAAACAGATGATAATGTCGGAAATAACACTCAACGAATTCCAAAGCCACCCCCAATCTTTGTTCATGGAGTGATCAACTACGAGGAAATGGTCAACACCATTAGAGACATATTACAAGACGAGCAATATATCACGAAGAGCCTCGCAAACAACGTTGTGAAAATAAACTGCGCAACCCCAGAATCATACCGTAAGCTCATCAGAAACTTCAAAGAAAATAGTATCTTTCACCATACCTACCAACTGAAAGAAGAGCGATCATACAGGGTAGTGATAAGGTATCTACATCACTCTACAAAAATCGATGATATAAAAGAGGAGCTGGGAAAACTGGGTCACAAAGTTCGCAGCATAATAAATGTTCTTCATAGGACTACCAAAGAACCACTAAACTTATTCTTTGTAGATCTTGAGCCAGCCGAAAATAATAAAGATATATATAACATCAGAGGATTACAGAATAAAACTATTCAAATAGAGACCTAGAAAGAACAATATCATCCAGTGTATGAGGTGCCAACAATTTGGACATACTAAAACATACTGCAACAAACCATACTTATGTGTGAAATGTGGTGGTCCCCATAATACTAAGGACTGCAAGAAGCCGAAAGATGCGCCAGCAAAATGTGCCCTTTGTGGTGGCAGTCATACTGCAAACTATAGAGGCTGCGAACACTACCACAGAACATTGAAAAATAAAAATCCCACCTTCCAAACACCCCTACCACCTATGACTAGTGAACCAGCTTATGTTAACAATGTTGAGCCCGCCACTAACCGCCAATACTTCTTTCAGTGAAACATATTTCACTGAAAGAAGCTATTTTTCTATACCCGATTATATACTTTACAATACAAATCATCCCGATGGTACAGCACATGGAGGAGCTGCAGTACTTATTAAAAAAACAATCAAACACCACGAAATGCCTAAGTATGAAGAAAACCATATCCAGGCAGCATCTGTAAAAGTAAACAGTCTTCCTTACGATATAACAGTATCAGCTGTCTACTGTCCACCACGTCATAACCTCAAAAAAGAGCAATTCAAAAATTTCTTTATAACTTTTGGTCCAAAATTCATTGTTGGGGGGGACTACAATAGCAAGCATACCACATGGGGCTCACGGCTCACAACAACAATAGGAAGAGAACTGATACAAGTCATATTAGAAAACAACTACACGTTTATTTCACCAGAAGCACCTACTTATTGGCCTACAGATGTAAACAGACTTGCCGATCTTTTAGACTTCTTCATAACCAGTGGCATATCTTCATCTTATACAGAAATATCTTCAAGCTTTGACCTCACATCAGACCACAGCCCAATTACCCTAACTCTGAGCACAGCAGTGATATGTAAGAAACCCACTCCAAGATTGCATAATAACAAAACAAATTGGGATAGATACAAACAGATAATTGTAGATAACATCAATCTCTCAACCAGATTGAAGCAGCCAAATGATATAGAGGTCGACTGCAATAGCTTTATTTGTACACTCCAACAGGCAGCGAAAGAATCCACACCATTCATAGACTGTGCTTACAAAACAAAAAATATCCCCGTTGAAATAAAGAAGCTAGTTGCAGAGAAGAGAAGAGCACGATCAATCTGGCAACGTACCCGCACGCCAGCCAGCCGAACAAAGTACAACACCTGCTGTAATAAGAAATGAGGAATGCCTCCGTAGAAGGCTACGTATCTCAACTCACGAGACAAGATAACTCCATATGGAAGCCCATAAAAGCTAAGAGAAAACCTCATTCTACATCACCCCCAATCCGTAGCCAAACAGTAGCTAATGGTCAATGGGCAAAAAGCGATAAACAAAAAGCTGACGCATTTGCACAACACCTTGCCGAAGTGTTCATCCCACACAATGACGATCCAGTGCAGGAAGTAAATGAAGCCAATCTCATCCATCTTTTAACTCAAGAACGGTTAGCACCTTTCTCTCCGAAGGAATTACAAAATGAAATAAACAGGCTAAATATAAAAAAAGCTCCCGGAGCTGACATGATCACAGGCAAAATGTTACAATAACTTCCCAAGAAAGGCTTGATGAAATTGCTTTATATATTTAATGCGATTATAAGGCTATGTTCAAGAGTGCGCTAATAATTCTGGTACCGAAACCAGGAAAAAATCTAATCGATATTAGTTCTTATCGCCCGATCAGCCTGTTGCCAGTAATTTCTAAGCCTTTGGAAAGACTTATCCTCAATAGAATAAATGGCCAACTGGATCGGCTATCTTGGATCCCTAATCATCAGTTTGGCTTTAGGCCGGCTCACTCAACTGTGCAGCAGTGTCACCGCCTTTCGGATATAATCGCCAAATCCTTCGAAAGAAAAGAATACTGTACGGCAGCCTTCCTAGATGTGAAGCAGTCATTTGATAAAGTGTGGCATCCAGGCTTGTTGCATAAAATAAAGAAAGTATTGCCAGCCAAGTACCTCAAGTTGCTACAATCCTACTTAAGTGACCGCTGCTACAAAGTTAAAGTAAACAGTGAGACTTCAAGCTACTACCCTATGAAATCAGGAGTCCCACAGGGCAGCATACTGGGTCCCTTACTATATGTCGTATATACAGCGGATATACCCACAACAACTGAAACAACAGTTGGCACATTTGCAGACGATACGGCGATTCTTGCAACTGATGAAGATCCCGACCACGCTTCAAGTAAACTACAGAGGCACCTAGACGATATAGGAAGCTGGCTGAACAAATGGAAGATCAAAGTCAACGAAACCAAATCCACGCACATCACCTTCACTTTCCGCAAAGGACAATGCCCAGCTGTTTCCTTGAATCAAGTCACCATACCTCAACATGCAAGTGTTGGGATTGCACATGGACGACAAAATAAACTGGAAGCAACATTTATCCAAGAAAAGAAAACAGATCGACTTGAAAAGCCATGCTAGGCTTAGCGACCATCCAAACCCACTGCTGCCATCGCTATTGGATCCCACTGAGACCAGGAGACTGAAAAGGAAATTGCCACTAGACTTGCAAGACTGAGGTGACATCGTTGGATGTCTGCTTCATCCCGTCATGAGGTACAACTACTTAAAAATTGTACCATCCAGCAAATTAGCTTATAGAATGTACATACACTCTGATCGCTAATAAAGTAGGGAAAAAAAAATCCTCGATGAAATACCAAGTGGCAGTGAATCTGAAGGTTCGGATGTAGAAAGTGAAGTAGGAGAAGGATATCTAGAGGCAAATAACTTACCAGAAACTGACTTTCTTGACATTCAGAATATGGATATTATTCTTGAAGAGGAAAATGACGTGGCTGTTGAAGTAGACGCTGACATGGGTTGGGAGAGCGAGGACTATGTACCACTAGCAAGATTGGCGACCAATCAGTCTAGTATTTGGACAAATAACGGAAACTATGTCACTATAACAAATCCTTTCATAGAAGTAACAGGACCCAACCTAATTGCGGATGTAGAAACTCCGACTGACGTTTTTTTATCACTTTTTCCTGGAGATCTAATCCAACATATAGTATTCCAAACAAATTTGTACTACCTTCAAAAACATGGCGGAGGGGCTAATTTTACTCCAACGTCAGAAGAAGAAATAAAAAAATTTTGGGGGTCAATCTACTGATGGGCATCAAGCAAATGCACAGTTACAGAGACTATTGGTCATCCAACGACGAGCTCCGAGATAATTTCATTAGTGCTGCTATTTCACGGGATAGATTCTCGTGGTTACTAAGCCATATCCATCTCAACGACAATTCGGTACAACCGGGAAGAAATGACCCCAATTACGATAAACTTTTTAAAGTTCGACCAATTCTATCTAATCTTCGAGAAACATTTCTTTCCGCCATGAATCCACATGAATTTCAATCTATAGATGAATCCATGATACGATTCAAAGGACGAAGTTCAATTCGTCAATACATGCCAAACAAACCAATCAAGCGGGGCTACAAAGTCTGGGTTAGGTGTGACTCAACTGGTTTCATGTGCGATTTTCAAATATATACCGGAAAAATTGGCCAGACTACTGAAAAGAAATTAGCGTTACGGGTTGTGAAGGACCTCAGCAGAGCTTCAGCAGGAAAGCATCATGTAGGATAAGGTTATTTTATCATTTTTATTTTGCGTCAATGCGTAACCCTTGACCCTTGATTGACGACGCCTTTGCGCTGCCTACGCCACTGAATTAGAAAGCCTTCTAGAACAATGGAGAAGCCAACCGCGCAAGCGCCTCACGTTTTGACGGCTGACAACGGGCAGTCTGTACTCAGCCGCCGATTAAGACACACAGAAAAGACGTGAACTTAGACGCAGACGGCGTTATATACACTCATTCAATATTGTGTATTTAATCAATAGACGGCCATCATTCATCTGTATCCACGGACTCGTGATTTCCAACCCCTAAACCCCTAGACAAACAACAAATAGCCCTACATTTTGTGGCATAAAGTTTTTTTCGACAATTATTTCAATTCCGTTGAACTACAAAGATCTTTATTATCGAATGGAATATATGCATGTGGTACGATAAGGAAAGGTAGAAAAGATTTTCCTGAGCTGAAGTTAGATAAAGATATGAAACGAAGCGATAAAGATTATCGCATATCTACGTGCGAACTAGTGGCCATGAAGTGGATGGATCGAAGAAGCGTATTATTCCTCAGCAATTACCAAAATCGCGTTCCAAGGAGAAAAGATGGGGACCTTGATGAAGTAGCATGTCCCCAAATGGTTAGCGAATATACCAAGGAGAAAAGATGGGGTCCTTGATGAAGTAGCATGTCCCCAAATGGTTAGCGAATATACCAAGGAGAAAAGATGGGGTCCTTGATGAAGTAGCATATCCCCAAATGGTTATCGAATATAACACCCATATGGGCTCTGTCGATAAGTTCGACATGCTAAAAAGCCTGTAAGAAGTAAACCGTAAGTCACATAAGTGGTGGCATAGAATTTTCTTTTACTTTGTTGATGCATGTGTCGTCAACGCCTCAATTTTGTTTCGATTGCGGAGCAAATCAAAAGCAATGAATTTGAAAACATTTCGTTTGGCTGTATCCAGGGGCCTCATTGGCGCAGTAGTCCCTTCCAAACGAGGTATGCCATCAAACAAGGAACCTATCAAGAGGTTCAAAAAGTGTGTTCCGTTAGAACTTCAGTATTCTAAGGCATGCCACATGCCAGAAAGAACTACATTGTTGAGATGTGCCCACTGTAGCACCACAAAGGAAGTAGGGCGTACAAAGTGGAAGTGTTCATCGTGTATTGTGGGACTATGTATAAAACACGACAAAAACTGTTTTGCCGCTTACCATACCAAATAATGCTATTTATATTAAGTATTCGCCTGCTTTTGTTGCTGTTACCATGACCTATTTTTTATGTTAGTTTCCTACTGGTAATTCAGGAAGACCATGTCCTGCAGGATAATCCTGATTATTTTCCATTGGTTCTGCGATCTTAAAAACTAAGTAAAATATAAATAAACAGAGTTACACTCTTCATTTTGTTTTTTTATTTAAATAAATAAATTCGGCCTCAAAGGGTTAAACAACTCGACAACGTCATTCGCAAGAAATGCTTCAATAACCATGACGACGCCCAAAATGCCATCAATGAGTTCATCGCCTCCAAAACTCCGGATTTGTACGTTAGCGGCATAAACAAGCTTGTTCATTTTTGACAAAAGTGTACTGATTCTAATGGTTTTTATTTTTATTAATAAAGTTTTGTTAAAGCTGAGATATGCTCCTTTGAATTTGAAGGTTAAAAACCGCAAAAAGTTTTCGAACAACCTAACAAAAAATGAACTTTTTTGGGGGCCAAAAAACAATAAAAAAAATTTAACGAATATGAGGTCATTCGATTGATCCACATTCGTTGGACAGCTCCTCAAAAAAGGGAAATTTTCTAACAAAAAACTTATAACAATTAGAAAATCGCAGAAACAGTTGAGGATTTTTTAATGAATTCCTGGCGATTTTCAAATCAACTGTTATGGCAAATTGACCATGAAAAGTCTTATTTTGAAGATCTTCAACTCCAACAATTTTTCTGGACCATTTTCACCAATAATTCATCTATCTAAAAAAGTGTTTTTTCGAACTATGACGTTTAAAAAAAAAGTTAACCAGCAAAACCTTTTGTATCTCTCGTCGAGGGGCCTTTCTGTATAACCTTAATTTCATTATAAAAAAACAGCTCATTGCATTTTTCTCACAAATCCAAGGTATCACAGTCGCGCTTTACTTCGTATTTCTACGTACAAATGAACTTTGCATGGAAGATCCTTTCATTCAGACACGACACACGAATTTTGAATTCCAGGTGCTGTGCAGAAGACCATCAATCATATTTTCTGTGGTCAGATCTAGTAAACTTTTCAGCCTGCGTATCTGTCCATCACAGCTTGCTAACAAAGACGGGGAGGTTGAATCGACATTGTTATCTCGCAAAAAGTGATCTAGCACATCTACATCTTCCAAAAACTGAAACAAAGAACGGTTTTAGCAAAAACAATACTAGCTGAAACTTTCTCGCCAGTACAGTTCCATTATTTTGTATTTAGAATTTTTATGAGTGAAGATTACTTAATAAAAGAGATACTACACGTCGATTAAATAAACATTTTTATAAGAAATATCAATTTACGTTTCAACAGTCCAATGGCTGACTGAAAAACAGTTTGTTAAGAGAGGAATGTATTCATTCCTTATCCATAGCATTAAACCACAGTTACTCGAGTCTTTGAGCCAGCCATTTGACAGCCCAACAGAATTTTGTCACCCAAATATGTATTTCAAAAAAGGGTCTCTGTAATTGAAATAAATGTATTTTTTAAGAAAAAAAAATCAATCTATTAAAATATTTAATAAAAGCAATGTAACGATCCCAGCAAGATTACGAGGGATGTCTTTTAAGTTTTGCATAGAGAAACATAGTAGGCCGCGCGGATCGAACGTCAGTACTGAATCTTAACTTCACTGTTTAGTAAACTTAAATTCAAAGTTTCACAACAATACGTGCAGTGTTCTCACTACAGTGAATTTTTAAGTGTCACCAAGTCATTAGAAAAATGGAACTCAACCGAGAACATTTTCGCGCCATAATTTATTACAACTTTCAGAGACAATTACTGTTATGAATCAGAAAATAAACGACAGTCGGCTGTTTGGGTGTTCCAAGGTGAAGAAAAGCCAACAAAAGTCATCCGTTCTCGAAAAGGATGGTTGCGACATTTGTGTCAAAAGCGGGTCGTATTGCACAGTTCCTTCTAATGAGCAAAGAACTGTTACTGCGGATTGGTATACCACCATTTGTTTGCCAAAAGTCATCACCGAGCTTCGAAAAATCAACCCCGAAAGAATCATCCTCCACCAAGACAATGCAAGCTCGCACACAGATCAAAAAACAAGGCAGTATTTAACCGAAGAAAACGTGGAATTATTGGACCATCCTCCATATAGTCCCGATCTAAGTCCTAACGATTTCTTTTCTTTCCCGAAAATTAAAAACAGACTGCGTGGTCAAAGGTTCCAGTCACCAGAAGAAGCAGTTGACGCATTCAAAAATGCCGTTTTGGATCTGCCAGCAAACGAGTGGAATAGGTGCTTCGAAAATTGGTTCGAGCGCATGCAGATGTGTATTAATCTTCGTGGAGAATACTTCGAAAAACAATAAAGTCATTTAAAACTACCTACCGTGTTGTTTTATTTCCATATGCAAAACTTAAAAGACATCCCTCGTATAAGTGCTATCTACATATTATGCTGAAAAATACAATATAGTCGTATTCGCCATCCTCAGGAACTGCGAAACCCAATTTTCATGACTCGCAAGCTAAATTATAGAAAAAATTATTCCAAAAATTAAACTTGAGCATCCTGTATCTCTTACTAAGGCAAATTTGGTTCAATATAACCACAAATCCAAGCTACGCTTGTTTTTTGGGGCACTCATTAAGGATCACCATGTATAATAAGCATTTGTTTGCATGTTCTGATTTATTATACTTATTTTACTCCAGAAAATAGAAAGTATTTTTTACCTGCTTGATAATCTTGATGTTCTCATTACACTTATGTATAACTTCAAAGCTTCTTGGGTCTGTTTTGATCTCAGTCTTGGTATGCCTATCTTGTTCCTTCAATTGCTCTCCTTTATATTTCACTTCTGGCAAACATTCTCTGATATCATTCAGCATGCGACTTATTTCACTGAAATCTATTGCAATGTCTTCCTGAAAGAAAGATATATTTTTCAATAGGCGGATTCCTTTCCTCCTCACAAGAAAACTACATTCAGTTGAAAAGTTCACTTTTTGATTTAAGAAAAAACTACAAAGTTAATGAACAGAAAATATTTATTACTATCAACTTTATCGTGAATTCGGCGGGTTTTATTTCTTAAATATCACTCCGTCCAAATGTTGGTCATCCTTCACAATCTTCGAATCACGAGCGCAAATTCTGAAACACTTTCTTGCAGAGTTCCGGAGTGATGTTTATTTTTCGTCGAATGTTGTCTCCTCGTTCATATCCTTCTCGGTTTACAAAGGACATTATTTCAAATATAAGAGAAAAGGATAGGTTCAGGAATAAGTACAAAGCAACATTCAAGCCACTGTTATTTCAAATTCAAAGAACTTCGAGATATGATTAAAAATCAAATTATAGTCTCCTATTCAGCTTACATTCAAAATGCTGAGGATAGGATCAATAAGGATCCCACTAATTTTTGGTCATTTGTAAATGCAAAAAAGAAAAACTCTAGAATTAAAGGGGACATGAGGTTTAATGAAAACACTTGTTCCTCACCACAGGACGTAGTCGATGCTTTTGCAAAAATGTTTTCAACTGTGTTTAAAAACTCTGATTCTTCTAATTCTGAGTTCATGACTTCAAATCTAACTGGATATATCTCTGAACAATGTAAATGAAGCGGATATAATTCATGCTTCCAGAAAGTTAAAGAATAAAATCACTTCAGGCTATGATGGTGTGATTAGCTTTTTTAATAAAGGATTGCATTCATCTATTGGCGAAACCGCTTTGCATGATCTACAATATGATACCGTTAACATGCTCTTAACCTCGTATCTGGAAAATGACCAAGGTATGTCCCATCTTTAAAAGTGGCGATAGAAGTAATATTTGCAACTATAGGCAGATTGCGATACTTTGCAATTTTGGTAAGATTTTTGAAGTTATTATTTTCAACTCTGTTAAATGTACTTTTTCTCCTAACCAGCATGGTTTTGTTGCTGGCAGATCCAGTCACAAATCTGACCTGCCTGACTCAAACTATCTCTGAGATATTAGATGACCAGAGTCAGTTGGATGTCATTTATACCGACATTCAAAAGGCCTTTGATCAGATAGATCATTACTTGCTACAAATGATTGGGTTGTCTAAATGTTTATTGATCATATTTATTTGATAGAGATCTGTACGTGGAGTTTGGTGGTTTTAAATCTAATTCTTATACAGCAACATCTGGAGTGCCCCAAGGATCCAATTTGGGTCCTTTGTTTTTTGTGTTGTTTATCAATGATCTATCGCTGGAATTGCCTCGTATGCATTTACTTTATGCTGATGACTTAAAAATTTATATTGCTATTCAGAGCTATCACGACTGTATCTCTCTTCAAAACAGCTTGAACTTGGTGCATTCTTGGTGTTCCAGAAACTCTTACGATTAATGTATGTGTAAAGATCTGCCTTTTAGTAGGAAGCAAATTTGGTCTCCAATCTACAACAAAAGATTCAACATCCGTTCAGCACAAGATTCCCGTAATATGTAATCACTTTCCTTTAAAGCATGGACTGGTTTTTAACCATTTTTTTTTTCATTACGCCATGCAGTGTTGACCTAGAGATTCCCAAAGCAGCGGAACGCTTCCGTACAGAACGCCGAGGATTTGCAATGACCGAATCACTTACCTACTCGCACACATTTTCTTCGGTTGATACAGTAGGTGTGGGGTCAGGAATGGGTTGACTAAGAGTAGAGCCTTAATCCACTTTTTTAATAGGTTCTTACCTGGGGCTTCTCTTGGTCCGCAAATATTGTATCCTGTACAAAATTTCCGAAGAGCAGCTGCGTATGAATCACCACTCTTAAAGTAAGCATCGACAGCAAAAGCACGTTGCGCTCCGGTCCAACGTTCCATTGTGACTATTTAACCCGCACGCCGAACGCGTCGATCAAGACCTCTCCCCACTTTCTCGAACAATGAGGGTTCACAAATATGAGGAACTGCTCCTCACAGGCGTGAGTCCTGCTTAAATTGGCCTCGGATTATCACTGCAAACAGTTCCCCACAGCTCGACGGCAAATCCCCAAGACGGTGAGAAAAAGGGCTGCGCCAACAAAACTCACTAATGGAGGCCGATTTCTATTAAAATCCCACCACCCGATAAAAGCGCAGCACTGCGTGTGAAATTAATTCACTAAATCGGGTTGTGGCGCACTACTGCCTACACGAGAGCACCGGAAATAGCACCAAGTCACCTTCAGCTCTCGTATTTACGGTCGACGTAGATTATAAAAAAATATAATATAATAAATAAATATTTAGATACCTGATGCAAAATACTTTCTGGTGTGGTATATGAAATACCAGATACTAAATATGTACATTTTAAATACTTTTCAAAGGTAAAATACTTTTTTAAGTAAACATTTTATTGAGTTCAAATTTTATTACATGAATTATCTACTGAAATATTGCTATGCTCACACAAATGTCACAAAATATACTTATGAGGTTTTACTTGAAAATTATGCTGGGATGCTAGCAGCTCTAAGCATGAATTAAAGGGAGCTTTTCAAAAAAGGTAGTGAGAAAATAGTTAGTTATACATAAAAAAATAAGTTAATTTTCTGTGAAGTTGAATATTTGAATGGATAATATAAATAAGAGTTTGTGAAAAAAAGAAAATAACTCTTATAAGGTCTTTGTTACTGTTTTATTGACATAAGCAAAAATGATTATTATATTATAAATTAAAACTTATTACTATTACCTTTGTCAGTAGAGTATCTGTTTCCTCCAAGAATGTCTCACTGCCTTCTTCATACAGTTTGATGCCACCATAACTTGGAAATAGATTTAAGTCCTGGGTAGTCAAGAACTTCAAATCAATGTCATCCGTTGTTTCTGCCACGTCTGAACTTTGAATGCATATGTGCTTGAAGATTGTGATGAGTATTTCAAACTGAAAGATAGACTTATATAAAACATTTTTGGACGTATTGAACTTACTCAAACAAATAAAAGAGGACCGGGAAAAACAATTATAAATTGCAAAAAAAAATCGGTAAATTTAAGTACTGCAGCACTATGTACTTTTTATAAGATGTTTTAACATCTGAAGCTTCGTTACTTGATTCGTAAAGAATGTTAATAAGGTACAGTCAAGCAACAACATATTTTAACATGTCAACAGTATCTTACAATATATAATAAAATACCTAACACCACATTTTAGCATTTTTTCTTTAGACTTCCATTACCTACAGGGTGTTTCAAATTCTACCTTTACCATTGGGATCTTGTAAATTCTAAGAGATACGAAACCGCTTAAATGGGGGAAAGTTACGTCTTTAGGTAATGCAAAAAAACAAAATGCGGCTTAGAAAGTTTCAAAATTCAAAGCAGCTCCGGAGAGAGATGGAAAAACCCGAATTTTTCCAAAATCGATTCAATTTTTTCCTGACTTTATTTGTAGTGGGATTTCAAAATAAATTGCACATTAACGTTGCAACCTTTTCTCCTCTATAAGAAGGCATAACTAGAATTTCAAAATGATGTTTCGTCTCTTGTCCTTGGCCTTGGAATTATCAGACAGACAAAATCACTTTTATTTTTCCGTCCTTATTCGAGATGGGATTTAAAAGTAAATTGCATCTTAACATTGTTACTGTCTTTTCTACAAGATGGTATAGCCAAGTTTTCAATTCAACATTTCTTCTATCGACTTTCACCACCACCATTTTGAACATTTAAATGAACTTTTCAGTCCTATAATCAGTAATATATATCCCTGGTTGGCCATGAGTTTGTTGTTTGATGAAAATTGTAAGGAAATAAAAAGATATCGTGAAACCTGAACACAAAATGAAAATTTCATTGATGATAATAACAATAATAATAATCATAAATAAGCAGACGCAAAACATAGCAAATATTCAAAATATTGTCCCTTAATTTGTAGGCAAAGCCTAGATCTTCTCTGTACCATGTTCTCTGCTCAATTTGTTTCTCTTCTTCTCAGTCTAGCAAACTCTGTTGCTATGTTTAATTTGAGGTTTGGTCTGGTATACAAAACAACTGAAATCTGATAATTTCAAGGCCTACCTAGGAACTTCTGTTTTTATTTGCAATAACCAAGATTTGCAATGACTATATCATAATATACATTTTTGAAATCAGAAAAAACTAGCAATGTTAACATGCAATTTATTTTGGAATCCCATCTCAAATGACGCTGAGAAAAAATAAAAGTGATTTTGGGATAAATCTGGTAGGCAAAACAAATGACAGTTTGGTAATTTCAAAGCCTACCTAGGAAATTCTGGTTTTTTTAAATAACTAAGTTTTGCTAACATCAATGTATAACAGACAAATTATACATTCTTAGAATCAGAATTGGAGGACAAGAGATAAAACGTCATATTGAAATTGTAATTATGCCACCTTGTAGAGAAAAAAATGAAAATGGTAATGTGCAATTTATTTTAAAATCCTACTACAAATAACGTCAGGAAAACGATTTTGGGAATATTCGATTTTTCCTTCTCTCCCCGAAAGTACTTTGGATTTCAAACCTTTATAAGCGAGATTTTGTTGATTACTTGAGTACACAACTTTGCCCCCATTTAAGAGACTTCATATCACTTACAGTTGCCAAGATCCCAATGGTGAGGGTCAAATTTGAAACACCCTATATATTTTTTTATAATTTATTCTTGTTGGAAAATTAAACATGGAATAAAGCGCAGCAGAACCATTATAAGTATTGATAAAAATGTGCCCAACTCAGCTTACTTGAAAGTAATTATCAACCAATAGCAGCTTATTAGTTTTTCATTCTGATGTGATTCTATACTGCAATTTCTCTAATTACTTTCTGCAAAACGAATCACTCATGGGCATTGACATCTCTTGGAAGCACCACATTCCAAATGGAACTGAATGATCGACTTTTGATGTCACATTTCGGCATGTTAAAGTATAAACTCTACAAACCATAAACATGTACAGAATTCAAAAGTCTATCCCCAGATTTGCCTATCTTCCATGTGGGTTTGTATGCTGCACTTAACATTTTTTAGCTTTTAGATTTTTTAAAAATAATGTCAATCAAGCTGTCATATTAAAACAAATGGATTAAATATAAAACCGAACAGACCAATCAAGTGCAGTGCAGTTTAAAAAACTGTTAGCTAGGCTATTTCAATAAATTTTAATAGAATGGTCAGAAACCACTGCACCCCTTCAAGATGTGAATGCACTCATTGCTATTTTCAATCATCAATATGAAGATTTAGAATAGCTTTTACCTGTCTTGCAGGATTCAACTTTCCCTTCATGAATAAATCCTTTTCAAATTCATTCAAAAACCCAAATTGATACAACTTCTGGCCTAGGGCTTCTTCAGTCTGTGGGTACCTCTCAGATTTGTCATCTAGTAACTGTAGCAGCCAGGACACCAAAAAACACCTATTGGATTTATGGAATATTGCCAAAAACTGATCTTCACTCATGCTATCCACCAGGGGGTAGCCAAATGTCTTCAAATAACCCCTTAGTTCTTCCATATCGGCTGCAAGAACACGAATTTGAATTTAGCGGGTACAAATCTCAAGGGCAGCTTTCTGGGCATGTGAGTTTCTATCCCCCTTTGATAGAGAATGGCAAGTGAGACAGAAAAATCAAAACAAGCAAAACAAACGACGGGATTCAGAAAATGGCGAACGTTAGTGTTTTCTCAAAATAAAAACGGGAGAATACGGTCGACAAACAAAAATTCATTATTTCTACGCGGCAATTTACGTTGAGAATAAACCATACATAACCTGAAACGAATTAGAATCACTCCGAAACATTTGAGAGGTAGGATTTTGAGCATATTTGCTTGCTTGAATTGCTAATTATTCGTACAACAAAGCAAGCATGGCTTATTTCAACGCTTTTGATGTTAGAATTCCACCCTAGAGTTATTTCTTACCTTCAGAAAAATCAATATTGCCTTGACCGCACTTAACGTCAAACTGCCAAAACAAAAACAACTTCAAATGGAGAACGGTTACTTTTTTTACCAATGAAATTGTCCGGTTCCAGACTGGTCGTAAATCATAAAAGGCCGGACGAATGACAGACGAAGACGGTCGGAAGACATCCACAAGGTCACTATTCAAATAAAAACATGATTGTACCGTGTATTTTCATTTGGAAAAGCCTTGTTTATGTTTCTCCATTTATGCGTTCGTTGAAAAGGACCCCACCTACGTACATTTTAAATTTGAATTGATTTGTTTTTCATGAATCAAGGAAAATAATGAATAAAACACTTTTACATAGTAGGCGCCTGTACTATATGCAACCAATCATAATGCATGTAGTGGATTTTAGTTTTATTTGGCTTGTTATCCGAATTCCAAGCAGCTCCTGGGATGGAAATATATATTCTTATGTAGATCAGATTCTTGCCCATAATATAGATAAAAAACAATTATTGGATATTGGATTCAACTAGATTTACTTACAATATTAGACTAAAGATTTTATCAACAAAGAAATTAAGAAAATAAATGGACTATTACACGCAGCCAGTGATTTACCTCCTGCAATTATGGGTTGCCTAAATCTGAATACCATATTAAAATTAAATTATTCTGAGCAGTGGCGTTTCATGGAAAGAGTCGGATGAAGGAAAAAGGATTTCCAGAGAAAGTCGCCCATAATAATGCTAAAGCAGTCAATCACAATGGGGTACGACCAATATTACTCAAATTAACCTTCACAGGGTCTGTAAATGATGACTACGGGCGAAAAATATTGGGAAAGGGGGTAGGGTAAATAAAAATCAGGAAGAGTAGAGTATAAGGACAACTCATAGAAAAGTAGACAACATATATTAACCATGGTTTAAACGACTAAAATAATTTTGATAGAGAATGCAAAGCTACTCCGTCAAGTAGAATCGCTATCATAGTAAATATTGAATGAACATATTGCCATGGTAAAAATTCTGATAATAGATTAGTAACCAAAGACTCCAAAAACCCCAAGGTAATTTGCAGATTACTTATCAGGTTTTGGGATGCCAAACTTTTCTGGAATAAGTGGACCAGTATTGAAACTAAAGAATGTTTTTCAAAAAACGGCTCCTATGTAAATTATGAATAGGCTTCCCAAAAGTACGATTGTCGAGCCATTAGCCAGGTTTTTTTAAATTCTCCTGTACAAGATGGCTTAATTAGAATTCCAATATGAAGTTTTATCTCGTGTTCTCCAGCATCAACTTTATTTTTTTCAGATGAATAGAGTTCTTGATTCTGATTCAAAAAATCTATAGTATGTTATACATTGAAATTGCCAACCCTTAGTTATTCCAGAAAAACAGATTTTCCTACGTCATCTTGTAGAGGAGAAAAAGTGTCAGTATTAGGGTGCAAGTCGTTTTGAAATCCAACTACAAACAAGTCAGAAAAGAAATAAAACGATATTTCAAAGCGGCATTTTGTTGAAAAACTAAATATGCAAGTTTGCCCAAATTTAAGCGGCTTCATAGTTATCTCTTACAGTTTAGGAGATCCCCATGGTGAAGGCCGACAATGCAACACCCTGTATATTTATTGTGCGAAGAAAATTAGCAATATTATGTTGGGGCCTGTCATCCCTGACGATATGACTTATTTGTCTTTATGAACACCTTTATATCTGATACTCCCACTGGTCATTAAATGCTGTCAAAATTCCATTACCTTATGGATTGTTATTCCAAAGTTTTTTAAAAAAAGCTAATTTCCAGTAGCAGCCTTTAAGATCCTGTACCTTTTATAGAAACTTGGGGCATTATTTTTTGTTCTCTCCATTCATCCAGGGAGACCAAGTATACATATGTACAACACAGTGAACGTGAACATAGTGACGTCGAAAGTCCGCATTATTAAGGCACTACTGACATATGCCGACAAAAATGACGTCTTTATGACGGTCTAATGACACACCCAATTGACGTCATTGTAAAGGGCGTTTTTTTTTCGAGGTATAGAACTTTAAGTTGGCATTACTTTTTAAGATGGCGAATTGGATCTCTGTCCATCCACTTTATGGACGATTTTGCGGAAGGATCTTGGTTTGCGAGCTTACAAAATCCAACTCGTGCAAGAAGTGAAGCCAAACGATCATCAAGCAAGGCGTCGATTCGTTGAATGGGCCCAAAACGAGATTGCCGTTGTTTCCGATTTTCATATGCGAATTTTGTTTAGCGATGAAGCGCACTTCTGGTTGAATGGCTACGTCAACAAACAAAACTGCCGCATTTGGAGTGAAGCTAATCGTCAAGTCTATGTCGAGACACCGTTACATCCAGAAAAACTGACTGTTTGGTGCGCTTTATGGGCCGCTGGAATCATTGGTCCGTACTTCTTCAAAAACGATGATGACCAGAACGTTACAGTCCATGGTGATCGGTATAGAGCCATGATTACTAACTTTTTAATTCATGATTTGAACAATCATGATGTCCAGGAGCTGTGGTTCCAACAAGACGGCGCAACATGTCACACAGCTCGTGCTACAATCGATTTACTGACTGAAAGACATGTTTGGTGACCGCCTAATTTCACGTTTTGGACCTGTGAATTGGCCTCCAAGATCTTGTGATTCAACACCGCTAGACTATTTTCTGTGGGGCTATGTAAAGTCATTGGTCTATGCGGATAAGCCACAAACGCTTGACCATTTGGAAGAGAACATTCGCCATGTTATTGCTGATATACGGCCACAAATGTTGGAAAAAGTCATCGAAAATTGGACGTCCAGATTGGACCTCATCCGAGCCAGCCGTGGCAGTCATATGCCAGAAATCATATTTAAAATTTAGTGCCACAAGATTATCTTTCGAATAAAAAAAATGCATGTCGATCGAATAATCCATCGTTGTTTTGTTGCAATTTAAAGTTCTATACCTCTAAAAAAACACCCGTTATAAAAGACCAAATGCAAAGTCAATATGACGTGGATATGACGTGTGTCTGAGGTCGATATGACGTCTATGTGACGTCGATATGACGGGCTGTAGCTTGCAAAGATAATCGCGTGGTGTATCCAAATGCTCCTGAAAAATTGAGGATTTGACAACGACGCCCCACAAGCAGTGAATCCAGGAGTGGTGAAAAGGCGCCGATTCGGATAATGATGTGATGTGATAATGTACCACTCTTAAAACTTCTCGTTCCGAGACGTCGCTTCACTTTCGCAATTTTTCAGGAGCATTTGGACACAGTATATCGAAATGGTTAAAAAAGAACCAAGAAACACAGTTTAATGGACGTCACTTTTGAGTCAATGATGTTTCTGACTACTAATGACCGAATAATGACGTAATTTTGGCGTCATTACGTTCACTAACAAGTCTGGTAGCTGTACCTAGAATATGAATTCTGAATTAAGCATATGCGTTTTTCTTCCAGAGCCTCGGCTTGACGGGCAACCCACAATGGCCAGCCCATCGCCTCAAAACAGCCCAATGCCTCCCCCACAAGCCCCCAGCCCCATGGGCCCGCCCAGTCAGAACCCCGCACCGTCGCATTCGCCCCACAGTACCTACCAACCGCCACCGATGGGGCACATGAACGGACCACCGCCACCTTCCAGCCACGGCCCTCATGGACATGGCCCAATGTCCGCGCCCGGACATGGACCGATGCAGACGTCTGGACATCCTCCTATGCCAGGTAATGGCTGTTCTTTGAGTATTAAGACTCCCCCAAACCAACGCGGAATATTCGCAATACCTGCGAATATTAGACGAGCTCTTAGCAGTATTCCAATAAAAGCATCCGTTATGATACATAATTTTATTCACAAATCATTATCAAAGGGAATTCTCATGCATTACAAAGATGCAGATGGCCAAAATGGAAAATGCTGAATTATAATAAAAACAGTGTACAGTCATGGCATAGAAAAAGTTCAGACTTACCGGTAGATGCTTTCAGCCCTGTAGAAAAGCCATTCTTGAAGTCCTGTCGACGGATGGTAGTATTCATATCTGACCATAACTTTGACAAGTGTTTCCTTCAATCATTCACGTTTCATCAAGATAATAGGTATATCAAGTACTTACGTCGCCATATCACAATTTCTTCTTTTTTAATCAAAATTCCTCGCCCGATTTAAATACCTAAAGTTCAAGTCTTGAATTGTTCTTTTTAAAAACCTCATAGAAGTTTTCGGAATAGATACTGTCGTCCTTTTCAATTTCAGCTGCAATTTTTTGTATGGTAGGCATCTCCTGGAAAAAAATGATGTATGTGTCTGCAGACAGCATATTTGCCATCCTTATCTAGAACGATTTTCTTTCCTCCTCTGGTACCATCACTAGTCGTCAGATGTTCTTCTCTGTGAATTGCAGTTTTTTTATTGATTATCCGAAAAATTGTTCTTTGGGACAGTTTTGTTAAGATGCTACAGCATCGTGAACAGCTAGTATTTTGTCCCGCGAAAAGTTGTGTATTGAATCTCCGTCCACAGTAGAAAAGGTTCTATGTTTTTTTTTTGTGTCAAACTTTCACTTTGCCCGTCCATTAGCTGTTTCGTCTATTCTGAATCAACATAAATCAAATTCAAGCGGATAACCAAATGAAAATGGTATTTACCAGTTTGGGTTGGTATTTACCGATCCGTTCAAGCGAGTATGGTGATCAGTTTGGTTATAAGATCCGTGACGTCATGAATCAGCTGTTATATGTCACAGTTATCACCGCAAAATTCTGGTATTTACCCAACTCATGAGTAGTTTTATATTTCTGGTTATTATTTGAAATGTGACAAGTTAGAATTTTGCCGGGTATTGGATATTGTTATTGTACTTCAGCTTCATTTTTGGGACACTTGATACAGGCTGACTTCAGTGTTAGCATAAAGTGGAGCACCTTATTAGTTATACTCATTACTGTTGTTCTGTAGTTTCTGTGTTTAACAAAGTATCCTGTGTAGCCATATACCACAAGAATATTAAAATATGGCCATTTAACTCACTGGATGCTGTCCACCTGTATACGGTTTTGCTAATATCTTTCTTCATCATTCCTGCTAAATCAATAAATATTTTCTTCGACATGCGGAAAACTTTTGAGAACGTTATCATAGCTACAAAACCATGGTTCCATCATTAAAAAAAAATTTCTGAAAAAAAATTTATCCCATGAATATTATGAAAGGTTTCTTATTTAAACTTTCCATACACCGTTATAGACAAAAAAGCACCGATTATTAAGTGATAATAAAAATAATCAGAGATTATATACACACTTTCCTAAAATAAACAACTTGCAACAAAACCGCGGTTAAAACTAACGCGTTCAAGCGATTCGTGTAACTGACGTCATCAACCCGTGTGTCATCTTGAACCATATTATAACCGCGGCACATAACACAGACATTTTGGTTATTCCCTTGGATTTGATTATAATCGTATTACAACTATTCGCATTAGGCTACGCCACTGGAATGTTAACAGTGAGGTAAGGGGTGTCGACACAATAGACCAATCGCGATCATCGTTTGCCCTGACAGGGTTGCCATGTTGTTATTATAGTCGGCAATTATATGTTCGAAACTACCAAATTGATGTTTTACCAATTCCTTGTCTGCCGTCCGTCAGTGTAGAAATTTTACATTGTGCCATATTCATAGTCCTACTACCGTTTGTCCATTTGAGTATACGTTTTCTTAGTTATTACTAGATCTAAACTGTATCCATTGAAGAAACAAAGTAAAATCAAACATATACACCCGTATTGCACGTGATCAAGAACTTAACCGTAGGAGACGCTACAGGGCCGTATCAAGCTATTGTGACTGATCTATCAAAAAATGTCGTACAAGATATGTGTTGCTGTAAATTCTATCAAAAGCATAGTAAATTATCAGGAATATACCACGCCTTTCTAATCATATTTCGACATTAGGAATCAGTGCAAAAAATTCTGTATTCACCATTTCAGCAAAATGTTACTGAAACGCACACGAAAAAAACTTGTGGACCATCTCAATTGAAATTGTTCATATTTTATTATTAACTTACATATATACCCAATAATATTTACAAATCAACCTTCTATTCACAATGCAGAGCAAATTTTTTTGAGCAAATAGAAACTACAGACGTAGTAGTAGTACAAAGAACAAAAGTTTATTACAGAGTCCATAAAGTTTGTTAGTTTGATTGCTATTAAAATTTACATGAGAAATAGGAAGAAGGTCAAAATGGCACTATTATGCTTTGGAACTCCTAAATTAACCCTAATTTTGTGTAATTATAAATTTGGAATTTCCACATTAATAACTAGAAACTTACACTTTGATTGCAGTCTATAATGAACTTACCTGTCTTGCCAAAAAGCCCGTTAAACTGCCAGTCTTAATGGTATCAATCGATTTATATGCTGTATTCCGAATTGTTGATGTCAATTATAAGGGGTTCAACTTGGGTGTCAATGATATTGTCCATATCCCACATTTTGGTTTCAACCTTCTCTTGGACATGGTCAATACATGTTCTCCATTTTGCTGGCGTAATTCTATCGACAGCAACATCAAACAGTTTTTTAAGGTCAGAAAACTTAAAAGTGCTGTTATTTGATGTCGGCCCAAATCAACTCTATAGGATTCAGTTCGCAGTGATAGGGAGGCAGCCTGAGAATCGTTTTATTTTGGTTTTTGGCCATTTCGTCAACAATTTTTAAATCATATTTATACTTATGTCGCTTGACTATATTTATCAGCTCAGCTTTGACCATTGTTTGGTCGAAGTCGATCTTCTTTGAGACAAGCCACTGTTGAATGTCTGCCTTTTTGGTGGCCATTGTTGGAATTTTTTCCAATTTTCTGGAGTGGTACGGGGCATTATCCATCACAATAATTGCGTTATCATCAAGTGTCGGCAAAATTTTTTTGAACCAATTTTCAAATGAGTTACCATCCATTTCTTCGTGATAGTCTCCAGTTTTTTTGGATTCAAATGCCCACAATGCTTCAGGAACAAATCCATGTACGCTACCTATGTGGCAAATGATCAGGCGTTTTCCCTTGCCTGAAAGTAATTAGTTATTTTACTTCTCAGCGAGCGCACTAAATGACGAAATTAAGCAACTTACTCTTTTTAGGTTAGTGTAGGATAGGGTCTTAGATTAGTTTTTGGGTGAAGGAAATACTCAGAAACTTGGATGTGATGGCAAAACTGAGTTCGGAGCTTCCAAATCATTGATTCGATCAGAAAATGAATTATCTGCATCCAAAAAAGTTCATATGCTTCGAAACTTACCTGCAGGATTTTTCAATCCCGTCGAAAGGCCATCTAAAAAAGCCTGCCTTGAGGACCTCACAGATCTGTCTACCCAAACCTTTCCCTGCGTATGCCCCGCGTTCACCCATGTTTCGTCTAAATAATAAATTTTTATTCCTTCAGCGCGGAATTGCCTAATTTTTCTAAGGTATTCTCTCCTCCAGATAACAATTTCCTCCTTTTCTATCAATAAACTATTCCTTCCTCTTTTCAAAAATCGAAAGTCTAGTTCTTTCAACAGCTTATGGAACGTAGATCTTTTAAAATTTGGCAGGTCCTCATCATCATTCACTTGCTTCAATATTTTATCTATTGTAGGTATTTCATTCCTGAAGAAAAAGTGATGTACTTTTCTTCTAATGGCACTTTTGTCAAAGTCATCTATTTTTTCGATGATTTTTTTTCTCGCTGGATATGTTTTTGGCTCAGATAGTGAGTGATTTTGTCTATATTCCTTCAAGATTTTGTAAACACTTGATCGACCTACTCCAGAAATTTCAGCAACCTTACATACGATATTTTCTATAGCCAATCCACTATTCTCTTGCATCTGGTTCTTGTAGATATTTAGAATAATTTGTTTTTCACCTGCGCTAAGATGAAGCTTTTTAGCCCTTTTCCTGGGTGGCGTTAAGCTGATTTCAACCACTTCATCAGCTGTATCTGTGTCAGACATTTTAGACTAATATTAAATTTCCGCAAGAAAAATCAAGTCAAGACGTGCTCGCGCTCATAAACGGGTATCCGTAACTGATTACAATCCTGTGCGTGGTGACGATCCATCAACGTGACGCTGAGAGTTCCCTCTACTATGCAGCGTTGCCAGGCTTAATGTCACAATGATCATGTTTTATTGGGAAAATTGTCAGAAATCGCCGAATGTTGAACAGAAACATTACAAGAAGTCTAACCTTGAAATGTGAGGATACAAATCGATATTCTTATAGGGGGGAAGGGTAGGGAGCTGTTATGGTTCCTATTAACCTTGGTGAAAGTTGGACACGGTAATATCATATATGGCATACATTCGGTTGAAGGTGTGTGCACGGAAAATAGATTGCGGATAGGATTTTAATAGATAAATCTGCACAAAAAAACACAAAAGATTTTTGTATTTCCCTGAAGAATATCTCAAGGTTATTTCAGATGTACTCATCGAAACTTTATGGAAGGATTATCGAAACCTTATTTTCAATTGCGATAGGGCCACATACCTCGACATCGCATTAATGTGAAAAATAAGACAATAGAAAAAAATTCCCTCACTGATGCTATCTCTTAGGAAAATTTAACTATAAAGATTGCACAAAAATTTTCTTCACCTTTTTGAGCTTCTTTCGCATCTCCGTATATGCCGTTCATAATTTGCTGCAGATCAAATTGGAATATACCTTTGTGATGCCATTTATTGTTATATAATGTCCTTTACAACAGTTATTGCACGTATTGCACCAACAGATTGATTTGTGATCCATGCGAATGTGATCAACCACTCTGGCGAAAACTCGCCGAGCGTGGCAACTGTGCGACTTTGTCTGGAGGCTCGTCGCTACAAGCCAATCAGGAAGAGGCCGACAGAGCGCCATGGCTACCGATCACGCGTTGATCACGATCATATATTTTTTTAAAACGGAGAGGTAAATTCGTTTCTGAAATCTGGCAACTGCGGTTTTTCAGCAACATTGATCAGTCAATGCCAAGAATTTCCTATTCTATTCAGGCTGTATAGCCACGTCAAACTGGGAGTTGATAGTTTGAGGTCAAACTGTCATCAATTATGAGTCGACTGAACAAGGACTTGCTTTTGATTGAAACAAAGTCATGATATTTTTCTCTGAAATAAAACAAAACGAAGAATTACTACCATCTAACTTACTCGTTCTGTCCGCCCGATCACAGACAGTCAACCATGGACAGATGTTTTGTGCTTTTTGGCAACTCATCAGCATCGAAATTCCAGTCAGTCATAGTATCATAATCATAGTATATATCCTGGAGGATATACAGAGAAATCCGTATACCACTGACGTCGTAATGTGTCCAAGAGAGAAACGTTCAATACGTATGTTAGGAAAAGATAGAAGCACCATGTTTCCTAGCAACCTGAGTGACGAGGAATCGCAAACAGCTGCAGCTTGCCGCGTTGCCAACGGTGCACTCTTTCCAACATTCGGATTGCACTCTTCTCGCGCTTGTCTTTCGTACGATTACCTCGTCAGTGATAATTGGATTTTTCTGTATGCTCTGTTCCCAGAGAGTGAGCACCTACTTTGTATAAGTCTTATACTGAGATAGAAATGCATTATTATAGCATTGTTAGCTTCAAATGAGTGTGCAGCTAAAACGTCTCATCATTTGAGGGAATTTAGCAAAATAACTCGCTCGATACAATGTCCCGCATCGCAAGCAAAACGTTTCCATAAGATGCGATGTGACTTCACCTGCTATTACCACCAGCGGAGCTATTATGTTCGTTATCATCTCATTGCTGATAAAAAGCTCAACTCATAGCCAGCTAGTAATTATCCGTGATAACGTCGGAATACGAGCCAAGTAAATTGACTATGAATTCGTAATCATCCCATAAAACCACTAGGGCGCAAAATGCTAATTTATTCCAATACTCATAATGGAAATTTCTCCAGCTCTGATCATAGAAAGCTGTAGATGATGGAATATTATAGGTATATCTTATGTTACCGGTGAAATGGGGTGAATAGAAACAGTTTCGGACCTTTCCTACTCTGTTGCTAACATGGTAGTCACCTTTTTGACAACAAAAAATAAGGAATCTACAGGTCTCGACTTGTAGATCAAAAAGCGCATAATAGATTTTTTTTTAAATAGGGGGTTTTCCAAATAAAAAATAAAAACGCTCTTTTTCTATTCACCCTTAATGTGGGGTGAATAGAAACACCCATTTAAATTGGTCAAATTTGCTATTCTACCCACACGAAGGCGAATAGAAAAACCTGAAAAAATTTTTAAATTGATAAAAAAATATAAATACACAAAAAAAACTGACAAAAACACCAATTTTACAAAAAAAAACATTTATTTCTATAGAAATGTAACAAGTTTAAACATATTATTTAAATTAAACAACTTTGATGCAAATTAAATTTTAAAATGTCTCTTCTTGACGTAGATGCTTCTATCTCGTCATGAACTGGGAAAACCTCTCCAACAACCTGGCTAAAATGAAAGGTGGAAACATCCGGAACTTCTGGAAATCCATAAATATATCCTGACGAGTGTTTGGTGGGGCGACTTCTTAAGAAAGTGGCTTCAATGTCATTTTCTGTAATATTAATGACTTGTCCGATAAAATATTTATTTCTTTGTCTATTTCGATATTTTGTTGGAAAACACACCAGAAGCCAAGTTCCTTTATCTATTAAATCAAGCGAAATAGGAGAAACACATCGAAACAATTTACCCTCAAAGCAGACTGATGCTGATGAATTATTTGTATCCAACTTATTCTCGGACTTATCGGTGAAACTTGGTAGTGAAGTGTCCATTTCTGAGTCTGCATCTGAAGAATGATCTTGATCTTTTTCCATGTCAGAGTCTTCACTTGAAGAATGATCTTGAGCTTTTGCTATTATTGGCATGAAATTAATAAGGGGCAAATTCATTTCCGGGTCTGAATCTTCATCTAAGGTTTCCATACTTCTTTCCAAATCAGTATCCTCTTGATCGTCTTTATCCAACGTGCTTTCAAAATCTGCACTTGTAACGCTTTTGCCAGCAGGAACTTGAATTTTACGACGTCGACTCTTCACATTTTGACCATCGCCATATCTCATTGTTCTTAGAAGGTTTACCAAAGAGTTATTAAGTCCTTCTTCAATGTTCTGATTCTCATCATTTGTCTCGTCAAGATTTTGCTGCGGAAGGCGTCCCAAGACTTGATCCCTATTTAGTGGAAAAATTCCACACTTTCTAAAGCCAGATTGTATATTTTTTCCAGCATTAGGCTCAATAGCCTTTGACAAGTCATTTAGCAAGAAAGGGAATCTGCCCTTTGGAACCGTGCAATGCTTTGAACCAGCCCCCATTTTCCATTTTTCAAGGCTCTGTCGCCAGGCTGTTTTAAGAGGCCGGAAAAATGCCACGTCCAGAGGCTGGGTCAGATGAGTAGAGTTAGCCGGGAGGAATATAAATGAAATATTATTTTCTTCGCAAAGAGATACCGTACTTGCAGAAAAATGTGAACTCAGATTATCGCCAATTAAGTACTTCTTTCCCGTTAGATTTTTTACTGCAGGTATGGCAGTGCTCTCTACCCAATCTGAGAAGGAAATCGCATCAAACCAACCTGATGGACTTCTATTAAATCTGACGTCCTTTGGTCCTCCAACTGTCCAAGATGTATACAAATTTTTAGCTTTGTAAACCACGTATGGTGGGAAAAATTTTCCATCAGCTGAAGCAGCGTACATAATAGAAACGGCTGACTTCGACGTATTGCAAATACGTTCTGGATAGCGACAGCCCCTTTTCGAGATTACTTTCTTTCTACCCGGATCGTCAGTTAAATTTGTTTCGTCGTAATTTACTATGTTTGATGGCGGTACATTTTTCAACTCCGTGGCTAAATTGTCAAAATAAGCATTGATAGTATTGGGAGAAACAGCAGCTCTTGAGCGCTTGATGTTTTGGCAGATTCTAGATCTTAATTCATTTTTGTGACGTTTTAAAAAAAGAATAGACAAAGTCTCTGCCAGGGATATTATCTTTAAATCTCGTTATTGTTTTACCTCTACTGTCTAGGTAATTTTTTATCATCATCCTGACGTCCAAATGGTCAAGTGGATACCCCCAATCGGAACAAACTATTAGTTGATGGACTAAAATATCTTCTTCTTGTTTGGTTAGGGCTGTTTGTCCTCCATGAAGCTTCAGATTTCGGTTTTTGTGGTGCCGATAAAGCACAGAATAATGAATGTTGTATGTTTCGTGAGCCACTCTATAACTCATCCCGTTGTCAATTGAAGCAAGGGCTATTTTTAGAGTTTTTTCATCAATTTTCTTATATGTTTTACCTCGAGGGTCTGGTTTATAAACGCGAGGCATTTTCCTGCAAAAGAAAAAACAGTTATGGGGTGGATAGAAACAGCGGGTGAATAGAAACAGCGTGTTTCTATTCACCCCAAAATTACTTAAAAGTGTGGTTATGTATTATATTACATCATAGCAAAAAAAATAAGCAAGACAAGCAATTTCTGAAATAGGCAATGTGAACCAGGCACCTTAAAGCTACTTTAACCAAAAACTCAATGTCTTACCTGTTTTTAGCTAACCACTGTGAATAAAGTTTTGCTAGTGATGAAAAAGGCTCATGTGTTCACTCCGACGGGTGGTTGCTACTGCAATCAGGGCTGCCAGCATAAAACATCTTTGGCCTGTTAAAGCAGTTATGGCGACATCTGTTGACCGTTTGAGAACAAATTTGAAGCGTTGGGAGGTTTAATTCCAATGTTGATTTTTTTTAAAAGAAGTTTCCCGTTTTTGTTGCTATTCACCCAGCAGTTTCTATTCACCCCATTTCACGGTACGTGTTATATTTTGCATGACAGAAACAGACAGATTTTTGTAACCCTTAATGATTTGCCAATTTGCGTCTTAAAATCTTTATGTGGAGACAGTAAAACAAATTTTACTTTCCAGGTTCTGGTCATCCATCGATACCGGTCTCAGGGCACGGTCCTATGCCCGGTCCAGGTCACCCTTCGATCCCTGTATCCAGTCACGGACCAATTCCTGTGTCTGGACACTCGCCTATACCTGTATCGCATGCTCCGATTTCCGTATCTGGTCACTCACCAATGCCTATTACTGGTCATGCTCCTATCAGCCCAGGTAATTATTTTCATAAGCTCAGGAAAGCAGATCAAACCCAATACCAAGTAACATTAAGGCGGCTCCGACGCAGTGAGTTTCAAGCCATTTACAAGGGTTCACCTGCTTCGAAACTGACACTTCATTTTTCAATATTTTTGAATGAAATTCATTACAGTATGGTCAGAAGATAGTTGCCCAGGGTGCTATAGGAGCACTTTTTGAAATCTTGTTTTTGCACAAGTTTTATGATGCGTTGAAGTGCGCACTTTTTCTGTTCAACTTCGCGATTTTTTTAAAAAGAATCTACTGAAAAAAATGAAAAAGTGGCTCTATAGCACCCTGTGAGGTTTTATTTTCAGCACACTATGAAAATTTCATTCAAAAATATCAAAAAATAAAGAGTCAATTCCGAAGCGCGAAAATGTGTGTTTTTTTAAGTCATATGTCATCTACATCACGAAAAACTATATCACTCAGCATCAACTTGGAAATTACCGCTCATATTTTTATGAAATTTCCACACGGGGTTACTAGTATGCCAAAGCTTTGTAGTTTTAGTCGAATGGCAAGGGTGCTATAGGCAAAAAAGAAAAAGTAAAAATTGCTGAAACTCCGTCTTTGACGTTACACGGGTTCCTTATTATTGACATAAAAAAAATGTACTGCTTAAAAAGTGGGGGTTGGGGGAAGGTGATTCTAAATGTTGCATCTTTGATATCAGTGAAACACGTTGCAGGAAATTTAAGTAGCGAAAATCCGACGAATAAGGTGCTCACGATTTGAAAAAATCGGTACCTGCTCTATAGGTTTGACACCAAGAGCCAACAGATCTACCTGCAATTGCCGACAGTAGGGAAGAATGAATTCGGATACCACTGCAGTCAAGTATAAGGGAATTTAGCGTGGAACTTTAACATTATCGATATGTCAAGGAAATATGTTTTTGAGAACAATAATTTGGTAGATTTTATACCTGCATTTTCATTTGAACTTCATGGCCCGTGAAATGTACCCATTTCGCCGTTACCTTCAATTTGTGTTGTGCAGTTTGTGATGTTTTTCTGGATATAAGCAGTACATAATTGTCTAAGGTGCTATCAGAGCTTTTTACAAAATTTTGTCTTTGCGCAAGATTTATGGTGGGTTGAAATGCTTACTATTTGTGCTCAACTTCTTGATATTTTAAAAAGATCCTAGTGGATAAAATCGAAAAAGTGGAACGTTAGCACCCTGTGGACTTCGTTTTTAGCACGCTGCAAAGGTAAGCTGTGAAGTGCAAATCGGTTTTTGGGCGAAATTCGTCTACTGTTTCGTCCTGCCAGTCCAAGCGACGCGACGGTGCGTTCCGACTAAGAAAAAATGTATTCAAATAATTTCATGTCTTTAGTAAAATAAATTCAAGAACTCGAATTCAAATTCGTTTATTCATGTCAATAAACACAATTATGTTTACAAGGGTTATGTGGTACATGGTGACAATTGCTCGAGGGTCATAAAAATATCTTATGCCTTCAAAATAAGAGGAAATAGTTTGTTAGTTTTTGCAAAGCAATAAACAGGTAGGTTTATACTTGGATTAAGTACATTTCTTGTCTACTGTAATAGGTAGATGGAGGCGATGCTGCCAGAAATGGACTTGTGCGATCAATAAACAAACCACAAGATTGAACTGCCGTGTCCAATGATTTTTGTATTGCCTTTTTTATTGCCTTACTAGAAAACTCTGTTGGGTACATGATGGAGTTTACTAGAACTTTACAGATTGTTGTCTACCTTCTTCTACAAACTTCACCAAATCGAGACGCTGTCAACCTTATCTTCCGATGAAGGCGCCACAAAGTACAGTCCTGTGATTTGGTGACTTGTTCGATCTGCAAAATCTCGTCGTCACTTTTTTTAAGTTTCCCTAAAAATTCTAGCTTAGCAACCTCCAAATTAATGTTGTTCATGTCAGGTTTTTGACAGAATTCGCCATAAAACTATTCATTTTCTTTGGAATTGCTATCCGAATTGTTAGTAATTTTTTGAAATCGGCTTTTTTTGGCCTGAGTTTCTTTTCATGATTCTTGTGTTTGAGTCTTTGTTCCATCTAAGTGATAAGCGAGGTTGGACTAAGCTTAGAACGCAAATGTATTTGGACCACATAGACAGGCCGCTGGGTATTGTGGCTCACTACAGGTGCAGCATATCATCCACGGTATGACCTCTTCTTGCAATAATTTATTCGCTGACTCCCCAATGTATTTTGCGGTTATAGAGTTGAACTGCGCCACACTATTGTTGACCTCATCATGAATTAAACTCACTGCATTCGTAATTAAAATGGTCGCATATGACCTTTTATTGTCCATTATCAATCTTGATAAAAAAAGGCACTCAAGTACAATCACACCAACAAGAGTACAGCACAACAATTCAACAACACAATATCGACGAACAGTAACAAGGGGAGAAAAATACTAAATGATCACTTGCCGAGTACCAAAATAGGAAACGATTTACAGGCTAGATCGCTAATCGAAATCCGACTCTGTTATTATAAAAATTTACCTTGGTATGCACCCGCAATCATCCTTTCCTATTTTAAAGTATCGCCGACGACCGTCTAGGCCCAGCCCACCCTCGTTTCCTTTTCACCCCTCGCTACCTCAGCAGATGGTTCTCGTGATTGTAGGAGCCCCGTCTAGATGTACATATGCACGTACAATTAATCGCGTTCGTATTAAAGTTGCCTTTTGGTGTTTTTCGGTCAGCCGCGCCTTTGTGGGACAATTATATTTTACATGAATCTGAACATTGCTTTTAAAAAAACAGTAATCGAGCTGGCCCTTTTCCAACGAGCGTAACGATTCACTCAAACATTCATTTATTAAGCAGAACCAATACCTATCGTTTTGATGAAAATCAATACTTATTCTCTTACAAAACCATTAAAAATGCGCATTTCGAATATCCCACATGCCAGAAAGCGGGTAATTTCCATGTTATGGTCGAGTTTTCCCTGCCCTTAAGTTTCTTCAACAACTTTCTGTATCACCTTGTATATGTAAATTACGCATCCAGCTGAAAAACTGAAGCTGACCTTAGACCACATTGAAAAGCTCTAAAGGTTAGCTTTCGAGTCCTTTTGAGGATTTGACAAGGTGTGGCACAGATCTATAATGTAATAGATTTATCTATTTCGGGCTTTGCGCCCTTAGTGACACAACTTGATTTCAGGATGATCAACCTTATTCTGTTTAAAATGTATATACAGGGTGTCCGGTAAATAGTACGACAAAAAATGGGGTAGATAGACCAAAGGCGGATCTACAACATACCAAAAAATGACCCTAGTAAAAGTTCACCGTTTTTGAGATATTGATTTTTTTGTCTGTTTCGAAAAATGTCCTCGTTTGATCTTACTTTTATCGCTGATTAAGCAGGCAATTTATCGCAGTAGTTTGCACTAGCTGAATACCAAAGTTGAATAAAACAGTTTTCTAAAATAAAAATTACGAAGAAGAAATTAGTTTGTCTAATTTACCTACTTGTATTTATCGAAAATGATATTTCAAATAGCAGACCAACTATCTGAGAATATTTTGCAAAAAAAACAAACAGATATCCTGTTATATCTAGGCACAACAACAAAAGATAGATTAAAAAAAGAGAGACAAAAAATTAATATCTCCAAAACAGTGAAACTTTTACTAGCGTCATTTTTTGGTATGTTGTAGATCTGCCCTTCGCCTATCGTCCCTACTTTTTTGTCGTACTACTTACCGGACACCCTATAGAAAGGTACCTCGGTCATTCCTCTGCCCAGCGCAGCATTTCCGATGAATTATATTACTTGCAATACCTAACAAGTTTCTAATAACAAATTATTATACAGTATGATCATACTACAATAAATGGATCCAAAATGGCTTCCTCTTCTGACTCATAAAACATTTAAAATTTTTCCTTGATATTAGGAAGTTTCGGATTAAAATTAATAACATTCTGCCGAGAACATGGCCCATCAGAACCGGTGTCCCTCAGGGAAAGGTTCTTGGACCAATCCTGCATTCAATTTTGGTTTATGACGTCCCTTGTCCCACTAACTGTAAACTCTATCTCCATACTGATAACAGTGCCCAAGTATCCCAGTCGTGTGCTGGGAATCTGGTTCACGACAGGCTTCACAGTCCGGGGGTGGAATGACTGATCAAAATTAATCATTCGAAAACGCAAGCAATCTATTGTATTAAAAGCGTAGCGGCGCCCCGTGTGAGGTTTTAGGGCACGGAGCTCGCGTACCATGGGAAATTTGTGCTAAGTATCTTGGTGTCACTCTTAACAAGAGGTTGACCTGGCAGAAGCACACTGAAGCGTTAAAAACTAAATGTTTGTTACGGCAACTCTACCATATGCTATGTAGAACCTCAAAATCAAGTGTGGAAAAGAAAGTTCGGCTATACAAGATGTTTGTCAGACCAGCCATCAGTTACGCACGTGCGGTTTGGTGTTTTCTCGACAAAACGAATTTGCGAAACCTGCAGGAGTCGCAGAACAGGACCTTGTATACGATCACTAACGCCCAATGATACCTTTCAGAGAGACCATGACATCACTTATCTAAGAGACAACATCAAAGAACAAAAGCAACATAGTCAAGCGGAGTCGCTTAGCAACCCCTTGTCGCGCAAGTCAGTAGACTACACAGTCGAGCAAGTTCATAAGCAGACAAGGCAGGGGCTCGCACTGTTAACAAAGTAAATCGTGCCACTTTAGGCACAAGCAAAATTATAATTTTTCTTCAACTACGAATCTCTGAATCGATTTCAGAATTAATTTAAAATTCTCGAAGACTAGATCACAATGCCAAGGCACCCCTTAACTTGACGCAATTCTCTTTGCTCTCCTTCCTTCCTTTCTTTCCTCTTCCCTTCTTTCTTTCTGACCTGCAATACTTCAACCAGGAGGAAAAGTCCTACGGACTGCTCTGACAGACAATGACGAATTTGTTTATGATAAATTAAATTTTTATGACCCTAAATACCAAATTTAGTAACTGTTTATAATGCGTTCGTGATGTACCATTCTAGTACTTTGAAAAAGGCCACAGAGATGGCCAAAACGTCAGTGAATCTTTCGCGTGACTTCATTTAACGGTCGGTGGAACATGGAGATTCATCAACCACAGTATAAATTCTTTATCTTCCAAGAACCATGTACTGTTACTCATTCTTCTTTGCTCCACGGACTTTTGTAGATAATTCCCATGGTTCGAATATAATTTTATTGCAGGACACGGTCCAATGCCTCCCCACATGCCACCCCCACACGGTCACAACCCAATGGGCGGTCCACCTCCACCGCCCCATATGATGATGTCAGGGCAACCGCCTCCGCATCATCAGGGGCAGCCTGGCCCGCCCCATCACCAAAGCCAACCGGGACCTCCGCATCATCAACCCGGCCCGCCTCATCATCAGGGACCGCCTCCAGGTCAAGGACATCCTGACATGCCTCCTCATGGACAGGGGTACCCGCAAAGACAGGTGAGTATAATTTGAAACAAACGATGGTGTCGTTCATAGGAGTGTTACAATGGTTCAGGGGGGAGGGGGGGGTGGCCCGCACCGTGTGTCACCCACCCGGTCAAGGTGAACTCCAGACAAGATCGAAGTCTCTTCAAGACCTGGCTTCATTGTTCGAGATCGTACAAATATTTTGCTTTTGGCGAATGCTGATAAACTGAAATTAGCTACATCCAAATTTACTGATCTTTATGATGAGGTCTGAGAAACATAATTATTTTTGGAGACACCAAGACTGCGAAGATACTTAAAAGCCGCTTATGTTACAGTTTTCCCAGCTATTTCCAATAATCAGATACAGGGTGGCGCATCGAAAATGAAACAGACGCATTTACTGGCAGCTCAGTTTTTTTTTGGAAAAACGCTCAGACCCGTCGATTGTGTTTTTGAGGAGGACACAAGTTTGGAAAAAAATCATGTTAACACGTGCTGCCCCCTGGGCGGGGGTGACACCAACCCTAAAATCTTAAATGGAAAGATGGGTAGAGTGATACCTTATTTTAAAGGTCTTTCAATTCCATTTATAATGATGTAAAATACATATAAAACAAATAACAAATAAAACTAATCCATCATCATTAGTGGACATCAATACATTTGGCAGCTAAGTAATTTAAAAATGAAGAATGAACTGACCCGTTATACAAGTAAATGTTGAAAATGGCCACCATGACTCTCCATCCAATAATAAAGATTTTGCTCAAAACGTTGCCGCACATTTTGCAATATTTGAGGAGTAATTTGAAGGCAGTCATTCACAATTCTTTGTCGCAGGTCTTCTAATGATCTTGGCTGAGTAGCATATATTTTGCTTTTTAAATGACCCCACATAAAGAAATCCAAAGGTGATAAATCTGGCGATCTTGGGGGCCACTCAATGGCACCTCTTCTACAAATCCATCGATCTGAAAACGTCTGATCTAAATATCGTCGAACACGTAATGCGTAATGTGGTGGGGCACCATCCTGTTGGAACATCAACCTATTCGCAATGTACCGCCGATCATTCTGATTTTCAATTATGGCTGTTAATGCAGGATCTATGGCGTCTTCCAGTAATTCCAAATACATTTCACCGGTCAAATTTTCAGGTAAGAAAAAAGGACCAACTAAATGATCGCCAAAAATAAGAGGCCAAACATTTAATTTTTGTGGCTGCTGTGTATGAACCTCATGATAAATTCTGGGATTAGAATCGGACCAATATCGGCAGTTATGACGATTTACTACGCCATTTAAGAAAAAGGAACATTCATCGGAAAAGCAAGTGTCGAATAGAAAATGTTCATCGTTTATAATTCGTTCACTCATATCTTCACAAAATTGTAATCGCCGATCAAAATCGTCTTCATTAAGTGATTTTTTGAAAAGCTTGTGTCCCCCTCGAAAACAAAATCGACGGGTCTGCGCATTTTTCCAAAAAAAAAATTGAGCTGCCAGTAAATGCGTCTGTTTCGTTTTCGATGCGCCACCCTGTTTACCTATTCGCCTGTTCTATCTATTCTGCATCGATAAGGGAACCAATCGAAACAGATCAGTACGGGCTCCTTTTGTCACCGTAGAAGGTGTTAAGTTTCCAACGTTGCCAATAATACGATGTTTACTGTGATCTTAAGTTTTTTAAAGCTGAATGTAAAAAAAGAATTTGGCTTTCGTTTAAATTAGGTTTTATCACGATTAAATCGTTTAAAATTTCACATCCAAACCCTTTTAGTAAAATATATATTTTATACTTCAATATCCAAAAGAGTGTAAAACATAAGCTATCTTTAGGTTGGACTGATTTAAATTGCGCGCCAAATTTGATACACGCATTTCGGTAGGTGGCGCTGAGTAGTTTTTTAAAGCACATGTGTCCAATTCATCATGGAGCGCTACACGATCCCACAACGCGTCCGTATTGTTAAAACGTTTTACTTAAATAAATAATGAGCCGATTATTGCAACGATTCGGAGGCTACGACAAGATTTCGGTCCAAATGATGTGCCCAGTGTCAACATCATTCGTCAGTTGGTGCGGAAATTTGAACAAACAAGATTTGCCAAGGTCGAGCCGTGTTCGAACTGTTCGTACTCCGGAAAATATTGAGAGAGTTCGTGAAAATATAGCGGGGCGCCCTGACACGTCTACCAGACATCGTTCTCAAGAACTAGGTATTCGTCGCACGTCATTATGCATTATTTTAAGAAAAAGACATGCATTTGCAGCCATATAAAATTCAGTTGACCCAAGAAATACAGCCTAGTGTCCATGAAAGTCAACAACAATTGTTGAATTGTTACATTCCATCACTTTGTTAATGGTATTATATAATATAATATTACGCAACTATACTAAGTGACATATAAATCCGAACACCCAGTTTAAATGGTTTTATTTTAATAAAATTTTGTATAAGTACTTAATGAAGCATAATAAGTAAATGATAAAAATATCAAAATGGTTGCACTGCTTTAAAGCCCTTTGACCCTTGCAACATGTGGTCGGGCATTATCTTGTTGGAAAGTTCGATCTGCCAGGGTGTCAAGATAGGGTAAAAGATGGGGTTCTAGAACTTCGTGGATATAACGCTGCGCGTTCATGTTACCTCTGATGAAGATTAAAGGTGACCTGGAACCATAAGCTATAACACCCCAAACCATAACTCCAACAGTGTGATGAACATGTCTTTCAACAAAAAACTGTGGATTCCTCCTTTCACCACGTCGCCTTCTAACCCTGGCACGACCATCGTGCATGCCTAAACAAAATCGAGACTCGTCACTAAAGACAATACTGTTCCATTCCTGATCCCAGAGTGACCGTTATCTGCACCACTCAAGGCGATTACGTCGGTGTTCTCGAGTTAAAGGGAGGACCCAGTGTCGCCGGTATGAAAACAAGCCAAAACTTCTCATTCGTCGGTAAACACTTCGCATGCCAATAGGTCTTCCGTGTTCTGCAAACCACTCATTTGCAATGGACCTGGTAGTGGAGAAACGGTCCCTTAAGGCCAATAATCTTAGGCGGCGATCTTCACGGTCTGTTGTTCTACGGCGGCGTCCAATGCCCCTTGCTCTTTGCGTACGGCCTTCTCGAAGCCATGCCTGACAACACCTAACCACAGTGTCTACACTTCTTGGCACTCTAACTGCAATTGCCCGAAAAGAAAGTCCAGCTTCCCGAAGTCCCCTATACGGCCCCTATCAAACTCTCTAAGTTGACGAAATCGTACAGGTCTCTGTACTCTAGGCATCGTAACCGATCGTAAAGGATGTCAAGAACCAAAATCCGCCAACGTTGATTCTTTACTGCGGCTGAAATATTCATTTTTAGAGCATTATTATTAAAATAAAACCATTTAAACTGGGTGTTCGGATTTATATGTCACTTAGTATATGATCTGAAATCAAAAGATAACACAGTTTGTGAAATCAGTGTCATATCAACAGCGTACTATCTTAAGACTTTATTCTAATGTTTTTACATTTAATGATTAAATACCTGTTTCTAAGTATATACAAATGGAGGAAATATGTACAATCATTTTCAAGCGAATATCGCTTTGATATTCTTAGCATTAATCCTTTCCTCGTCTGCTTTCTTTTCGTGAATCAAAAATTCGTCAGCTAATGCTTTCGACGCAGCCACCAAAAAGTTCGGGTCCATCAAATCAAAAGCCTTTCCTGAAACAAGAGTTTTAACATAATATTATCATAATAATTCGATGACGTTATTTGGAATATTTTCTCCATAGTGATTCTGTTTAGTGCATGTGAAGAATTCCAAACTAGACTGCACACCGCAAATCGCTACTTCTTATTTATTGATCTTCAATGAATGATGGTATCGCGTCGCGGACTCGCGTTTTCAAAAAACGGCTTACAAGGATTTGATACTTTATTCTAATATAAATACAATGTTTCGACTAACAACGATATGTTAGCAAACCTAACCCAATTGAAGAGTAATAGGATTAAACTGATGCCTGAAGGGCACAACCAATATATAACATAGGGTTGATTACTAAGATAAGATATAAGTACACCGATTAGGAAGATATACGAGGGGCTCTCGCTATATAACTAATGCAATGGCGTTGATGACGTCTAATCTATATAGAAATATTGAGTCTATAGAATCTTTTAAGAACTCTTAAGTACTTCTGGTAACAGTACCTGAATCTGAAGTATCACAGATATGGCCTCCAGCTTCTGTAACAATAAGACCCGCCGCAGCAACGTCCCACGGGTACAAACCATCACACTGGTAAGCATCAAGCCTGCCATCTGCCACATAACACGCACTTATAACTGCTGTTCCAAACGAGCGAATACTGTAACACACAATAGTTACATACATTATCTCACCAAGAATACTATATGTACATTATAAAAATACATTGAGTCTATACAGGGTGGCGCATCGAAAACGAAACAGGCGCATTTACTGAAGTACATTAATTTTATATCATTGTAAAGGGAATTTAAAGACATTAAAATAAAGTATCACTCGACCTCCCTTTCCATTTAAGATTTTGGGGGTGCGCGTGCTGCACGTGTTAACGAGATTTGTCGCCAAACTTGTGTCGACGGATCTGAGCTTTTTTCAAAAAAAAACTGAGCTGCCAGTAAATGCGTCTGTTTCATTTTCGATGCGCCACCCTGTATATCAGAAGACGCCACATTAATGTGATGTAAAAACCTGGAGTGACAGTCGTGCTTTGAAGGGTTGCCAAGTTGGATGATTTTTACTTTAATTTTTGAGGGATAACTGTTATTTGGGGATTTTTTTGAAAAAGTAGCAATTCTTAGAGATTTTTGGCGCTTGCTGTGAGCGAATGTTCGATCGATCTGGCAACTCTGTGGTTTGACAGATCACCGCTATAATGAACACCAACAAATCGATTGCCATTTAGCTCTTTGTAAATTAACTCAACTATTTTGGTGTAAATAGCCGCAAATCTGTTACTGTTATTTGGCTATTTGGTAAGAACTGTTGAAAAGCCTACCTTTGTGCGGTGGTGAATTGCTTAACGAGGGGGAACAGTAACATATTCGTTGTTTAGAATTCCTGCTATTCTTCAAAATACTGGTGAAAAACTAAAATTTTGTCCATATTCCGTGCAGATTAATGGACGAAGTCACTGAAGATGACCGAAATATGCAAGAATTTGTTTCAGGTGTTTTAGAAAAGGTAACGTGTTGAAAAACAAACTTGGTGAGAGGGAGATCCAGCAGATTTAAGATAAAGATAAGAAAGATCACCTGCCAAAAATGAGATATATAACTATGAAAACAGAAGTTATTCGTAAAACCTGAAAGTTTGCATCTAGCTGATTAGCTTCTAGGGCCCTACGTGGGAGATTTGACGATTTAGTTTAGTATCACACTATGGAATCAGGACATGTTGTCAGTTTGAGTTTGAAATATTCCCTAACCTCAGATTCCTGCGCATGCACAGTAGCTGGTACACTCCGATTACTACGCCCTGAGTCAGGCGTTAAGTGTTGAGGTCGTTATTTTCAGATTTATCCTGCTCCATGATCAAAATAGAAAGTGTAAATGACAACAACCAACCACGAAGCGGAAAATGTAACTGTTCATTCGATCCGTAGCGCTTTCCACAGATATGTGCTTTTACACTATCTACCCACTTTTCTCAGTACATTTTTCTGTCATCATGCGTTGTTCCACTGGGAAAATTATTACAAAGTGCATTGCACTAGGCGTATTACTTGTGCACCAAGGATTTTCACGGTGCAAGATACGCTATAACCTCAAAATGGTTCCCAGTTTGGACTAAATTAGTGGACTGGGGGAAAAACTTCGAAAGTCAAAAAATTGACAAATAATCACATAATCAAACTGAATTAGTTTTGCTTCTGTAGTATTGCATTTTACCAGTGGCGAACGCTATCAGTACTGACATGACGTTCGTTACAATGCCGTCGTTGTTTGAATCCGTTCGTTAGCATCCATGGGGCTTGAATTTTCATAGCATTCATAGAAACATACTATACAGAAACATGAATAAGTCTCAAAAAGTTCGAAGCAATTGGATGTATGCATTAGTTCTGAATAAAGGACAATTGGTTTGTTCTTCCCTACTTTCTTATGGAAAGCAACCATAGAACAAATATGTCGTCGAGTTACGCTATTTTTAAGCTCTACAATGAGATACAGTAAAATACTAGTTATTTCTCTAGCTAAACTTGGTGGTGTGTAGCTCGCGAACTAACTAGTTCAGTCGAACGATTCTTATGATTGAACTAATTGAATTAGTTCATCATTCCTTGAAAAATTTGTTCACTTGTTCACCACGAACGACTGATATTACAGGATCTAATCGAAATAATTGTGCGCGAATGAAGGAGAACGAGATAGGTAAAAGGAGAAAGAAAACACAACCGCAAGCAGAAGGTTGTATAACTGGTTGCCTAGAAGTTATGAAAAAGATGATAAAGGCTGAAACCACTAAACATTGAAATGATAGGATGAAAATGTAAATTAACTATAAATATCAATTTAAAAACATTAGTTTTATAACTTTATCGGCTTCTAGTTTTTTTCTGGTGATAAGACTGCTTGCTCAGCACTCGAAAAAAAGCCGCTCGCGTGGCACAGATGGAGATACAAAAGATTTTCAAATCAAGGGATAATACTGATATTAAAAACTATAGAGCGGTGGCAATATTGTCGAATTTCTCCAAATTGCTGGAGATAATATTGCATAATAGAGTTTACTCCGCAATTCATAGATCTCTGTTCCCCTTTACTAAGAGATTCACAGCAACTAATTTAACAATCTTCACTCAGTTCGCTATTGAATGTGTCGATCGGCAAGGTCAACTAGATGTAGTATACTACGTGACATATAAATCCGAACACCCAGTTTAAATGGTTTTATTTTAATAAAATTTTGTATAAGTACTTAATGAAGCATAATAAGTAAATGATAAAAATTTCAAAATGATTGCACTGCTTTGAAGCCCTTTGACCTTTAATAATGTGTGGATGCACCCTGATGTGCTACGCATTCTCCAACGCGCCTAGGCATGCTTCTGATCAGGTGGTCAATGTCCTCCTGTAGTATCTCATTCCAGGCAACCACCAACTCCTCTCGAAGTGCTTCTAGAGTCTGAGGAGGACGTTGCAAATTGAGCAATCTCCTACCCATCATATCCCACACGTGCTCAATTGGGGATAAGTCGGGAGATCTTGGTGGCCATGGTAACAATGTGACATCATTATGTTGAAAGAAGTCTATTGTGACTCTTGCAACATGTGGTCGGGCATTATCTTGTTGGAAAGTTGGATCTGCCAGGGTGTCAAGATAAGGTAAAAGGTGGGATTCTAGAACTTCGTGGATATAACGCTGCGCGTTCATGTTACCTCTGATGAAGATTAAAGGTGACCTGGAACCATAAGCTATAGCACCCCAAATCATAACTCCAACAGTGTGATGAACATGTCTTTCAACAAAAAACTGTGGATTCCTCCTTTCACCACGTCGCCTTCTAACCCTGGCACGACCATCGTGCATGCCTAAACAAATCGAGACTCGTCACTAAAGACAATACTGTTCCATTCCTGATCCCAGAGTGACCGCTGTCTGCACCACTCAAGGCGATTACGTCGGTGTTCTCGAGTTAAAGGGAGGACCCAGTGTGGCCGGTATGAAAACAAGCCAAAACTTCTCATTCGTCGGTAAACACTTCGCATGCCAATAGGTCTTCCGTGTTCTGCAAACCATTCATTTGCAATGGACCTGGTAGTGGAGAAACGGTCCCTTAAGGCCAATAATCTTAGGCGGCGATCTTCACGGTCTGTTGTTCTACGGCGGCGTCCAGTGCTCCTTGCTATTTGCGTACGGCCTTCTCGAAGCCATGCCTGACAACACCTAACCACAGTGTCTACACTTCTTTGCACTCTAACTGCAATTGCCCGAAAAGAAAGTCCAGCTTCCCGAAGTCCCACTATACGGCCCCTATCAAACTCACTAAGTTGACGAAATCGTACAGGTCTCCGTACTCTAGGCATCGTAACCGATCGTAAAGGATGTCAAAAACCAAAATCCGCCAACGTTGATTCTTTACTGCGGCTGAAATATTCATTTTTAGAGCGTTAGTGAATTAAAAAAAAGCAGTATAAAAACCGGAATGTCCAACTGATAAGGCTGAAAATTTTTTCACTTGTTATTTACAGTAAGATAAATACATTCACCAACTTTTATTAAAATAAAACCATTTAAACTGGGTGTTCGAATTTATATGTCACTTAGTATATATACCGATTTTGCTAAAGCGTTCGATAGGGTGGACCATGGAATACTTTTGAATAAACTTTTATATTATGTACTCCATTCATCAGCTTTAGCACTCATTACAAGTTATCTTCACGAAAGGAAGCAATATGCTACTTTTAACGGTTTCAAGTCGTGCCAGTATATAACTAAATCGGGAGTGCCTCAGGGTTCAAATCTTGGTCCTTTATTGTTTACCTTATGTATTGATGATGTTGTGCATTATTTAAGTTGTAATAAGCTCCTCTTTGCGGATGATTTTAAATTATTCAGGATTATTGAGTCTGAGACTGATTGTATTGCACTTCAGCGTGATTTTGATTCTCTAGCGGCTTGGTGTGACGAGAATAATTTATTTCTTAATGCGTCTAAGTGTAGTGTAGTCAGCTTTTCCAGGAAAACTTATGCTTGTAAATTTAATTATAAAATTGGGGACGCTTACGTAAATCGTTATAACTCAATTAAGGATTTGGGTGTAGTTTTTGACCATAAACTTAATTTTTCGTTCCACATAGCTCAAAAGGTGAGTGAAGCTTCGCGAGCGTAGGTACCATCCATATCACCTATGCTTGCATCATCCTTAGGATTTCGCAGCTCGAATGGAGTTTAGTAGGATAATGCCAAATAAAGTGAGTGAAGACACTACTTTCTTGAACGAGGTTCTTTTTAGCGATGATGTAACTTTTAACAGCATTGGTGTTGTCAACAGGCATAACATGCACTATTATGCGATGGAAAACCCTTACTGGGTTAGGCAAATAGATTTCGAAAATAAATGGAGCTTGAATGTTTGGGGAGGAGTTATTGGCAGACAAGTTATCGGGAAATTCTTTTTCGACAACAGATTAACAGGTACAGAATACTTGAATTGTTTGATCGAGCATTTGCCTTTGCTGTTGGAGGATGTCAACCTGCAAACTCGAATGCATATGTACTTCCAACATAATGGCGCACCTGCGCATTATCATAATCGTGTGCGTAACTATTTGGCCATCGGGAGTAATAATCATTGGATTGCTCGTGATGGGCCTATATCTTGGCCTCCTAGATCAACAGATATGATACCGATCGACTTCTTTCTATGGGGCTACGTTAAGCAAGAGGTTTATGAATATCCACCAACTACCCTGGAAAATATGAGAGAAAGAATTAAGGATGCTTTTCTGAACATAAGGGAACACATGCTGAGGGATGTGCAACGGTCATTCATTCAAAAACTACGGCTGTGTATTCAACATGGTGGAGATATTTTCGAGCAGTTTTTGTAGATTAGGTCTTGAGTAGTGATAGTTGTTTGTTTATGATGTTGTTATAGTTGTTTTTCTCTATTACAATTGAAGCTGATTTATACTGTTCTGATTGTTATTAGTTTTTACGTCAAATCTGCAGACTTAGTGTTGTTTTATTAAAAGCTTAACAACTCAAAATCTAGTGATTTTATCTGAATCAAACCTTATACCAAAAAAAGCTTATAAAAATTTGATCCAAACTTGCACAAATATACAGGGTGATGCCTTTAAAATTTTTGAGAAAAAGTACTCCTACAATTCGCGTTTTTGGGCACCCTGAATGAACAAAAATGAAAATCCGAAAAAGTAACAAATAAGATAGAAGCGTGTAAGGTTTTTTTTGATATAAAGCTAAGCACTCCAAATTTCAAAATGGCGGATTGAGGGGTTGCCGAAGGGGACGGTTTTTCTGGACAAAACACCTTAGATCTCAGTAGCTAATCACCAAAACCCCATAGCATATTATATCAATTTTCTTCTTTTAAATTGGTTCATCCAAATATGCAATAAAATTTGAGGCATTCCATTTACAAAATCTACAACTTTAATATGTAGGTCAAAATTGAGACACCGCATTGCCAGTATTTTAGAAATGTGCCCTCAAATGTCATGTATAACATGCTTGCGATTTTCCCAAATGGTATTTGTTTATGAGTAATATTCCGTCCACACATGGATGGGCGTAGCTAGAAATTGCTTGGATAATTTATGATATGTTACTCCCCTGAGTGAGATATGTTTTTTCTTTTTCTTGTTTGCTTTTTTCTTTAGATGAAATCACCTGCTTTTTATGCGTTTTCTGTTCTTATTATTTTGATTTATCTTAGGATTGTCCTGTAAATGGTTCTCAACTAATCTGTTTACGCCAAGGTCAGAATCCTGCTTTCTTCTTCATTTCATTTTCAGCTTAGTATTTGTATTATTTAGTGAACACTTGTAAAATCAAAAGAAACTCTAGGTAGAATACATTATCTGAGATTGTTAGAAAACTTTCATGTCTCATAGCTACATCTACTATGTGAGCGACAGTTTACGTCGAGTATTTATATTTGAAACGTTCATCTTAACAAAAAAAAATTAAATAGAAAAGAAAACAACAGTACGAGGTGTTCCGGAGCGGTTGCCCATTCAAATACGCATCCCATACGCTGCTTAACTCCGGTGAATGCATGGAATATTGAGAGGCACCGCTTTCACTGACATTTTTCTTGTGTAAAATAGCTCGTTCGTGAACTAGTTCCTAGAACTATTGAACTAGTTCACAAAAATTAACTAGGAAGCACATTACTAGTTGAACTCCTTATGATAAAATTGCTCAAAGTCGTTATATTATTCTTCCAAGAATTTGAACGATAGCCTTATAATTACCTTATCAACAATACAATGCCAAAAGGACGTACCCACTTACTACTCTCATTAGATGCTTCAGTCTGTACATGTACAGATCGAGATACTTTGGATTCCTTGCTAATGATATTTCGTAGGCAAATACGACTTTCGATATATCTGAAAAAAAAATTAGTGCTCGTTACGTCAGTAGTACAATATATTGAATTAATATATATTTCAGAAATATTCAACACCGTTAACAGCCAAATATTAAAAAAATTGTGGTAATTGTAAGAAAGTTCGGAGGTCCTGAAACAGTTTACAAGTTCAAACTACATTAGTGTGGCACATAATTTTGTTATTTTTCTGAATCTTATGCATAAATATAGTGGGCGATTTTAATTCCAATTAAGGCTTCTCAAGTTCTCTTTTTATCAAAACTTTTATATGGATTATGGAACTTAGATCGTTGTCTGATGATCCAACTTTTTGTTATCCGATAAATGAGTCGACGGATTTTGAAAAAATTACTTAACTGAAGTTTCAGGTGCCCTTTTTCAAAGTACAAATTCATAATACGTAAAATTAAATCTTGAAATTGATGGTTTGTCTTACATTTTTTCAATTCCCGTGCCAATTTTTGAGAAATGAGATATGTTTTTTGAATGTTACATGACATGTACATCCAGAAAAACTATCTCACAAATTTCCGCCTGTACCTGTATGTCTGTTTGACACAAGGTTACTAAATTGCAAGGGATGAAAAAGCATTGTAGTCGAGAAAAAGCGTCGGGCAGAAAAGAAACAAAAGAAAAACGAATAAAAAGCGAGTTAATTTTATTATTTTGATGTTTCAGAGATCCCTACTCATTTTCATAATTTTTGTAGGTTGGGGGGCTGTAAGGGTTGTAAATTTGCATCTATGGCATCAATCATTAACAAGCATCTGATTCCAGTAATATTACGCACTTCTAAGCATTAATATTCTCACATATTGTCCATACATTTGTCACTACAGTAGAGATGTGTGATATATAGGTCCATTTTTTATATAGAATTTGTTTTAAAATATATCGTAATTAGGTGAACATGCCTACAGAGTTCGATTTCACTCGAGAATTTGCCCATCCTTTTTTCATACCTGTTCGTAGCTAACTTTTCTCTAAGTGCGGGTAATTTGTCACACTTTTATATTAGTAGCTACCACTACAACATATTTTTCCATTTTATGTAAAAAAAATAAAAAATTGCTACTACTAACTTTAATCAGTGCTTTAAAAATATGTCAAGTAGTTTTTTGTATCACAAAATTATAATTGATTTGAACTGCGTGGAAAGTACAGAGTCAACCTACTTGATGACAATTTTTATTTGCTCTTTGGAAAGTGAGGTGTTTTTTTTATTTCGTTAGCTTTATTCATTGGCCAGCAAAACATTGAGGCTCTATTTCCTGTGAGGCAACATTCAAACATGTTTTTGAAAAATAGCGAAAAGTGAGATCTTAGTAAAGAGTAGGTCATTCTATTTTCGGTGGTCTAACAAGATTACCGAAGAGTCTTAGTGTGTTTCCAGAAATTGAAGGACACTACTGCAACTGTAAATACTTCACTCCTCGACCACTATTTTAGAATAGTTTGCCTGGGGAGAAAAAACAACACTAATGTCGATTAAACAATCAAATCTGAATTTTAGAACAAAACCGGCTAAATAAATGATACTTGTAGAAATGGCAACAATTCAACTAGAAGAGATTTTTGCTTAAAACATTATTGCGGTATAAAACCGTGAGACTTTCTACTAAACAAAAATTTGCCAGGTGTGACCTATTTCCAATTTCGGGATCATTCTTCAATTTTATGACACCCTGTAAAACGTTGCGTGGGAAAAATATCGTGTACTATCAAAGATGATGACTCTGCACTATCAAGAAGCTGGGAAAAATAGGGGTATTTTAGCTGTCAGCTTAATCACTGATCAACATATTTCACCATGAGATGTTCATTAGCTTTTCAATTCATCAGATATCCTAGTGAGGAAGTAGCAACAACTTCGATTTGCAAATGGCATTGCAACTCTCAGCTAAGGAAGCGATCGCTTGGAAGGTCATACAAGGGGCTCGGTACGGCCTAACTGCTGTGACCTCGGTTGATTGCCCTTCCTCTCATACAGAATACAGAGAATTGATCTGTCCTTGGAAGGTTATTGTCATCTTTAAGGGTAAACAATTTTGTTTAAAAGGAAAAAGATGTCAAGCTGCGACGATGGAAATTGTATTCTAACGTCGAAATACAGTATAAGGTTCGGCAGATTCTTGGAGAATATGTTAATCACCAGTCGATTGCGGGTATTTTTCCGAGGCATCGTAGCATCCAAGCAAATTAATAGACTTCGAATTGTCTTTGTAGCGAAAATGGAATTGGTTTTTTTAATGTTAAAAATGTACTTGAGCTTGTGCAATTGTCGTAGGTACTGGAGGCCGATTGAAAGGCATTATCCACGATTTACAGTTCGTCGATTATGTATGCAGACATAAGTCTTGTGTTTCCTGACCCGTGTCAACATTCCTTTGGCCATACCTACCAACATGGTGGTAAAAGTGGCTTAACCTTGATCGATAACGTCTTGCAAATTATCTGCGTATACAGGGTGTCCCAGAAGTCGACGTCAAGCCGAAACCGGGTGATAGGCAAAGTCATAGCTATCAGAAAAATATTTAAAAAATTTTTATGTATGTGCTTTGAAAATTATAAGTCTTTGAAAAAAATATAGAAATTTCACTCTCTACGGCAGTCTGTCAACTCCTGTTACTCCAAATATTAACCTTTTTTAGATTTTATTTTTACAATGTAATGATGACTAATGCATCTTCAAACTGGTGTCTCAACCTTACTGCCAACTTTTCTCGTTCAGGAAAAATTGCCACTTATTTCCCAACCAAGTATTCCAAAGTAAAACTTTGCTCAACTTTAACTGGCTGTAGTGGAAAAAAATGTACTACGAGAGTTTGGCAAGTAACCTTAAAAGTTGGCGCATTTAATAAGGATTCCAAAATGGTATAACACTTAGAAGATTACTCGTTAACTTATGCACAATGCCACAAAAAGCAACTCGGGGCTCATAATCTCGGGGTAGAAGAGCTTGAACACGCTGTACGTGGTATGGATGGAGCACGTTTTTTTGCAAGATTCTATGGGCTGTACTTTTGGGCACACCTGTTTTTAGTTCTATTGCACGCACTGAAGTACTCGGGTCTTCTTCGACAGCTCCTAGCACCACGTCTTCGTAAGGAAGGAAAGATCTTCCCTCACCGTGTGATTGGTTTGGTAGTTGGCCCTCTAAGAACAGTAAGCGGTGCACATTTGTGAACACTCGATGATCTGGATGACGAGCTGCATTCGGGTACCTCTCACAGTAAAGTCTCGCTGCAGCACTAGCGTTGCATCTGCATTCCCCATAAATGAGGTGCATGTTAGCATATTCTTGTACGGTGTACACGGACATAGCGGCACTGCACAATCAAACTATTAAAGATAGTCTAAGGAAAGCAAATGTTGTTTTGAAGAGCAATTAAACAGTCCAAATCCAAATCACAAGCGATCAACAGTCCAGTTCACGAATCCAAAGTTAGTAACAGTACGAAATCAACAAGCACGAACATGTAAAGATGCGCAGTAAACGAAGGAGTACTGATCGGTATCAAAGTGCGCAATAGCAAGTAAGTGATGTGCTTCATCCATACCACATACAGCATGTTCAACCTCTCCTGCCCCGGGATTATGAGCCCCGAGTTGCTTTTTGTCGCACAATGTTAGAAAGACACAGGAAAGATCCAAAGTTCATTGAAAAAATTTTATGGTCGGATGAGACCACAATTAAGAAAGATGGGTACATGAACCTGCATAACTTACACGAGTGGCACGTAGTAAACCCACATTTGATGAGAGAAGATAAATCTCAATATCGCTTCAAGATAAACCATTGGACAGGAATTTTAAATGGTAAAATAATCGGTCCGCTTGAGCTCCCAGAGACTTTGACTGCTGAAGTTTATTTGGATTTTTTGAAAAATCAGGTACAAAATTTATTGGTGGACGTGCCACTGAGTATTTACAGGGACATGTGGTTTCATCATGATGGCTGCCCAGCGCACTATGCACTGCACTCTCAGTGAGAGGGTATCTCGATCAAAACTTTCCAGGCAGATGGATAAGGCGGTCTGGTACAATACCGTGGCCAGCCCGATCACCTGATTTGAATCCTTTAGATTTTTTTACTGGGGAACAGTAAAAGAAAAAGTGTATTTCAAGCCGATTCAAAATGTAGCTGAGCTACGGCAAAGACTATTGGAAGCAGCTGAGTTTGTTAATAACCGTGGATTCGCTCGTTTAATAACCCGATCTTTTTTAAGAAGATGTCGAGCGTGTATTGCGGCTGAAGGAAAACAGTTTGAGCATTTGCTGTAAAGGTAAATCATCATCAGCAGCATTTTGACGCCCACTGTTGTGCAAACAGTTATCCTTAAGGGTCCTTGTGCGTTTTTATAATCGCTGTTTAATTAGGAAATTTTGAAAAATTTTCATCAGTTTTTCTTCAAATAAAAATTGTGCATAAGTTAACGAGTAATCTTCGAAGTGTTATACCATTTTGGAATCGTTATTAAATGCGCCAACTTTTAAGGTTACTTGCCAAACTCTCGTAGTACATTTTTTTCCAGTACAGCCAGTTAAAGTTGAGCAAAGTTTTACTTTGGAATACTTGGTTGGGAAATAAGTGGCAATTTTTCCTGAACGAGAAATGTTGGCAGTAAGGTTGAGACACCAGTTTGAAGATGCATTATTCATCATTACATTGTAAAAATAAAATCCAAAAAAAGTCAATATTTGTAGTAACCGGAGTTGACAGACTGCCGTAGGGTGTGAAATTTCTATATCTTTTTCAAAGACCTATAATTTTCAAAACACATACATAAAATTTTTTTAAATATTTTTCTGATAGCTGTTATGACTTTGCCTATCACCCGGTTTCGGCTTGACGTCGACTTCTGGGACACCTTGTATAAAAAACAGCAGATAATGAGGAAGTCATGCATTAACTATTCGCGAACTAATTGTACCGGTTTATTTTTGGCGTGTGTTGATAATTTTTCAGAAACTGTTTAAGTATATACGAAGAAGCGTGTAACGATTTGCTCATAGGAATTATCCATGTCAGTAATGTACAGGGTAGCCAACAAAAGATCGACTAGTTTGGCCTCATGAACAAGGTTAAAAATTGATCTCAAAATACTCTTCAGCGTCTTGTAGAGCAAGGTTTCATTTTTAATTTAGACACCTGGCGACGTCAAAAACTATAATTTTTAACCGAATTCTTAAGCATTCAATTCACCTATTTTCAAAGCTTTTCAGCCAATAAAACGCCCATAATTCGAAAATGGTCAAAAAAATTATTGTAACTTATTTAAAAAATAGTTTAAACAAATTTGATCTGAATTACCGTGCGAATAAGCTTAATGTCTAAAACTTTAATAATTAATAATTTTTGATGCCGTTTAGTATCTTAATTAAAATTAAAACTTTGCTCTACAAGAGTATTTTGAGACGAGTTTATGTTAAAGCGATTTCAACCTTGACTTTCAGGCCAAAATTGGTGAGCTTTTAGTTTTCGCAGAGTGCTCTTACAAGTCTTCGGATTCTTGGGATAAAAATAAGATGTTAAAACATGAATTTCTTAAATGGCCGACGTTCTGGCGTTCATAATACGCCTTCCTCATGGCCAAAAATTTGAAAAATGTATTGAATATTCAAAATACTATTCAAATACACGATTTGTATTGGGTTGAAGCACGGAGTCCTGAAGCTTTTCGCAGTTTCGTCATACCTATACCCTTGGAATGTATTATGATTAAAATTACCTGTTTCGCCGTTAGTACGTATTCTTTTTCCATTAAGGAACGCGCCTTGTCCCTTGATCGCCGTATAGCACTCATTCGTAAATGGATTGTAAACTATCCCTAACGTCTGCTGTTTTCGAATCACCAATCCAACAGACACGGCAGACATTCGCAATTGTCTTATGAAGTTCGCTGTACCATCTATGGGATCGATAATCCATGTGGGGTCATCGGTAAGCTCAGGAATACCGCTTGCCTCTGATTCTTCTTCACCAATGAACCTATACAGAAGTAAATACCCAAACTTAACGAGTAACTCTTACATAAAAAATCAGTCCGTATAAACATGGGCCCTAAATTGGACAAGTATTAAGATACAGGGTGTTGCAGTAATATTTTTAAAATTGATAAACAAACCATATCTACATCCAAATATACTAAGTGACATATAAATCCGAACACCCAGTTTAAATGGTTTTATTTTAATAAAATTTTGTGTAAGTACTTAATGAAGCATAATAAGTAAATGATAAAAATTTCAAAATGATTGCACTGCTTTAAAGCTTTAATAATGTGTGGATGCACCCTGATGTGCTACGCATTCTCCAACGCGCCTAGGCATGCTTCTGATCAGGTGGTCAATGTCCTCCTGTGGTATCTCATTCCAGGCAACCACCAACTCCTCTCGAAGTGCTTCTAGAGTCTGAGGAGGACGTTGCAAATTGAGCAATCTCCTACCCATCATATCCCACACGTGCTCAATTGGGGATAAGTCGAGAGATCTTGGTGGCCATGGTAACAATGTGACATCATTATGTTGAAAGAAGTCTATTGTGACTCTTGCAACATGTGGTCGGGCATTATCTTGTTGGAAAGTTGGATCTGCCAGGGTGTCAAGATAGGATAAAAGATGGGGTTCTAGAACTTCGTGGATATAACGCTGCGCGTTCATGTTACCTCTGATGAAGATTAAAGGTGACCTGGAACCATAAGCTATAGCACCCCAAACCATAACTCCAACAGTGTGATTAACATGTCTTTCAACAAAAAACTGTGGACTCCTCCTTTCACCACGTCGCGTTCTAACCCTGGCACGACCATCGTGCATGCCTAAACAAAATCGAGACTCGTCACTAAAGACAATACTGTTCCATTCATGATCCCAGAGTGACCGTTGTCTGCACCACTCAAGGCGATTACGTCGGTGTTCTCGAGTTAAAGGGAGGACCCAGTGTGGCCGGTATGAAAACAAGCCAAAACTTCTCATTCGTCGGTAAACACTTGGCATGCCAATAGGTCTGCCGTGTTCTGCAAACCATTCATTTGCAATTGACCTGGTAGTGGAGAAACGGTCCCTTAAGGCCAATAATCTTAGGCGGCGATCTTCACGGTCTGTTGTTCTACGGCGGCGTCCAGTGCCCCTTGCTCTTTGCGTACGGCCTTCTCGAAGCCATGCCTGACAACACCTAACCACATTGTCTACACTTCTTTGCACTGCAATTGAAAAGAAAGTCCAGCTTCCCGAAGTCCCACTATACGGCCCCTATCTAACTCACTAAGTTGATGAAATCGTACACGTCTCCGTACTCTAGGCATCATAACCGATCGTAAAGGATGTCAAGAACCAAAATCCGCCAACGTTGATTCTTTACTGCGGCTGAAATATTCATTTTTAGAGCGTTAGTGAATTAAAAAAAAGCAGTATAAAAACCGGAATGTCCAACTGATAAGGCTGAAAATTTTTTCACTTGTTATTTACAGTAAGATAAATCATTCACCAACGTTTATTAAAATAAAACCATTTAAACTGGGTGTTCGGATTTATATGTCACTCAGTACATCTCCATAAAAAATCCGTCCCTATAATCATGGATCCTAAATTGCACCATATCTACACCCAAATATCTGGGAAACTATGCTAAAAAGAAACAATACTAAAGTGTCAGGAAACCAAATGGGGCACTAGTGGATTTGACATATACATTCACAATGAAAGTCGTTTAAGGGCAGGTTGATTTTTCAAATGGAAGCTCTATTGTTTATTGCAGAAATAGAAATCAAAAAAAACGTGTTTAAGGATATAAATATCATAGATGCTAAAATTACAACTAGAGGTTATTTCAAGGTCAACTGTTGCTTTTCCATGGAATTTTGCGAAGCAGCAGATAGCTGGAAAAATAGTAATATTAAAGAAGAACTTTTAATGCTAAAATTACACATCTGGCCTTCATTCTGACCTTGGCTATGACCTTGAAGGCCAATTTAAAGTCGAATTGATTTTTTCACATGGAAACCCTCAATTTTGATCCCAGCGCTGAAAAAGGAGATATCCGTATCCTGTCAAAAATCAATTTGACCTTGGATTGACCTTCGAGGTGATGGCCAAGGTCAGAATTTTCATCGTTTTCCAGCTATCCGCGGCTTTATAACATTCCAATAAAGAGCAACAATTGACCTTGAAATCGTCGAACTATGCCCAAGTGTAAAGCAGAACCTGATAGCACACAATTGCGCAAAATTGATGTCATCCGTTTTTTTACCACAATAGGAAACACCGTATAAAAAAATCGTATAACATAGCAACCCTTCTTCTCAAGATTTTCGAAAGGAACATCTTGTACATTGTCACACTTTGATTTTCCTTTTCATACATTTTTTTCTTCATATTCTGTTTATGGGGGTTTGTGCGCTTTTTCAGTTGCTAAAAACACTTTTCAACAGCAAGTGGCATGGACCTTCCAGTAAAAAACGTATTCATAGCAAAACTTGGCGTAGTTTTACCAGCTATCTGGGCAAATTGAACCACATTCATGGCTTTCAACCCCCCCCCCTAATTATTTTTTGAACGGAAGCTAAAATTTGGGGTAATGAAATAAATGAATGTAATTTTAAAAAAAAATATTACACCGCTTCGATCAACATTTAACCCATATCATCCCAGTACGCGTGTAACCCACTGGACAACAAATTTTAGTTTTTTAGTTGTATCTTGTGGGAAAAGTGCACGTCTTTGTTAATTTTGGGGCGCTGAATCCAAAAATGACAGTGAAATAAAAAAATTATTTGCGGTTTAGAAAAAAAACTTTTTATTTTTAAGGATATATTAAAAAAAGTAACAAGATTCATATACTTATAAGAATCACTATATGCGCTGTCTTTTTGCTGTTCTTTTATGGATCGTTTCTGGAGCATCTCGACCAAGAGTCCAACAGTAGTCTGCAAGCATGGAAGGATTCCACTTTCCCTGGTGCCTTTTTCCATTGTTGAAATATCCTGATGAAAACGTTCGCCGTGCTCATCACTTACGGCTCCGCAATTGTTAGGAAAAAAGTCCAGGTGTGAGTGTAGGAAATGTATCTTAAGAGACATATTACAGTCCATCTTTTGATACGATGACAGCATATTTTTGACAAGGGTTTTATAGTTGTCAGCTTTTCTATTTCCCAAGAAATTAGTGACCACCAGACGGAAATCATTCCAAGCAGTTTTTTCAATACCTGTTAAATTGTTTTCAAACTGTGTATCTTTCAAAATATTTCGAATCTGTGGCCCAACAAAAATACCTTCTTTAACCTTTGCCTCACTTAGTCTTGGAAATTTCTGACGCAGGTATTGAAAAGCTGACCCATCTCTAACTAATGCCTTGACAAAGTTTTTCATTAGGTCCAACTTGATATGCAATAAATTTTTTTTCGAATCTACTAATGGCATATGCTGTAAATTTTTTTGACCTGGCTCTAGGAATTGGCGAACAGGCCAGTTTTGTCTGGTGTAATGGAGTGCCTTTGCCCGACTGTCCCATTCACACAAGAAACAGCAAAACTTTGTGTAGTCTAGCTGCAGCCCAAGTAAAAGTGCAACAACTTTCAAATCGCCACAAATATGCCATTGGTGCTCATTGTATTTTATGCATGTCAATAGGTACTTCATATTGTCATATGATTCTTTCATGTGAACTGCATACCTTACAGGAAGAGATGGTAAAATATTTCCAATATGCAATAACACTGCCTTTAAACTCAATCTTGAACTGTCTATAAACAATCTCCATTCTTCTGGGTTATAGTTTATATTGGGACAGCAAAGCGCATAGACCGTTTCTTGCCATTTAACCAGCTAGTCAGACTAGAAGCACATGTATTACAGCAGATGTGGGGTGCCCACTGTTTGTCTTGATCACCTAGTTTACAACCGAAATAAAGCTGATATGCGTTTGTTATTAGTGGAGTAATAGACCGTCTCTGAGACGCAAAAGTCACATCACCACACACGTAACAAAACTGATCTGGATTGTTTACACACTCTCGAGACATCTTGCATGAACGCTGTCAGCCAACTGAGGAAAAAATGGCTAATATAAAACAATATAATGTACACGTATGTATAACGTAACACAATCATGCCGATTACATCATCTTTCCTTGCCGAATATAAAAATGTAGCACGTGCATTCTTGTGAATTACAGTATAGTAACACTGTTACAGCAGGAACACATATAATTACCGTATCTCTAAAACTTGAACTAATATTGAAAAAATAAGTTTTATTCCGGTTTTAGCACATTAAAAGTAGTAATATTTTGTTGATTTTATTTAGGATATTTTATGGCTGTTGATCAGTGAAATTTGCGGTCGGCTCTTGGACTTTTGTGAGCAGCCAACCGTAGCTTTCGCGTTGTTAAGTTCGCCAGTATTTTAGTCTTTCATGTTAAATTCAATTGAGCAAACCCGGTAAATTCAGGTGTACCGATTTGCATCCAGCTACCGCATATGTCAACATTTCATGCAAATGATTGAACAATGAATTAAATCACCTTGGGAACAGCGAGTGTCAAGGTCCAGATTAATAACTTTTGCATAATGATATCATTACTTAATCTAGCGAGAGAATTATTTGCAGGAAATTGCTTCCTTTGATTGGTGATTGAATTTCATATGGGCATTCACAATATGGTAACACGATGCACATTCATTTTATCTTCATTGAATGAACAACTAAATTTAAAATATACAGTGTGAGTTTTTAATGTGTAATCGGTTCGTAGCTGCGTTATTTCAAAAATGTATCTAAAAAACGGTAGGTGATGATATGCATCTTAGTTGGAAAATATGCCTCTACAGGGTGAATCATAATTACGTGGCAATACAAGCATGCATTTTCAAAAGTAGCATACGCTGTATATTTTATTAGTATATTCTTGTTTGATATCGTATACTATAGGGTTTGAAAGCCATGTTTGAAAAAACACTCAACTGATAGCTTAAAGAGACAGCAAACTCACATTTTTATGGCAATGAGTTTTACATTTTTATGGAAATGATTTGCTTAATTTTACCAAAAAGCTTATTCTACAAAGGTTCTAGACAAGTTTATGGCGAATAATTTCTTTCCTATTTTTTTAAGCATTGTAACAGTAGAAAGATCATTCAAATCTCTACAAATATTTTCCCTACAGATAATTCTAGAAATCTATTTATGAAACTTCCTCTTCCATCAAACTGAAAACCAAAATAGTCTAGTGGTTTTATACTTACTTGTGATCGGGCCATTTTTCTTTTAGCTTCCTCACCAACACTTCTTCAATTCGTCTATCGTATACAGTGACTAAATCGTACACCTCACTCTTACACTCTACTTGGTAGTCTTCGGCAGTTAGAAGCACCTTGAAACCATACAAACATTCATTTGAATCTTTTTGTTTCGTCAATCGTATTGCAAACAATTTTAGATCTTGAATTGTCCGGAGAAATGTTTTCACTTATATAGGATGTCCCAAACATTGGAGGAGTATTGCTCCTGAATAAAAACTTTTCAGACACAACTATTCTGGATAAGAAATATCTATATAATCTTTATTATGCTCTTGTTTATCCTCTATTAGAATTTTGGCTTGGGGGTGTTATGAATAATAATTACAAAAAGGTTGGTGTAATCCAAAAATTAATTCTAAAATTGATCCTCCATAGGGAGATTACTTATTACAGTGAATCTCTATATGTGGAGGCTCAGCTATTAGATTGCAGACAAATTTATTTTTATTGTGGTCTAATACATTATATTAAATATTCAAAATACTTGAATCGTACCATTTATAATTACCGAACAAGATTCAATCAAAATTCAATGTATATTCCACAAACATCAAAAACCATTACACAACGATCTCTGTTTTTCTTGGGACCAAAATTCTATAACTTCATCCCAGAGTCATTAAAAGTAAGTAAATCAAATAGATCATTTAAAAAAGAACTAAAAAATGGATTTTACAACAACCAAGGTGGCTCCATCCACGAAATTGTAGATATGAAAAATCATCATCAAAATTAATAATATTTTACTTACACTAACATCCATACTTTTACTTTAATAATAATTGTCTGGATATTTTTCCTGACATCACGATAATAATTCAATTCACCAAATTATACAGTATTAATGGTTTTTTTCATACACTGACCGTATTTTTAGTTTTTATTTTTAACAAACCCAAACACAAGTGCAAACTTTTTTGGGTGCTTTATGTTTATTGTGCACAATATTTAATATTTACCTGTATTTTGTAACAATAAACATTATTATTATAATGTACTGGATGTCTCAATTTTGACCCGCATATCAAAGCTGAATTTTGTTAAGTAGAATGCCCTACTTTTTATGACACATTTGGATAGGCCTTTTCAAACGAAGATGTTCAGAGAACATACTAATGGATTTTGGTTATTAGTTGTTGAGCTATTTGTTATTTTTTATAAATAAACATCAAAGTTTGACATCCGGCTTATCAGCTAACTTGACAGGTATAATAGTGAATCTTGTGCCAGAGACATTTTTTATTATAAACAAATTTTAATCAGAATCAGTACTAGTCTCAATAATAGATATGCTCTACAAGCTAAGGTATTCATTTGGTGAAATTAATGAAATGGAATGAATGATATATATATATATATATATATATATACAGGGTGACTTCGAAGTTGAGTCATTTATTTTAACAGTGAGTAGATCTGATCAAAAGAAATGTTTTTTTCCTTTACCATTTTTCTGGTAAAATTAAAGTAACAAAGTTATAGCCCTTTAGAAGTTTGAGTACCGCCCTGACTCATTAATAATATTATGTGCTCGTGTTTGGCAACAACGGATATAATCCGCCTGATCGGTTCATCGCATCGGAAACAAAAAAGCGAAATAATTTGGAACGATGTTTTTACAATTATTTTATTCAGTTCAGTTATACATAGAGTCAGTGTCAGTCGGTAAGGCGTGTGAATAGTGTCTGTTGCGTGGCTCAAACGAAATAAAAAATGGCACATGTTTATGCGGATCGGTTTCCCAATCGAGTGCAACCAATCCCTCGTGCCTTTGTTAATGTAGTACAACGGGCTCGTGAATCAGGTGACTTAAGACCTCACAGGGGACCTCACGATCAAATACAGGTCCGCACTGAAATATGTACTTGTCGGGAGGATACTTTATAAAACAAGGTAAAAATTTTTTTCAACAACTAATAATCAAAACCCATGGGGCTTAGTATGTTATATCAATCAATAAAAATAAAAAGTAGGTAATTGCATTGAAAAAAAACAACTTTGACGTGTTGGTCAAGACCTTTAGGCACGTGTTCCTTAATGATATGCGAATATTTAAGGGTGTGAATCTATAAGGAAAATTAATGTTAGTTTGCTTTATAAACTACTATATGGTCCAAAAATGTTTCCTTACAAAAACTCGGGGTGTTGAAGTTTTAGGAAAAAAATAGAAATTAATTAATATTTTCAGAACCGCTTCAGATATTTCACTGATATTGAGTACTTAGTGAAAGTTAATAAAGTTGCATAGTTTTCAATGAAAAATAATTTTTAGCTTTAACAGTGGCGTGCGTACGGATATTGACTTTTTTAAGAAAAAAATGGTACGTGAATGTTTTTTTGCCAAGTAAAAACTATTTTTGAAAAATATGCAACTTTATTAACTTCCACTACGTACTAAATATCAAAGAAATATCTGAAGCGGTTCTGAAAATATTAATTAATTTCCATTTTTTTCGTAAAACTTCAACACCCCGAGTTTTTGTAGAGAAACATTTTGGGACCATAGTTTATAAAACAAACTAACATTAATTTTTCATGTAGATTCACACCGTTAAATATTCGTATATCATTAAGGCACACCTTGTATAATAAAAGTTTTTGTTTAGGAACAATATTCCGTCTTCGCACGGTTGGGACACCCTGTAAATTAATTTTGTCTCGAGCTATTTTCACAGAACGCGTCACAAGCTAATTGACAATGTAAAATTAATAGCTAAGCCATTAACTCAAATAATGTGGTTTTAGCTTCAAAAAATTCCATCACGAAATTAAAGTATGAATGCAGTAGAACTTTTGTGTAGTTGCAATTTGCAGGCGTAAGCTTACATCTGCTACATGCAATAGATTCCGAAGGTTTGGATTCTGAACGAATCCAGGACCATAAATATATAGGGTTGTCCAATAGGGACGCAGGAAAGTAAACGTCAATTTGACATAGACGCCATCTTTGTTTTCTGTCACCGACATGTCATTTTGTTAGTTGAATGTTTACCATTGATCGCTATGGAGTCGTATTCGATTGAAGACCGCATTAAAGTTATTCAAGAGCACTACAAAAATGGTGCAAAAATAAAAAACACGTTTCGCGCGCTTCGTGAACATTTCGGTCGTAACAACCGCCCAAACGAAACAACCATCGGTCGTCTGGTGCGTAAATTTGAGGCAACAGGTTCTGTGGCAAATCTGCCAGGCTCTGGCCGGCCAACGAGCGTTCGCACACCGGAAAATATTGCTGTTGTGAAGGAGAGTGTGAGAGACGATCCGCAACAATCAACAACGCGTCGATCCCAAGAATTGGGCATTTCGAGAACCAGTTTGCTCCGCATTCTCCACAAGGATTTGAATGTACACGCCTACAAGATCCAATTGACGCAAGAGCTGCGTCGGGCCGACCATTTTTCGCGCCGAACGTTCTCAGATTGGCTCCTTGAATACCGCCAAATTGATGCCAATTTTTCATCAAAAATCATGTTCAGCGACGAAGCGCATTTCACTTTGAATGGGACGGTAAACAAGCAAAACTGCCGCATCTGGGCGAACGAAAATCCCCGTGAGTATCAAGAGCAGCCGATGCATCCTCAAAAAGTGACTGCGTGGTGTGCATTATGGTCAAAAGGCATCATCGGACCTTACTTTTTCGAAAATGCGGCCGGGGACGCCGTTACCGTCGGTTCTGAGCGATATCACGTGATGATAGAGGACTATTTTTTGCCGCAACTTGAAGGAATGGATATGGACGAAGTTTATTTCCAACAAGACGGTGCAACATGCCACACAACCAACGTCAATATCCATCGATTGCAGTCCTTCTTCGGTGATCGCGTGATTTCGCGCAGAGGAAATGTGCCATGGCCACCAAGATCGTGCGATTTGGCTGCCTTGGACTTCTTTTTATGGGGATATTTGAAAAGCAAAGTCTACGTCAACAAACCAGCCACCCTCCAAGAACTCAAAAACAACATCATTGCCGAGATAAATGCCATAGAACCGACCATGTTGCAAAATGTCATTGAAAATTTCGACCATCGCGTGGACGTCTGTAAATCCAGTCGTGGTGAACATTTGAGCGATATTATTTTTCATACATAAATGGTGTAAATGAACCTTCAAAATAAAGTACCCAACTTGATTTGCATATCAATCTTTCTTGTTTTAATATGCGTTTACTTTCCTGCGTCCGTTTTCATAGTTCATGGGATAACTTTATCTTTAAATACATTAAAAAATCTATACCAACATTTCTAAAGCAGAAACATCTGTTGTATTTTTGAAAAAGGGTTTTGTTTTTACTCGTACATGAATTGTCTCTCCTAAGAAATTTTTACCGGACACTTCCTTTGCGAGAAAACAACAAACCAGCATATATGTGCCTGATAGATTTGAAGAAAGCGTTTGATAGCGTGAGAATTCGGAACGCGATACATTTATTACATGACATGGTAATACCACTGGATTTAGTAGAAACTATTGAGAACACTCGTATATGTAAAAATGTCATAGCTATGGTAAGATGTAAAGGAAAACTCTCGCAACCTATCAAGTATGAAAATAATGGATGAAATCATAAAGAAAGTTACAAAAAGAAGAGGATATAGAATGGGAGAAAAGGAAATGCTACGCCGACGACGCCATAATAATAGCCGAAAATGAAGATGACCTACAAAGATTAATCAAAGAATTCGAAGATACGGCGCTCATATACAACATGGTGATTGTAAACTGGTCGTAAATAACCAAATAATAGAACAGGTGATTGAAACGGAATACTCGGGAATCAAACTGTCAAGCTGTGGAAAAGTGGAAGAAGAAGTACAAAAATAAGTGAACCTGGCGAACCTCACAACGGAAACGAAAACTAGGATATATAAATCAACAATAAGACCGATAATGACGTACACAGCGGAAACAAGAGCAGACACGGCGAAAACACAAAGATTATTGGAAAAAGCAGAAATGAAAGTCTTACGAAAAATAACAGGGTGTTTAAATTTACTTTCTAAAATAGTTTTTTTAACATATTTCCAACAATATTTGATGTATAACAGTGAAAATTGGTATACAAGGGTTTTTTGGTACGACAAAACGAACCATGGGCATAGTTTTACTGTAGCCGCTAGAGGGCGCTCTCTAATGTACCTGTAGTATATTAAAAAATTTTCTTAGTGCAATTTTTTGCTTTTTGAATAAAAAAAATGATTCTTCGCACTTTTCAACATAAAAAAGCTCTGTTGTGAATTTTCGTTATAGTTAGCCGTTTTTGAGATATTTCGATTTTTAAGGTTCGATGCATTTTTAATTATTTATGATAAAATAACGTTAAAAAGTCAGTATCTCGATAATTTTTAGAAGTAGGCTGTGCCTGCAAATATTTTTGAAATTGAAAGCAGAATAAGGTTAAACGTCAATTAGTTGACAGTTAGTTTTGTTGTCTGTTGAAACCTGAAACGTTTTTTTGCAATTGTGAATGCATGAAATTTAGTTTCTTTTACCTGTTTCTTTTTTGTAAGTTTTATAAAAATGCCATTTTTATTCTCCAATCAAGAGTTAGCGGATATTCATTTCGTATATGGCTTTGTAAATGGAAGCAGCCAGAGAATACGCACGAAGATTTCCAAACAGACGACATCCAACTCGCTCAGTATTTGTAAGAATGCATCGCCAAATAATTGAAAATCGTTTTGGAAATCTCCAAAGGGATCAAAACATAAATGTTCGTCACCGCAGATTTACCCGTATGATTCTGCGTGAGTTTGATAGAGATCCGACCACAAGTGTTAGGAGAGTTTCTGGTGCCTTGGGAATTTCAGCAAGCCATGTTCACCGTGTTCTTAGAAGTGATCATAGACGTCCTTACCATTTGCAACCTGTGCAAGGACTACAGCCAGGGGACGGAGAACGAAGAATCACATTTTGTCAATGGATTCTTGATAGAACTGATAATAATAGGGAGTTTTTAGATAACGTTTTATGGACCGATGAGTCATGCTTCACTAGACGTGAAGTGGTAAATTTTCATAATCAATATATTTGGTCGCATCAAAATCCGCATGCAGTTCGGGAAAGAAATTTGCAGCATGAATTTAGTGTGAACGTGTGGATTGGTATCTACCGTAATAGACTATTTGAACCCTACCTTTTGCCTGCAAGGTTAAATGCTGCGACCTTCTTGGAATTTTTAAAGGCTGAACATGCAAATATGTCGGATGATGTTATGTTAGATTTAAGAAGATTGGCCTGGTTCGAGCTTGATGGTTGTTCAGCTCATTATTCGAGAATAGTTAGAAACTGGCTGGACGAAAGTTATCCAGAAAGATGGATCGGCCGTGGAGGACCAGCAGCCTGGCCTCCACGATCCCCTGACCTAAATCTATTAGATTTCTTTGTGTGGAGATTTCTAAAAGAAAAAGTGTACCAGACTCCCGTAACCACAAAAGATATGCTAATAGACAGACTCAGGAATGCATGTGATGAAATAAGGCCTTATTTGAATAATGCTATACCACGTTCGATCATTCGTAGATGTGAATTGTGTATTGAACAATTGGGTTTACATTTCGAGCAACTACTTTAGATTTTGTATGTTTGTCCTAACTATCAAATAGCATTTAATTTGTTAAAAATAATATTGGAAAATTAAACAAATTAATATTCTGTTTTTTTTGTTTATTTGGAGTTAGGAATTATTGCTGTGTTTAAAAACACAATCTAAACGGTCATCTTAATTACTTGTAATGCCCAAATCGAAAATGTAAAAAAAATATTATTTTCCCATATATAATTAAAAATGCATCGAACCTTAAAAATCGAAATATCTCAAAAACGGCTAACTATAACGAAAACTCACAGGAGAGCTTTTTTATGTTGAAAAGTGCGAAGAATCATTTTTTTCATTCAAAAAGCAAAAAATTGCACTAAGAAAAAAATCTCGGTCATTTTAATACACTGCAGGTACAGTAGAGAGCGCCCTCTAGCGGCTACAGTAAAACTATTCCCATGGTTCGTTTTGTCGTACCAAAAACCCTTGTATACTAATTTTTACTGTTATACATCAAATATTGTTAGAAATATTTAAAAAAACTATTTTAGAAAGTAAATTTAAACACCCTGTATTTCGGAAGCCACGCATTTTTCGACCCATATTTATATAGACTTTATGCATTAATTTTAAAAGTTCTATCGAATCTTAAAGTCATTCAACAATAAACTGAATATTAATAAAGTAGGAAGAGAAAACTTGGTTTGAATATTTGAGGTGAGATCAGTTTATAGAACTTAGATCTCCTTTATTTGAGAAATCTACTGGAGCTACTGAAGTTTATCATTGAAAATGTTATTCATTTTATTAGGGAAGTAATTCCATCTCACCATAGCATTGTTTGATGAATACTCTGTTTATGTATAAATTCGTTAGCACATTCTACAACATCCTATATTGTGTTAACAAGATGTTTGAGAGCCTATCTTTGTTGGAACTTATTATGTTATTTTCGTGACGATGAATAAGAAAAATTTTCCGATATTTTGAATTTTTTCCTAAAAGCTAAAATTGTGTGAGGGTCATGCTTCGAAAAGTAGCATTTTGTCAAGGAATTTTAAAAAATCGAATGGAAAATAATAAAAAAATAAAAAAAGGCTAAATATTCGATCTCTGGGATTTCTCATGCAAAAATCGCTAGGTCCGCAGCTTCGTTATCTTTGGAGGAAATAGATGTTGAATATCGAAAAGCTCGTTTGAGTCCCAAAAAATCCAATTTTCAACGCTTAAGGAGAAGCTTTCTCTCAGTAATTTACAGAATTTATCGATATGTACAAAATGCGCTATGCGAAATTTCTTTTCCCTTTGCAGTAGAGCGTCTTAACGAAAATTTTTCTCGTTTTTTATTTTTTGAAAACGTCTAAAAAAGATGCGCATCGACAGCAGCCTTGGAAAATACGGAACGCCTAAAATTTAGATATTGAACGAGACTGATCTTCAGTCAATATTTGGAGTAATGACGGAACGGTGGCGGGAATCGTTTGGGCTCTACGCGAAAACCTACCATTTTTTTGACTTTAGCCGCCGAGTTTCTTGTTTCTGAAACGGTATCGCTTTCAAAAAAACCTTTTTCAATCCGGGAAAAAAGCCGAAAAACCGCACCGACGTTGAAACATCCCAATCCAGACTCTAGAGGGGAAGGAAAAACAAAAGATCACCGTTTAATAGTATCGACTCGAATCTGCAACTGTTTTCATCATCATTATTCATTTACGTTGAAAATTTTCGATTTTTGAAAATTGCTCGAGTATATGCTACTTTTCGATGCGTGAAAAAGTCACTTTGTTTTCCGGCTCTGTCCTCGCCTGTTACTACTATACGTAAGCGAGTAAAACTTATACAGCTATCGGAAAATAAAGATATTGAGCTTAGGAAACGATTCTGACGGTTAGAATTCCCGTCAAATTTCGAAAAAGTAAATTTTGAGCGCCTCAAAAGTACCGATGACAGCCGTTTTTCGGCGTACTTTGTCTTCGTCGATACAGACCTCCGTTACGGATCGAGATAGCTACGATTTTTTGATGCAACCTTTGCTCAATAAATACTGCCATTATTTTTTTAATGACCCTATTGATTGATAAAAATATTAATTGTTGTTGGTAGCCTTCTTGAAGCATTTATGATGTACCTTTCGATCTAGAACTACTGCCTTTATTCTCTCAAGTGCCTTTTGTGTTTTTACATCATGGAAAATATTTTTGGATGGATGTCGAGTAAGATTAACAACCTAATGATTAAAAATTTAAGATGTACCTAATTAAAGCTGTTTAGAAAGGACTTCATCTACCTGCACTTTGAAAACTACATTTTATTTAACGAATCGATTAATGCTTTGTTATGATTATAAAGTTTGTATCAACATACTTTAAATTATGTTGCAGATACATATGAAGGTGGGAAAGTACTGGAGCTTTGGCACACCTTCTTGAAGCCGTATAGTGTCATCTACCAAAATCTAACAGTCACCACTTGATCAATACAAGTTTGCAAAAGCTAAGAAAAGATTCATCTGGTCAATATCGTCGGACGAAACAAAATATATTTATCCATAAAGAAGTAATGATACAATGATAATGTGCCGTCATCAAAATACTAACCTTTCCTGCTTCTTTGACTAGCTGCAAGGCATAGTCAAAGTACTCCTTCACTGGATGATCCATCACAGACACCGACTAAGAAAGAAATGAGCGTAGCAGTAAGCGATAGACAGTCTGCGACTGTAAACTCACCTGCATAGCCTTGAGACTATGTTAAGCTAAGAATTGCAGGATTGTTTTACTTTTGTTAATTATTGTGTGTATAGGGGAACCATATAAGCCGATTTTTTTATCTATACTACTATTCAAAAGTAGCATTGGAGAGATCTTGAGCATGTCTTTAGGAGTTACAATCATAGCTGATGACGCGTAGTTAAGTTAGGCATTTGAATAGTCTAGAACTCCAATGACCGAAACAAATAAATCCACCCACCAATATCAAAATATACTAAGTGACATATAAATCCGAACACCCAGTTTAAATGGTTTTATTTTAATAAAAGTTGGTGAATGTATTTATCTTACTGTAAATAACAAGTGAAAAAATGTTCAGCCTTATCAGTTGGACATTCCGGTTTTTATACTGCTTTTTTTTAACTCACTAACGCTCTAAAAATGAATATTTCAGCCGCAGTAAAGAATCAACGTTGGCGGATTTTGGTTCTTGACATCCTTTACGATCGGTTACGATGCCTAGAGTACGGAGACCTGTACGATTTCGTCAACCTAGTAAGTTTGATAGGGGCCGTATAGTGGGACTTCGGGAAGCTGGACTTTCTTTTCGGGCAATTTAAGTTAGAGTGCAAAGAAGTGTAGACACTGTGGTTAGGTGTTGTCAGGCATGGCTTCGAGAAGGCCGTACGCAAAGAGCAAGGGGCACTGGACGCCGCCGTAGAACAACAGACCGTGAAGATCGCCGCCTAAGATTATTGGCCTTAAGGGACCGTTTCTCCACTACCAGGTCCATTGCAAATGAATGGTTTGCAGAACACGGAAGACCTATTGGCATGCGAAGTGTTTACCGACGAATGAGAAGTTTTGGCTTGTTTTCATACCGGCCACACTGGGTCCTCCCTTTATCTCGAGAACACCGACGTAATCGCCTTGAGTGGTGCAGACAACGGTCACTCTGGGATCAGGAATGGAACAGTATTGTCTTTAGTGACGAGTCTTGATTTTGTTTAGGCATGCACGATGGTCGTGCCAGGGTTAAAAGGCGACGTGGTGAAAGGAGGAATCCACAGTTTTTTGTTGAAAGACATGTTCATCACACTGTTGGAGTTATGGTTTGGGGTGCTACCGCTTATGGTTCCAGGTCACCTTTAATCTTCATCAGAGGTAACATGAACGCACAGCGTTATATCCACGAAGTTCTAGAACCCCATCTTTTACCCTATCTTGACACCCTGGCAGATCCAACTTTCCAACAAGATAATGCCCGACCACATGTTGCAAGAGTCACAATAGACTTCTTTCAACATAATGATGTCACATTGTTACCATGGCCACCAAGATCTCCCGACTTATCCCCAATTGAGGATGTGTGGGATATGATGGGTAGGAGATTGCTCAATTTGCAACGTCCTCCTCAGACTCTAGAAGCACTTCGAGAGGAGTTGGTGGTTATACAAAATTTTATTAAAATAAAACCATTTAAACTGGGTGTTCGGTTTTATATGTCACTTAATATACAATCGTAGAGAGCCTAAGATTCAAAGTTATGTAATGAACTCTCCATCCGTGGTAACTGATCCAATTGGTGGTCAGACCATATATTAAAGGTCTACGAACACCCTGCCAACTCACACGATTTTCTCAAAGGAGATCAGAGCAAACTTATGGAGCACGCAAAGTGGCAATATTTTTGCACCAATATTCAGCTGTCGCTGTACTTAGAAAAAATATAACCCAGTCTATTGCAGTTATATATCGCGGCTGTGTCGTGGCCATATTGTCTGCAATAAGTAGAGTAATACCTTATTGCAGCTATAAATATTGCGTCCTGACAAACAAAACATTCATATACCGGGAAAACCAAATCAACACATGTTAGAAATAGATAGAAGCCGGCTGAAGAGCGAAGGTCGTTGCCTAGCAACGGTGACGCTGCCAATATGCTGTACCACAAAATGTTCGCACAGGCTGCGACAATAGGTTAGGTTACTGCCAAACCCAAGAAGCAGGTCTGTTCGAACATTTAATACTTTGTTTTCATTTTAATTGGAATTACTTATTTCATTTTGATGAGACTTAGTGTTTCAATTTATTGTAGAATTATCTTTGATTCCCACCGATGATGTTAAAATCATCACATCCTAAGTTATTCTTACATTTTCCGATAACGCTGCGGTCGAAAAATGTGACAAATAACGTTACGCAACACAAACTATCACTGCCTACGTGTACGCAGGTGAAAGCCATTTCGAACCAGGACAACACTCCTCTACGAGCGCTAGATCAATTCAACTATGAACATAAAGGTGGAAATCTTGCCTTGGAATGTACAACATGCGATGTTATCAAACGAACCAATGAGGCGATATTGCAAAAAGATGTGGCGATCCTGGCCTTTCATTTCGACCTAAAATGGAGCGCGATTAGGACCGATCGGGAACAATCCTTAGACACAATCAGCAAATTAAAAAATGTGTACGTCCAAAATAAGACGTTTGTAAAGAATAAACTGACGGTTTTTTTAATATGCATCCTAATTCAAAGAACAGGCGTAACATATTGGCAACACCGCAGAGTCCTAGGCTACGCGGTGATGAGCTTCGCTATCCAGGTGGCTATCTCTTTAATACCCTATACACATTGATCTCAAGCTGTCAGATAAATTTGGTTCTCAGTGTATGAATAGCGCTTTAGATCAAAGTCTAATCGTAGATGTTTTATATAAATGATTCCCCTGGTTTCACCAAGTTTTGGTCCTCTTAAAGTTCTTCATATAAATCTGTGTTCTTCAATTCCTTCATTTTGACGTAATTTCAATATCTTGCACCCAAAATGTATATTCCCAGTATTTTTACTTCTTTCGATAGAGTCGCAAAACTAACTGTTCAGTATTCAAATGAAAAATTCTCGCAAAGCTGAATTAAGTTCTAGAGTGACGTAATTAAATTTTTCTGTCCTGCCCTTGGAAGGTGACTTTTCTGTCAAGGTTAGGCATCCGTCGGACGGCCAGTTCTATCGGTTGGTAACGGCAATACAAAACCTATTGACTATGTATGTTTAACCCACACCTAGTGACAAATTGACATTTTACTGACATTTTTGATATTATACCGGGTGTCCGCAAAGTTGGGGTTTTCCTTTACACGACGTGTAGATCTTGAAAACATAAGCAATTTTTCTTAGTACCATATACACCAATGCCTTAAGGGAACCGAGATAAAGGGCTCTGCAATATCAAAAATATCTGAATACCGTCCTGTAGCCGTGACATCCCCGAGTGGTACTAGGACACTAGTTCAACCCGACGACAGAACTGGGTCGGGGTCAGTGTGTCAGGTCAGTATGCAACCTTCAACCGACGGTTACGGTCACGCGTGTAGAGGTAATCGCGTAGACGAGAATCCCTCAACAAGCACTAGAGACGTGGCTAGAGAAGTGCAAGTATCAAAAACTAAAGTGTGGCAAACGCTGCGTGAAGAGGGGCTGTATCCGTTTCACGTCCAACGTGTACAAGCCCTTCAACCTGACGATTTTCCAGCAAGAGTGCGGTTTTGTGAGTGGTTGTTGCATCAACATGACAATAATCCGGACTTTTTGAAGTGCATATTGGTGACAGACGAATCTACGTTCACGCGTAATGGGGTGAATAACTTTCGCAACACTCATATTTGGTCAGTAGAAAATCCGCACGCTGTCCGTCGGGCACATTTTCAACAAAAATTTTCGGTGAATGTTTGGGCTGGCATGGTAAACGGTATGCTCATTGGACCATTTATTCTCCGAAATCGATTGGACGGGATGCAATATCTAGACTTTTTACGCAACATTTTGCCTTCCTTGTTAGAAGATGTGCCATTAAGTGTAAGACAATCAATCTGGTTTCTGCGTCTGCTCGGTAGCGCTTCAGCTGGTTTGATTTTCTGTTGGAGCGGTATGATTTCGGGCAGAGACGTACTTAGCCCTTCTCGTCAACTGGAGAGTGAGTACTTTTTCCTTTATTTTTTTTACTTGGTCGCCCTCGTTTCAATACACATTACCTTTGTTATTTCAACGGTAGTTGTTTCTGAAAAGGAAAACTCCAACTTTGCGGATACCCGGATGTTTTTTATGTAATAACCCTTCCAGTTGCAGTTGAGTATGCTATTAGTTACATTTTGCAACGCCTTTTGTGAAGCCGCTAGAAATCGCAGCTGCTTGAATTCGACCTGACTAACCTTATCTCTCAAAAATCGTTCAGCAGCTTTAGAGCGTCACAATCGTTAGGCCCAGTCAATCTTTCTGCGAGAAGAGAAGATTAAAATGTCATCTTTTCCAATATATGAATTTCAAATAGGATTTTTTAACACACCAGCTAAAAAACAGGACAAACTAAATCATTGAGTCTGTTTTATCTATTGAACCAAAACCCATTTTTTCTCCGATCATTGTTTATACTGCCATGTTCCAATTTATTCATGAAAATTATAATTGTTGTAAGAAGAACTTTTGAACAATATTATAAAAGCAATGAGTGCATATACCCGTATCATTTAATTTGTTATATACTTTCCAATGTGTTGTCGTTCTAACCCAGCAGCTCTGTATCTATAGACAATGATTGTCGGATTTGTGTTTGCTTAACATGGAAAGAAGGCAACAATTGAATCATGAACAAATGGAACTTATCTCGGACACTGAAACATATAACCGTATCAAGTCTTAGATTGTAAATGTAGTCTGAAAAATGTGGTTCAGCAGTGTCGTCCCTAAAGGAGAACTCAGTTGTCAATATGTTGTATTTCAGGTAATCAAAAATGCAAAATACAAATCCCTGATATTCTACTCTTAGTAGACGATTGTATCCAATCTGAGTGCTACGACAACTGCTTGCTATCCGATTTATCAAGATATTTTACAAAACTTACACCAGTGTAATCGCCATCATATATTTCAGTTTGGTAGAAATCAAAATCAAAAACTGTACATACATAACATAAAGGAAGTATGGGAAGCTCTGGTAGTACTTGTTTCTTTTGACATGCCAAGGGCGTACCGAGAGGGCTCTCTTTTCCCTAGTTTTACAAAAATTAAATTATTCATCTACAGGGTGTCCGCAAAGTTGGGGTTTTCCTTTTCAGAAACAACTACCCTTGAAATAACAAAGGTAATGTTTAGTGAAACGAGGGCGACCAAGTAAAAAAAAAATAAAGGAAAAAGTACTCACTCTCCAGTTGACGAGAAGGGGTAAGTACGTCTCTGCCCGAAATCATACCGCTCCAACAGAAAATGAAATCAGCTGATGCGCTACCGAGCAGACGCCGGCAGTGGTGCAGACTACGAGGTAACAAATATGACCATCGTGCAGAAACCACATTGATTGTCTTACACTTAATGGCACATCTTCTGATAAGGAAGGCAAAATGTTGCGTAAAAAGTCTAAGTATTGCATCCCGGCCAATCGATTTGGGAGAATAAATGGTCCAATGAGCATACCGTTCACCATGTCAGCCCAAACATTCACCGAAAATTTTTGTTGAAAATGTGCCCGACGGACAGCGTGCGGATTTTCTACTGACCAAACATGAGTGTTGCGAAAGTTATTCACCCCATTACGCGTGAACGTAGATTCGTCTGTCACCAATATGCACTTCAAAAAGTCCGGATTATCGTCATGTAGATACAACAACCACTCACAAAACCGCACTCTTGCTGGAAAATCGTCAGGTTGAAGGGCTTGAACACGTTGGACGTGAAACGGGTACAGCCCCTCTTCACGCAGCGTTTGCCACACTTTAGTTTTTGATACTTGCACTTCTCTAGCCACGTCTCTAGTGCTTGTTGAGGGATTCTCGTCTACGCGATTACGTCTACACGCGTGACCGTAACCGTCGGTTGAAGGTTGCATACTGACCTGACAGACTGACCCCGACCCCCGACCCAGTTCTGTCGTCGGGTTGAGCTAGTGTGCTAGTACCAGTCGGGGATGTCGCGGCTACAGGACGGTATTCAGATATTTTTGATGTTGCAGAGCCCTTTATCTCGGTTCCCTTAAGACATTGGTGTATATGGTACTGACAAAAATTGCTTATGTTTTCAAGATCTATACATCGTGTAAAGGAAAACCCCAACTTTGCGGACACCCTGTCTAGGACTCTTCACAAGCTGAATTAATATATTCAGATCAAAAATTGAAAATTAATTTTTTTCCTAGCTTTTTCCGATACAAAGCTTTCCAAACATCCACGTTGCCTACAAATTACACAATAACACTACCACTTCTTCTTTACTACACAATGGCATAATTAGAATTAGGTTTCAGCTCTGTTTTTTAGAATTATACTGCTCTCAATATCGTCATGATTACCCTTATACAGGGTGATTCAAAAGTCGTGACCAAAGATGAAACATCATGCACAGGACCGCATTTTAAGGGGGGTCTTCTATGTACCATTTTTTCCTAGAGGGCTTCATTAAATAGATACGGGGTGTTGAAGTTTAAAAATCAAAAACAATTTCTCTTAATATCTTCAAAACCGCCAACTGGAATGAACTAAAATTTGGTTTGATTTACCTAAACATTTTCCACATTCAAAAAAGTCTTTACCTAAAATTATCGTGCACCAGTGGCGGAGATACAGGGGATTAGTGACATTATTTTTTCGTAAAATTAAAAATAAAGCAATTTGACGGTTTTGAAAATACTAAAAAAAATTGTTTTTTATTTTTAAACTTCAACACCCCGTATCTTTTTAATGAAGCCTTAGAAGAAAAATGTTGCGTAGAAGACCCCCCTTGAAATGCGGTTCTGTGTATGATGTTTCATTTTTGGTCACGACTTGTGAATCACCCTGTACATATAATATAAACGAACTATGTTATGTTGTTCCTTAAACCAACAATATGAAGTTAGGTATTCGAAGTTTTATATCAATGAGTAACATGTTATCATCTTTGATATCCTGTGAAATAAATGACTACATAATTTCGAGGCTTACTAACGAAAATATTTTTTTTGTAATAATATATTTGAAATCCGAATTAAAAGCTATTCGCCTATGTAAAAATGACATAAGTAAAATCAAATTTGAGGCGTGGTATAAGAGATGAAAAATCATATTAATGTTGTATTTATGCCACCTTGCAGAGATCAAAAAAAGCCAATGACAATGTGAAGTTTATTTTGAAATCCTATCTCAAATTAATTCTGAAAAAATTAGAAACGATTATCTGAAAATTCTTTTCGTATTCCTTGTATCTCTGGAGATACTGGGGGCTCAAAACTTTTTAAATGCATTTTCTAAAATAAATAAATACGCATCTTTGTCACCATTCAACGGACCCGTACCACTTACTGTTTCGAAGATCGAAAGGGTGAAAATATGACAAATTTGTTTTCCAAATGATTTTAGTATATATGTACTTGGTACGTATCCTTCTACATATTCTATAAAAATATATGGTGAAATGTCTAGTATACTAAGTGACATATATATCCGAACACCCAGTTTAAATGGTTTTATTTTAATAAAAGTTGGTGAATGTATTTATCATACTGTAAATAATAAGTGAAAAAATTTTCAGCCTTATCAGTTGGACATTCCGGTTTTTATACTGCTTTTTTTTAATTCACTAACGCTCTAAAAATGAATATTTCAGCCGCAGTAAAGAATCAACGTTGGCGGATTTTGGTTCTTGACATCCTTTACGATCGGTTACGATGCCTAGAGTACGGAGACCTGTACGATTTCGTCAACTTAGTGAGTTTGATAGGGGCCGTATAGTGGGGCTTCGGGAAGCTGGACTTTCTTTTCGAGCAATTGCAGTTAGAGTGCAAAGAAGTGTAGACACTGTAGTTAGGTGTTGTCAGGCATGGCTTCGAGAAGGCCGTACGCAAAGAGCAAGGGGCACTGGACGCCGCCGTAGAACAACAGACCGTGAAGATCGCCGCCTAAGATTATTGGCCTTAAAGGACCGTTTCTCCACTATCAGGTCCATTGCAAATGAATGGTTTGCAGAACACGGAAGACCTATTGGCATGCGAAGTGTTTACCGACGAATGAGAAGTTTTGGCTTGTTTTCATACCGGCCACACTGGGTCCTCCCTTTAACTCGAGAACACCGACGTAATCGCCTTGAGTGGTGCAGACAACGGTCACTCTGGGATCAGGAATGGAACAGTATTGTCTTTAGTGACGAGTCTCGATTTTGTTTAGGCATGCACGATGGTCGTGCCAGGGTTAGAAGGCGACGTGGTGAAAGGAGGAATCCACAGTTTTTTGTCCAAGGACATGTTCATCACAGTTGTGGAGTTATGGTTTGGGGTGCTATAGCTTATGGTTCCAGGTCACCTTTAATCTTCATCAGAGGTAACATGAACGCGCAGCGTTATATCAACGAAGTTCTAGAACCCCATCTTTTACCCTATCTTGACACCCTGGCAGATCCAACTTTCCAACAAGATAATGCCCGACCACATGTTGCAAGAGTCACAATAGACTTCTTTCAACATAATGATGTCATATTGTTACCATGGCCACCAAGATGTGCCGACTTATCCCCAATTGAGCACGTGTGGGATATGATGGGTAGGAGATTGCTTAATTTGCAACGTCCTCCTCAGACTCTAGAAGCACTTCGAGAGGAGTTGGTGGTTGCCTGGAATGAGATACCACAGGAGGACATTGACCACCTGATCAGAAGCATGCCTAGGCGCGTTGGAGAATGCGTAGCACATCAGGGTGCATCCACACATTATTAAAAGTCAAAGGGCTTTAAAGCAGTGCAATCATTTTGAAATTTTTATCATTTACTTACTATGCTTCATTAAGTACTTATACAAAATTTTATTAAAATAAAACCATTTAAACTGGGTGTTCGGATTTATATGTTACTTAGTATAATAATTGTAGAAAGACAACAAATAAATATCGACAAAGAAAAATTATTAATCTATATCAAAGCGGCACATTAGAATATAATAAAAGATGAATGGTGTTTCATAAAAAACAAAGTTTTTTGTTATGTCGATATGTGTCACCCTGTAGGGAGCGGTATATTCCAAGTAGGACGCGAATAGTCCACAGTTAAATGACAAAACATTTTTGATTATGTTTTATAGTGATGGAGATTTGTCTAATTATTTACTAAAAACTCACCCTGTATGTCTAATTTGTTGCAGCAGTTATATCGCTGGATAGGTTGAACATTTTTGAAGATTTTTTTCGATCTCAATCGCTACAAAGGTTTTAACTTTTGGCTATTATTTCATATGCACTTATGCACTTTTCAACAAAAAATTATCGATCTTTGCAATAACCAATTAAGTGTTGCAAAGAACTGGTCATACCCATTTTGACGATGTTTTCATCCCTTCCCAAATTCTTCTGTAGACTTATAACTAAAAAAATTTACCCAGAATTTATTATATCGAGATGAGGGGCATTTGCATTCGCTCTGAAGTATATATAAATCCTTCTGTACAATTTGTTTCAAAACAGGGTTCACATTTGGCTTGCTTGAATAAAAGTAATTCTAGTAATTTTCCATATAAAATTGTCAAATCGTCGTGGAAGACTCTATATAACTGAAATTAAAATAGAAAGCAGCATGATAGACAACTTTTTGTTTTGAGCTGGGTACACCTTTGTGGCATGCAATTAATTAACCAATATATTTTGGGATGCAATACGGTTTGCTACTCTTATACCTCTAGTTAGATGTATAAATACAATACATTCCAAAAATCCTCCCTAGAAGAATTTAAACGTTGATTCCCCCACAACTGAGATCTATTTTACGTACGAACCAGTAGCTGTTAAATTTTCGACTGTTGATACCTACTGCAACAAAGTAAATGCTGTGACGTAATAGTGGAATAGTAAGACGTCAAAAGATAACATATACTAAGTGACTTATAAAATGCAACACGCAGAATTATTTATTGAATTTTGATAAAAACTTGTAAACATATTTGCTATCATGGAAGTATACGCTGATAATATGTTGAAGGCATTCCTAGCCGTATTTTCTTTTGTAAAGGCTTTTTTTATCATATCAATATGGACATGTTTACTTAATACGAGGGATGTCTTTTAAGTTTTGCATATGTAAATAAAAGAACACGGTAGGTAGTTTTAAATGACTTTATTGTTTTTCGAAGTATTCTCCACGAAGATTAATACACATCGGCATGCGCTCGAACCAATTTTCGAAGCACTTATTTGACTCGTTTGCTGGCAGATCAAAAACGGCATTTTCGAATGCGTTAACTGCTTCTTCTGGTGACTGGAACCTTTGACCACGCAGTCTGTTTCTAATTTTCGGGAAAGTAAAGAAATCGTTAGGACTTAGACCGGGACTATATGGAGGATGGTCCAATAATTTCACGTTTTCTTCTGTTAAATAATGCCTTGTTTTTTGGGCTGTGTGCGAGCTTACATGGTCTTGGTGGAGGATGATTCTTTTTTCGGGGTTGATTTTTCGAAGCTCGGTGATAACAGTTCTTTGCTCATCTTTTGGTAATTTGAACTCTTTCTGCTGTGGAATATACCATGGTTAATTTATGTAATAAAGAGTTACAAGTTATTTTAGCAACAAAGTTTGGTCAAATCAATCGCAAACTATGTACTAAATTCCTATTTAAAATAAGGACGAGATATTTCCTTATCTTTCTTCAAGAAATAATTTTTTTGTAAGAAAAAAACGCTCCAATAGCTATTTTCAACAACAAAATTATAAACAAACCATGGGCGTAGTGAAGAAAAGCATTTACTTATTAAGTAAATTCTTTTAGTCAAATTTGTTCTGAAAGTAGTACAAACTAATCTGATGTACCTACGCCTTAGTGATCGTTCGGTAAGGCGAATTTTGCATATGGATCTCCGCTTTCACCCCTACAAATTGGCCATTGTGCAACAATTACAGCCCGGAGATTATGCACAACGAATGAATGGTTTGTTATGCATGTGAACTCCCCCAACGGATTTATCGAAAACCGCTGCTTAAGAAAAAAACTCGGATACACGGCAAAATCCTTGTCAAGGGGAACAATTCTTTAACCAGTTTGTTTGAAAGGTCTTCATTTTGACGTTTGATTTTGCAAAATCGGTCGATTCGATATCAAGAAAGTTAGAAAAATCTTTGCTTACCTTAATTTGTTCAGATACAAAACAAAAACACACGGAACACACACTAAAATCTTAAACAACACAACTGCTACATCTTCCACCATTACTCCAATAGCGCCGCAAACAAAGACCCAATCTCCAAAAAACGTACAATTTTTCAAACCAAAGTAATACATATAAATGTTTGCAGTCTCCTGAACAAATTGAACGAAATAGAACTTCTCGTCAATGAGTGGTCGCCAGACGTATTATGTGTCACAGAAACGTGGTTACCTTCAGATTCCGATATTCAACTTAGAAGGCTACCGGCTCGTATCGTTCTTCTGTCGATCCCAGTATATAAATACATGGAGGGTGCGCCATATATGTTAAATGTGAGCTGGCTGCTGAAAGTATACCATTTATCAACCACCAATCAGAAGAGAAACACATAGAGGTCTGCGGAATAACTCTGCAAATAAATGGTTTAGAGGAAAAAATCCCGGTAATATGTTTGTATAGATCACCATCTGGCGAAGTATCAACATTTCTGGGTAACTCAAGAATTGTCCTGGATAGAGTTCTAACCGATAATAATAGAATAATACTATGTGGAGACCTAAACATTGACAACTAGAAACCAAACATGAACCATTACCTGCTTCAAGATCTGTTAGCATCTTTTAACTTGCTTAACCATTGTCATGGAGCTACTCGTACAGCTATCAATAAACACAACAAAATAACGGAAACAGCAATAGACTATATTATTACCAACATTAACGTAAACCATTTAAAATGAACCTCACATAGCATACCATACAGCGCAACTCTTAGAACTAACTACATCGCCAATAATGGAAGAGCACCGTAAGGAATCAAATATTTCGGCTTACACCCATAGAAAAATAAACGCTGACCACCTGAAAACCTTCAAATCCAAGTTAGCCCAAGAAGCATGGGATATCAGTGAGCAACATATTGATGCTGGATTTGAACAATTTATCAACACTATCCTGTGGCCACCTAGATATAACATGTACCCGGCGAAAGTATGGTATTTCAAAAAAAAAGCAAAATTCAAAGCCTTGGGTAACTCCTGACATACAAAAATCTAGCCAAAACTTAAGATCCTTGTACTCCTCATGGAAAAGGCAAGACACTAGTCAGGAACTCAGGCAACTTTACCTAAAACAGAGAAAAGTTCATAGAAGGCTGATATCATCAACCAAGAGGATATACTATGCACATACCATTTCGGAAGCTACAAATAGGCCCAGACGAATATGGGATTATAGTAAATCAGGAAATTGGACGGGCGAAGACGTAACGAAATATTGCAATCAAACACTGTCCCAAGGAAATTACAAACTTCGAGATACCTGATCAATTTGGAAAATACTTTGCTACCATAGCACATACGAAGTTGGAGACGCACTTTCAAGGGATGCCGGCATCGCATTGTACAGTTCAGCGACTTTCCAAATAAAAAATCCTGCGGCAGTAATGACATATCAACGCGAGTGGTGAAAACTATAAAATGTGAGATATCAACTCCACTTTAAATAAGTCAGTGCTGAAAGGTAAATTTCCAAAGTGTCTCAAACTTGCCATTGTAATTCCTATATTTAAGAAAGGAGATCCGACTGATATAGAGAACTATAGTCAACGCCAAACAAAGTGGCGTGCACGTCATCACGATAAAAATTCCCCGACCTAATGCCTAGGTTTCTATCACAAACAATTGTTCTATTGCAGTTTCATATTAATGTGATATATAAATTGTAAAATGGTCATTACTCTCTTATTATGGTTAATAGTCATATAAACATTGTTATTAAAATATCACATAAGTTGCTTTCTGATAAATTTAGACGCATTATGCGAAATAAAATGTTTTGCAAACGCTCCAATCACTTATCGACATGTAAACGCACTAAACCGATTTCGCAGCGTTGACACATTGTCATCTTGAAACTTATTTAAACTGGGAACTGACATTTGTATTAATTTTGACACTGAATCGATTTGTGGCATTTCAAATCTTTATAAATCCTTTGGCCCCGCATACTGTAAATCAACAACTGTTTGTTTCAAAACAAAATTATTCATTTTACGAGTAGATAAAGGCAATTTTGGTATATAAAGATGCCCAAACAGTTAAATAGTCGGTGTAAGGAACTCGTGGCCTCGTTAATGCACTACTTTGAGCAAGAAAGGGACAACAACGGGCCTTTGTTGCCTTTAAATGCTGTTCATGAGGTAGGTTACTAATAATTATATGTAATGTATATTAATAATAGTGAAATTTTATTTCATTTTTTGTAGCGTGTTGCTGCTGCTTTAAAAATTAGTTTAAGGACAGTTAGTCGTATTTCCGAGGGTGTGAAAAGTGATGCAAATTTAGAATCGCCCAAGAAAAAGCGGAGTTATATTAAACGTGTAACCAACACAGCGACATTGGATACAAGTGCCATTCGAGAAGTGATCTATAATATGTATCACAAAAGTAAGATCTTATTATAATAACTTATCAGAAATTTGCATTAATTCGTTAACTAAATTATAATGTCATATTACACATGGTTTCAGAAGAACAAGTCACGATACAAACTTTATGGTCTCGATTAAGAGATAGGGCATTATTTGATGGTAGTGCCACGTCTTTAAGGCGGTTGCTTAGAGATCTTGGATTTAAGTGGCTTAAGGACAATCCGCGACGAGGGCTCATGGAACTAGCAAGTATAGCTTTGAAAAGGGTGGAATTTCTAAGGCAATACAATCAAGCCAAGGTTGAGGCCTTATACCAGTTTGTCTTCCTCGATGAAACTTGGATATTTCAAAATGGGACCATAGGTCGCTCTTGGCAAAATGGAAACCAAAAAAGCGTGAAAGCTATTAAAACAGATGGTAAAAGGTATGTACTTTTACACAATTTGCACTATAAAATTTAAAACTAATATATTTTAGATACATTATATTACATGCTGGAAATGAAAATGGGTTTATTGAGGGTAGTGAAGCGATATTTTCTTCGAAAACAAAATTGAGCGATTACCATGGAGAGATGAACCAGGACAATTTTTTGAAATGGTTTCAACATCAGTTATTAGAAAAATTGGAGAGTCCATCTATGATTATACTGGATAACGCCCCTTATCACAGCATGATATTGAACAAAGTGCCCAACAATGCATGGACAAAAAAAATATCCAAGACTGGTTGACAAATCAAAACATACCATTTTTAAACACAATGTTTAAAACAGAGCTATTGAGTATTGTTGCTCGGTACATAATGCTTCTTAATTATATATATTTTGGTCGACAGTTTATATTTCTTTTGTTTATTCCTATTCTTAAAATAACTGCTTTTTTAGAAACAAACCACCTAAAATATACGTGATTGATGAATTGGCGGAACAACATGGGCACAAAGTTCTTCGTCTGCCTCCTTACCATTGTATATTTAACCCTATTGAGTTAATTTGGGGCATAGCAAAAGGTTACTATAACAGACATATTGGTAGAGATGGTAACAGTGAAAAAGACTGTTTGGATATGTGGAACGAGGCTCTACAAACGGTTACCCCAGACATGTGGAAAAATAGTGTTCGACATACTGAGCAAGAAATTTTTAAATGGTATGAAAGAGAACGAATTTTTGATCGACCAGACATCGAACCTTTAATAATCAACTTTGAGAGTGATGAAGATTCAGATTCAGA